TTTATTTATCATTCTTTGTAAAATAAGAATTATTGAGACCTAATGTGACATCGTGTTAATTCAAAGGGATATTACAGTAGCTAAACCTATGAATGTGGAATTGCCGAGGTCTATGGTGGAAGTTGTTACCTCTTGGAATCTGCCCATGTCCAAGTGGCTTAACGCATGTATGTATATTTATCCCGGTTTGTGATAAATTACTGACTCATATGTGATATATTAATGTTCTCTCTGTACAATTTACCACACAGACGTCTTTAAAAATGCACTCAAACTTGGCACCTTTCCTGCCATCTTGGTGACCTACACCGCCAGTGCATTGTTACATGTAAGTATGATTTTCAGCTCTCTGGTTATTAACATTTTCACAAGGAAGGTTTGTTGGCACAGAATCAGGTTCCATCTGTTTAAACAGATTTGGGTTTGTATAAGAAAAAAACAACACCTGATCCAGAAAACAGTTCCCCTCTAACATGACAGCTTGGATAAAGATGGTTTGTTATCTCTGAACACCATGACCCAGATTTAAACTGCTGTTGTGGATAGATAATTCAATCACAGCTGTCTACCCTGGCAGCTTATTCCTTGTCACCTTTAGTGAGCTGTTGTGGTTGCACATGTTAGGTTGCTACTCACTGTGTAGCTGAGATAAAGTCATTCATGTAATACCAGTTTGACCTTTAGGAATGTAAATAAGCTATAAGAATAAAAGCTATACGAATTAGTAGATGTACATGTATCAGAATCTCTCTGTAAATAGAAAAAAGTTACCTTTTTTTAATTTTTTAGCCAATCAAAAACATGATTGTGAATGTTTGGGTTTGCTGACTATAAATGTGTGTTTTGGAGAAAGGATTGGTTGACCATCTTTAACATTGTGTGATTTTTATTTAATTTTTGTAGAACTTCACTGGACAGTAATCAACTGGCACTATATCAGTAGATGCTTAGATGTTGTAGTAGTTGAGTGAAGCCCTCTGGTGGTCAATATAAAACATTGCTATTTTCAGAACTTATTCTCTATAGCCACTAAATTCTCTTGGGTTTAATACGATCTCGTAATGGTTTTGAAATCATTCTAATATGCTGATTTTGGTTGAGATTTTTTTTTTTTTGTATGTTGAAACAGTTGTGCTGCTTAATGTTTTTGTGGAAACTTTGATGCATTTGTTTTGGATTTTTTTGATGAATGAAGTGTTCAAAGGAACAGTAGTTATTTGAAATAGAAATCATTTGTAACATTATAAATGTATCAGTTGCTTTTGATCAATTCAATGCATCCTTGCTGAATAAAAGTATTAAGAATTTAAAGGAAAAAAAAACCTTTTCTGACCCCAAATTTTTAATAGCAGTATTGATTTGTAGTGTATTTTTTTATCATAAATTAATTACATGTTGTTTGACAGGGTCTCAGCTTTCATCTAGGGGCCGTGCTGCTGTCTTTGGGATTCATCACTTACGTTGAACATGGTAAACAATCATTTTAGTTCATTCATGCATTCATGCCATCAATAAAATTACCAGAGCTTTGACATAATCTGTAAATCAATTCTATTAACATATTAATGTTAATGCATACAGTCATTGTGGCACACATTCCAGTAGACATGACATTCATCAGTATTTGAAGTGACGTGACATTAGTAGTCTAGGCAACAGGACTGAAATACATACTCTTTGTTTTTTGTTTTTTTTCTTATAGTCCTGAGAAAGCGGTTGGCAGCTATATTCAGTGCTTGTATACTGTCAAAGTGCTGTCCAAGTGACTGCCATCACCAAAATAAGAAGGTGATCTGTTATTTTAACCAAGTCCTGCACTCCAGAATCAAATGTTAAATCTGTGGTTCATGGATTTCCACTGCAATTTCTTATGAAGTTATATTATTAAATTGAGATCTTTTCTTTTTTCTTATTGTAGACTATGTGGGTATATGGTGTTAACATGTTCTTCAGTGCGTTGTCAATATTCCACCTGACATACTTGGGATCACTGTTTGACTCTGAAATGGACAACATGCACGCTGAGGAGGTGAGCCATTTTTTATATGCATTCTTTTTTTCATATGCAATTTAATTATTAATTCAATTTTGTATTAATATAAACAATCAACGACTAATAAAAAACTATCAAGTCCAATTAGTAAAAGTTGCTTTATCGTAGTATTTTATTTCCACACAGGGTTACATGGCCAGTCACACCATTCAAAAGTGGTCGGAGCTAAACTGGGCAAGCCATTGGGTGATGTTTGGCTGTTTTGTGTTTTATTGGCTAATTTAAAGAGAATGCTATAGTATTGAAAACAATCAATGGATCATTCACTGAACCTGAACATGAAATATGGTTGATGCTTGCTGAGAAACCATAGACTGCCGTTTTCAACGATCAGCGTCACCACATCCATCCTTCTGTCCCTCACATGGAGAAGAGTGCCGTAAAAAGTGCCTTACGACTCATGGTTAAAAGAATCATTTTGTCATAATATGATGATAGTTGTTCTTTTATTTTGATTTAGATTAGGTACGATTTTTGATTAAATAAACAAAAAAATCAGTGTGCCGTTCATCTTAAGTGTTACTTGTATCTATTTTTATGCCAGTTTTATGGGTTCATATAGAGAATAAAGCATAGTCTCTTTTAGTGTGACCATGTTATAGCCACTTTTATAGTACATGTCTTAAAATGGTAAACATGTTTCATATTTTTACTTAAAGGTGTAGATTAGGTCTGACAATAATATTTATTATTTTCTAATAAAAACATTTTGCCAACATGACTATTTTTCTTGAATTATTTATTTTGCATTACTTGATAGCATTTAGGTCACTTTGTTCTCTGACATCAAGTACTGTAGGCACTTTTATCCTAAGACACTTGCACTCATGGTGATAGTGCAGCCATGTGGTGTACTGTGGTGTTATTTTATGGAATTCTGAAGTATAAAAAGAACATCGTGTACTACCAAAATACATGTAAAAACATAAAATTGCATTACCATAATGTCATGTCATACACCACCACAGTAAAACGTGTTTTGGTGGATTAATTAGGGTGACCAACAGTCCTGTTTTCCCAGGACACTGTTTTCCTGTCCTGGCTGTTTTTTATAAAGTGATGGAAATGTCCTGGTTTTCAAAAAACTGCTGGGAAAGATCATCTCTACAGAAAACCATAGATGGGCAAACAAGGAGGATGAGGAAGAAAAACAGGATAAAGAGGAAGAAAATTAAAGATATAAATATATTGGTAACACTTTATTTGAAGGGGTGTGCATAAGACTGACATGACACTGTTATAAACATGACATAACACCTGTCATGAACATGAAGGAGTCTTTATGAATGTTTGTGGCTGTTGACATTAAGTGTCATTCGGTAAATTATGACATTTTTAATGCAAAGTTGACATTGTTTAAAAAAGTCTTTTTTATGACAACTTGACATTAACAAAGACAAAAATGTCTTTGTTATGACAACTTGACATTAACCAAGAAATCACAACCTGTCAACCTGTCACAAATATGTGATAACAGGTCTAATTATCAAACTTAAAGAAGTTATTTAGCTTCGCGTTAACATTACATTACCCTCATATGGTTGGTTTTAACTTTGGTTGTTATGACACCATTTTAACTGTGACATGAATATTTTACATTGTACTAGTTATAAAGATGTCTTTAAGGGTTATTACACTGTCAAATGCTTTAACAACAGTGTGATTAATATTTCCCCTTACCTCAAGTAAAGTGAAACACGTTGGACTAGTTATAAAGATGTCAGGTTGACAGGTTATAATTTCTTGGTTAATGTCAAGTTGTCATAAGAAAGACATTTCTGTCTTGGTTAATGTCAAGTTGTCATAACAAAGACATTTTTGTCTTGGTTAATGTCAAGTTGTCATAACAAAGACATTTTTGTCTTTGTTAATGTCAAGTTGTCATAACAAAGACATTTTAAACAATGTCAACTTTGCATTAAAAGTGTCATAATTTACTGAATGACACTTAATGACAAAAGTCATAAACATTTATAAAGACTCCTTCATGTTCATGACAGGTGTCATGTTTATGACAGTGTCATGTCAGTCTTATGCACACCCCTTCAAATAAAGTACACACAAACTTTATTACAGGCTCCAGGCCCAACAACAGTACATACACCACACAAAAAACAAGAAAAAAAAATACATAAACATATACAATACACCTTTTTTTCACAAAGATCTTAAAAGGCACTTATACCAATGCTTCCATATTGGTATCACACCAATATAATAAAGTGTTACCAATATATTTTGTTTGTTAGTTTTTGTAAGTTTGTTAAAGATATTTTTGCTAAATTTGGAGGTATTTCTTTGTTATTTAATATATATATTTATTTTTCTAATACAGAAGAGACATTATTTATATCATTATTGCGTTCATTATTTTTGAAAACTTTCATAATAAAACATGTTGAGTTACCTCTGAGAAGCGCCAATATGAATTTGTGTCTTATATAGCCTAACAATTTTCTATCCATACAGAGGAGGCATAACCTACTTTAAATGTATTGAAATTAATAAGGCATCTTTGAGGAAACTTCGAGTATCATTTGAATATCTGTTTGCCGGGCCAAGTGTGCTGGTTTTTGGTAATCAAAATATGGTCACCTTTAATTGTTAGCTACTCATTTTATTTGGGTATTTTCTAAAAAAAAAAAAAAAAAACATCTGATAAGATGTCCAAACTTGGGCCACTTATAGGAATCCCTGATAGTTTTTTTATTTTTATTTTATTGACACAGTTATATAACATTAACAAAAGGCTTCCACTAATTCAAATTGTCCAGCCAACCAAAATACACATATTGTAACAAAATATAAATAACATTCCCATCACTAGGCTAAGTACATCTAAGCCAGGGTGGAACCATCAAAACAAAACAAAAAAACAAACAAAAACAAAATAGTAACGATAATAGTAATTATAATCAATAGTATTAAAACAGTTAAGAGTGAAAATATGGAACGGAAGTTATCTCTACTTTACAAGTGACGTCTGGCCCAGACGTGTCCCCCACAGTTCACACGGTATTGTTTTAATATCGCGAGAATTCGCACAGCCCCTCACTACGTAATGTGCCGTGCTGCTTATGGCGGCGCTGGTGACAGTGCTGAAAGCTGTTGGGGTGAGTTTTTCCTCTATACTTATTAAATGTTGTGATGTCACAATTCTCTCACGGGTATATGAATGTATGAGCTTCCGACATTTGTGTGTATATCACTCTTTCTAAATACCGGTGCGTATTTTTGAACAGTTAAACGGTTAAGGGTGGGGGCAGTGTTTCCTCTGCGTGTGTTCTAGCGGTTTAGCATGTTAGCCAGCGCTTCACTGATACTGGGCAAGAGCCGCTTTAAACCACGAATACGCACGAATTATTTTGACCACATTCGTCATGGGCGATGTTTTGCAAAGGTCACTTGTCAAGTAATGAACCGCCCAGTGGAGCATCCAACGCAACAGCAGCGGTCCAGCGTGACCCGACAGCCGCCCCGGGTGCCTTTGTTGTCGGGATGAGTGATTTATTTTAAGCCCGTCTGGATCATACTCTGTACCTCTATGTCGACACGTAGTTACTTGAGATAAAGAACTTAAACCCCCCTTTGCCAGGACAGGAAACGAGTTTACTTGTTTTCCAAATAAATTACTACTAAAATTAGCTTTTCCATTGTCATGGCAACATGAAAAAACAGGAAATTTGGAAATTGTGCTTTTTGCAGGCCCTGGAAAGTAATTAAAATTGATAAAACCTTAAAAAAAAAACATTTTATAACAAATATAGAATATGCTTCAACTAATATTCCGCCTCACTTGGCACTCTGAGAGTAATATTAGCAATATGCGTACAATTCTTTGTTAACCCTTTCCCTGGTTTTCCAGTTGTGTCTGAATAAGATATGAAAATGCCTTGGGAACGGTCACAACGGTTTTCTCATTTAAATGTGAAATAATTTGAAAAGATTGTCTTTTTAACCGTTTGTTGTTAGTCTTTATCCTCACAGTGCACTTTTTGAAATGCTCGTCTGAGTTCAGTCTTGTCTGAAATGGCATTGCTAGTGACTTTCGTCTTTGGATGAGATCCAGATGGATCCACTCCCGGCTATTGCTCAAGCGCAGTTTGCGTCACTTAGTTTAATGTCCTATTTTTTGCTTACGCATGCTTTAGAAATCTGCCGTTTCTTTTATTCTAATGAAACTTGCGAACGAAGAACAGTGGTTCCGATACTTTGTAGCTTTTGATTTGTATATTTGAGCCGGTGTCAAGCCCAGCTGAGCAGCACGCGCTCGAGGCCGGGTGTCGACGTCACGCACTTAGGTCTATAAACTTCTTCGCAGTGTATAGGGATCAATTCACTTGTTTTTCCACATTTTTATTGTACCAATATTGGCATGTTTGCCACCGATATCTTTTTACTGAATTTTAAAAAGGGATAGTTCAGACAAAGATTAAGTTGTAAGTTTCTCTCCCTTTAATTCCAACACTCCTTGCAATTTGTTCCCTCATGTTTTTTTCTTCTTCTAAAATTCGAAATCGCTTAACTTATAAACTTATAAAATAGATATTGTGGAGTGTCTGGTTGGTCTTTTCCATCATACAGCGTCTATGAAGTTGTAAAGCTGTGAAACGACAAGAAAAAATATAACCTACCATAAGTGTATTAAAATATTTATTTTAATAATAATTCCAAAATAATATTTTTTGGGAATTATCCGAATTATTATTTAAAGGGGATTATTCCTTGAATTGTCACTGGAACCACAAGGTTGTAAATCTAGGCACGCAATGTGCTCTCAAGGTTTGTTTGTCTGGCTCTAGTTGTGTTTTTGTGACACAGAATGCACTCTAAAAAATGATGTGTTGGATTTACTTAAAATATATATGCACCATTTTTGCATCATACTTTTTAAGTAATCCCAACTTGGAATAATTTTACTTAAAATTAACAAGAAAATCTTTGTTATATGTACTTAATTATTTGAGTTCACGCAACATTCTTTACTTAAAAATGTATGCATCACGTTACATATATGTTTAAGTAAAGAATGTCACGTGAACTAAAATATTTAAGTTTATTTTATGTAAAATTATTCCAAGTTAAAAATGTACTTAATTAAATGATTACGGATTACTTAAAAAGTATGACGCAAAAATGGTGCATATATCTTTTAAGTAAATCCAACACAGTGCAGGCCATGTGAGATCAAAACAAATCTTAGTTCTGTTTACTTAACATTTAAGCTCATTTATATATAAAAATAAGACAATTAAACCAACCATTTTAACTTATTTTAGATCTTCAGCTTACATGTCTTAAAATAAATTAAACATGCAAATCACACACAATAAAGCATTTCACTTTATTATTTATTTTTTACCCAAAACTTTTAAATTGCATCTTAAAATATATTAAAATAGAAAATAGTTGTTAAAATAATAATAATAATAGTCACAATATTACAGTTTTTTCTTGGATCAAAGAAATGAAGGCTTGGTGGGCAGAAGATATATATAGGCCTATATATTTATTTTTTTTTTCAAAAATCAATAAAAAACAATTAAATGTAACAAATTAGTCCATTATTAAATGCCTATAAATATAAAAATTAGTCTATTAATATCTATTAATTTAAACAAAATAGAAGTTAATTAATGACTTTTGTCCAGAGGTTTTGAACGAATTTCTTCAAAAACATTTTAGCAGTAACTACTGGAAAACAGTAAAGATCTACAATCTTTATTTGAAGCTAAACTTTTGTTTAAAGGGTATTTACTTATTTTGATAATAATTTTGAAGGTTTAATTTACTGAATTGTCGCTGCATTTAGGAATAATATTGTGCTAGAATCAAGATTGCCATTATTTAATGATAAATCGTGCACACGGAGCTGTGTTTTTGAATGTAATATTTATGTTAACGTTACCAAAAGTAGGCTAACCCGCGCCCAAAGCCCCCTTCCCCGCGATCCATGTATAGATAGAGAATATGGGAATTTGTAAATATGCAAGGTACATTTGTTTTATCCAAAAACAGCTCGCTAATAAAGTAGGCCTATAATCTAAGCTATCCGTGGGGGAGAAAGCGCCGTCCGAATTGGTAACCGAACGCGTCGCGTCTAGTTAGATGCTTGAATCTTCCGCAGCCCGCTCAAGTTCAAATTTTTCTACCGAGGAAGACGTTCGCGGCAAACGAGTCACCCAATTCGCGACGCCCGGCGCGAATGATGCGTCTTCGCGTCTTTGCATTGACTATGAATGTAATCTGCTATCGCAAATAATTAAATTCGCGTTCTGTGTGAACACACCATTAATGCATATACGAGCCAACATCATGGTCATATATTTTGAAAAAACACAATATACTCTTCAAATACTCGCGTGCAAAACACTTATTTCATTCATTAACATGTAGACTACAAACGTTTACATTCGTAAGTAACACGTTTCTAATTGTTGATGCAAAATTTGTAGCAATTCTGAAATTCAGTTAAAAGTAAATTTCTTGACCAAAAATGCAATAAATGATCATGTGTAGGCTAGGTACAAAAAATAAGCTTACCTCTTCTCAACGTCTTCACATGTGCTGTGAAATAAAATGGCTTAATTTTTGTCTGGATAGGCATCACGGGAAATTGCATATCACGTGGCTCATACTTAAAATGATATGCTAGATTTACTTAATTTTGACGCAAGTTGACATGCCTTATGTATTTTTCATTTTATTTATACATACATTTAAGTGCACCTAGTAACTTATATTTTTGTGTTACACACACTATATATGTTAAGTAAACGTTGAAAAGTTATGAATACTTAATTTTTTATGTTTGATCCAATTACTTTTATAAGTAATGGTTGTTCGGCCAACGAATCGTTTTTTAGAGTGTGGGGAACAGGTCAAATTCTGACTATGACCTCCATTTTAAATTCAGCATGAAATAAAAAAAAAAACCTTTTTATTCTAAAAGTATGTGTTAATGTTATAAATTCATCCCTACATATGTTTAAAAAAAAATGAACTTATGTTTAATCATAATGTCAAAACTGGACCTTCCAGTGAAAATGGCAGACACCTCTCTGAAGTATTCAGGACTTATCCAGTAGTTCATTCTGCTTAAACCTGCTCCTGCAAGTTCATCTGCCTCCACTTTTGAGTGCAAAATCAAATCAACTATCAATGCGTAGAACCGAGTCCCTCCCTGCCCTACATTTTTTTTTTTTCCTCTTTCAATAAATTGTTACACTCAGATGTGTCACAGTATGGAAGAAAAGATCTATCCCTATGTCAGTTTTATTGTAACTGTAAATATTTATCTCTTTGTTTCTTGTGTACGAAATTGGCTGGCTATTAGATGTTGTCTCCATCCATTTTAAGCCTTTACTTGATCCATCATATCAAGTTGTGAACTGGCCTATATATCAAGCTCTTTGATCCTCCCACCTCTTGTGTAATAGACCAGAGGGAACTGAATGATTGGCATGCTGGATATCTGCAGTTGTTGACCGCTTGAATTGAATATATTCCATAAATGCTCAGCCAGCTGAGGGTTCACGCTGAGACTTGTTGATCCACGTGTTTTCAGTCAGCTGCTCGCTCTACACCAGGCCACTGAGGAAACTTTATTTTTAGGCCTGTGTATCAACAGGAGAGTAAGATGCCGTTTTAACCCACATGGAATGAATGTGACTGAGGGGATTGATTGTTAAATCATTTCTTGAGGGTGTGTTCAATGCTGTCTGTGGGGATGCAAATTATTGAATAATTCATTAATCGTTATTTGATCGACCTTATCGATTGATTAACGATTAACTGATAAGCGGCTATTTTCCTGAGAATGTAAATTTCTCACGGTATCAATAGTGTCTTTAGCGTAAAAAGCGAAATGTTGCTTATATACTGAATAAAAATAACCGCGGATGTTTTGTTTCTTTTTTGCCGCCTCAAGTTTGTGTCTGGTTTCTCGAGTGAGAATCTCGTGTCGCGTTCGCAGTGTTCAATTAGCCAACAATGAATTTTTTTATTTAATTTGATCGAGTAAATTCTTGTCTGCAATTAATTGATAATCGATCGACCGTTTACATCCCTAGTAGGGGGCAAAATTAGACGAGAAATCAATTAATATGGTGTAATTAATGTGTAACTAATCTGTCTGTGATCTAATATCCTTTCTTTTTTCTTTCCCCAAACAGTATGAAGTGAAACCGAATTGATTTTTGTACCATCTGAAACCTACTTCAAGTTCAGATCATCTATCGGTCAGAAGAAACGTCAAGGAAAAAGAAAATAACAAACATCCCCAAAACGACTCAACGGTAAAACAACTCTAAAGACCAAGACGAAGAACTGCACTGCTACAAAACGAGAAAACTAAAGCAACCAAACGAGCAAACCAAAGATTTAAGAAACAGAACCAGGCCGCAACGAGCGTAGCAACCAACCATCAACGTTAACAGCAAAGGCGAGACCTGATCTGAGACAAGAAGTTTGTGCCTACTCAACAGCTTTGAAAAAGCACACGTCCCAACGCTGCGCCAAGCCCTCCTCATCCTCCCCGCACCTCTTCCTCTTCTGGGGTGCGGAGAGGGCTGCTGTCTGCTAGTCTTTTCAGTTTTTACCTTTTTCTTTCTGTCAATTGCAGACCGAATCCCTCCCTCCTGATCTTTTCCCCCCCCCGTTCACCTAGTCTTTCTCGTGTCTTTGTTAACTTTTTTTTCCCCCAAAAAGAAGTGTTCATACACCTGCACTTGCCTTTTTATTTGAATATCTTTATTTTTGGTTTTGCTTTTTATCCTTTATTTTTGCAACTTTTTGTAATTAGACGTCTGCCAGAGAGCCGAACCTTACAAGTGTGTGTGCATGTGCGTGTGTGAGACGAATCTGAAGCATTGATTGGTCCAAATCATTACAGCCTTCCAAGACAACAGAACAAGGTAAGTCATGCCAGACACTCCTCCTTACACTTTCTATCCATTACCTAATGAATAATCCTGATTTGTCTTATTTATAATTTACAGCAGGTTTCCCCAATCTCAGTCCTGGAGGGCCACTGTCCCTGCAGAGTTTAGCTCCAACTTTGATCAAACACACCTACCTGTGAGTTTCTACTGATCCTGAAGACCTTGATTAGCTTGCTCAGGTGTGTTTGATGAGGGTTGTAGCTAAACTCTGCAGGAACAGTGTCCCTCCTGGACCGAGATTTACAGTGTACCAAATCAGTAGGTTTTGTAACGGAGATCATTCAAGTTCAACATATAATTTACCTGGCAGTTAAAGTGATCTAAAATGAAATGCCTTAATGTCTAATACTACATTAAGTCAATTCTAAAATAGCATTCTGTACGTGTCATGTGAACTTAAAGACTGCTTATTCACATTGGAGTACCACCCTTAGGCTGAATAACAAAACCTCTGTCAAAAGTGTTCTGCGTTCAGCTTACAAAATGTTTATCATAAACTAGCGCTGAGTCCAAGAATCTGCCCTACCAAAATGTACTTTCAGGAGCTGCTACAGGAACTGCGCGCACAAAACTTCTTACACAACGCATGTCTTCTTGCTCTTGAATGCATATTGGCAAGGCTTGAAAACTTGTGCAAATGACAGACTTTCGTGACCATGCAGCACTGGCCCGATTGGGACAGTGAACTTTCTAGGAATGTCTTTCACACTGAAATGCGCTCTTGTTAAACTTTGAATAAATGACAGAGTCCCCTCTGTAACATCACACAAAGTAGAGGATGATCTAGTGGAGAAGACTAGTAATAAGATTAACATCAATCAGATTCAGATATGTTCAACGTTTGCTGAAATAAATGCTTTCGTTGCTTTTGAAAATCGATATTGAATAGATTCAACGAAAATGTTTACATTAATCATAAAATCAACTCCTCTCAAAAAATCATGACAGAACGACATGAGGGTGAGTAAATGACAGAATTTTTATTTTGGGATAAATATTTTAATTTCTAAATTCTATTGAATGTACTGTTATTTCACACATTTTGTCCTGTTTGTCTTGTTCAAAGTGTGAATATTGAGTGAACTAAAGCTGTGCTAGGTTTCATTGTTTACTCATGTGCCTCTGTCTAAAGGGAAAGAGATCATAAGTACATAATTTAAGTTGTCTTTAGAAGAGTTTATTAGGTCTTGGCCAACCTTCTGTGCAGATGAGGCATGTTGTCTGTAGGGTCCTCTCCCCAACACACACCAACAGCCCTCGACTGACCCTACTGTGCTGCTTTTGTTCACTGGCTGTTCTTGTTGCCTTTCCCTCAGTTTATTTTCACAGCTTCCTTCCTTTCTTCACCTTTGCAGAAATCCAGAGGTATTTTGTTTGGGGTGTAACCAAAGAGAGAGGGGAAGGGAAGGAGCTGCAACACGACGACTGAATTAAAAATAAGATAAAATCTAGACTCTGGGAAACGACTTAATCTGATCCATCCCAGGTGTAGTAGATTTGGCCACTGTGAATGGGATAATTATGGGTAGTCCCTGGAAAGGTTTTGTCGAGTTTACCTTGCCGGCGTCGCCACCTGCAGCTTTTGTTAGCGCTGACCTGAACAGCACCTCGCCCGTCGGTCTCAGCCTGTCACCCTACGGCCGTTCCGTAAGTGCCCAGCCATCCGCTCTCCACCCTACTTTCCCCCACTCTCCTGAACTCGACTCGTTCATTGAACACACACTGTTGCCCCTCTCTGCGCTGTTCCTTTGCCACACCACATCATTCTGATCAGCAGGCTTAGAGGCTGGCCTCGATCACTTGCCATAGAGACGAGCAGCAACGAGAGGTGGCGAGGCAAGAGCGATGATATTGTTTTTACTAAGACTAACATAGTGGCTGGTTCATATGCATATGGTTACTTTACTCATTTGATTTGGCTGCTGTTGAACCGTGTCTGACTGACAGAAAATGGAAATTAGGCTTTGTATAGGTGTTTAAAGTCATGTATCTTTTTCGACGTAATGGCCCAGTGGTCGAGGCTGGTCGGAGTCTGTGTCATCTTACCATTTTATGGATGTTGCGGTAGTGCCATTCGCTTCATCAAGCTAACACATTCTGATTTTCCTCGAGCATGTCTTCCAGCACAGGGACAAGAATTAAAGGAGTAGTTCACCCTAAAACAAAAATAATATACTCTCATGTTATTCCAAACCTGTATGCCTTTTTTGCCCCTATGGAACAAAGATAATAATAATAATAGTAATAAAAAATGTCTTTACAATTAGCCTCATTCATGAAATTTTCATAAATGAATAAATTGCACGGAAAATAGATCTTCCTGAAAACTCTTCTGGATTCACAAACTATTCATAAACCTCAGATTTGATATTAAAACATGTGTATGTAAATTAATTCCAATTATTTGTGAATAGGGCGGGCGTGGACTCTCATTCACAATTAGCATAACCCGAGGGCATGAATTGCAGCTACGTAAATTACATGTCCAGGAACTCTGTGACATTTTCTGGACTTCCTTCTCTGGTTTGGCTCCAAATGCAAAAGAGACTAATTGGCTACATGCCTAAAAAAATATCTTCCATTTAAAGTGTGTGCACCAAAGATTTTTTTATCCAGCTGGAAATGCTCTGCTAGGGGTGCTTTAGCATTTGAGGCGCAGATATCTTTCTAGCTGAAAACCTTTGCTTGCTATTGCTATTATATGGAATATCCACGAAGTAATGTAACTAGTATCTGATTTCACAGATAGTTTGTTTTATCAGCAATTTTTTTATATTAAAATGAATTAAAAATTAAGTTGTTTACATTGCATTTTTATTTGTAAAAATAAGAAGTGATGGTTGGTCGTATTTCTTACCCCTCATCCACTGGGATAGCTGATTTAAAAAAGTGAAGTGACGAGAGCTGTTTTTTACCCGAATTTGAACATTTTTCAACTTGTTGACCAGAAAAAATATGTCAAACACCCATTTTATATTTATCTTCCAAGCGCTAGTAGTCCCTGGGGGTATATCAGAGCTTGAGTTAAAGCCGCTTTCTCGAGCCCCATCACTGCGGACAGTGAGCAAAATACATTTAAGCTCCTCAAGATTTAAAGATGACCAAAATGGGCAAACAAACGCTTGAAATATTATTAGTGTTATGAAAATGCAGTTAAATCGCACAAAAGTTTGTTCTGCTTCTGTTTTCATGAATGAGGCCCAATGAAAGTCAGTGGGGTCAGATGTTTTTAGGACCTTCTTTTTGTAATCCTTTGATGAAAATTATTAGAATCAGAGATGATTGCATCTGAAGTGTTTGTCATTCTCAAGCTTTAATGCAAAATGAAACCTCTCAGACTGAATAAACATTTCACAAAATGCTTTATTAAAACCATCACTAAAATTGAACACGTTCTCCTTGAATGAAGCAGTCAAGGTAAAATGCGTCACGCGTGATACCGTGACATTGGAATGCATCGCAGTGCAAAGAAAATATTGTTAATAATAATAGTGCAGCTGTTGGAATGGATTTGGTCATCTGTAGGTATAGTAAATTGACATTACTATTTGTCATTTGGCAGCAACGTAAGGAGAAAAAGGAGAAATATTTGTTTTTACCCCATCCACGTCATCACAGTGGTTTGATAGGCCCTTTGGCAGGTGTTTTTTTTTTTTTTTTTTTTTTTTTTTTTTTTTTTACTCTGTAAGGTCTGTAAACACAATGTGTTTATGATGCCATTTATTGGCTCTTCCTGTTTGATCCTTAATTTTTAGCTTTTTTTTAATCCACTCCCCCACCTTATACCCCCCAGTGTCTCACCACCCCCTACCTCCCACTCAAGATGGAGGCCTCTGATGCCCCTGTTGCTGCCCCCTCCACCTCAAGCCAGCCAATCCCCCGCTCTGCCTCAGTTTCATGCCATTCCTCTCGCGCCTTAGGGGGCAAAAAGCAAAAGCGGACCCCCTTGTATCAGCGATCTGTAAGTGGTCATGATTGGACGGTGTGCTGGCTTGATGTTCTCACAGTGTCAATACCTGACACTAACTGCATGCTTGGAGTTATTTTCAAGCTCTTTGTGGAGCTTTTAGAGGATATCAGTTTTTAATTGTCTAACTTTGACCACATGCCTGCTGACCGTTGACTTACAATTTGTGGGTGAAGTTGTCCAGAGAGACTTGAAACTTTGGATGTGTTGAGTTTGTTTGCGTGTATATTCTAATATATAACTAAACGCGTGTGGGGTGGATTCTATGCATGAACGCAATTTCTCGTTTTAAAGACACCAATGGAATTTTAAGTTAAGTGTTGTTTTCTTTAGGATTGTACAGGTTTCAGATTTATTTATCTTGGTCATTTTGATCAAGGAGCCAGTTCAAGCAGGCCACACAGAGGAGAGAATCTCTTACATCTACATTCAACTATTTTATTTCTTTTGTGTGTGTGTGTGTGTGCTGCATTTAAAACCTTGTTTCATCCCATTTTACCATTTCCGCACTTTGTTCTGATCTGTTGTGGAGAGCTGAAGGTTGAATATTGATGAAGTGAATATTTGAACGTGTCTTATTTCTCCATAGATGAGTTTTGACCCCAGTCTGCTGCATAGTAATGGCCATGGTGGATTTGCCAATGGAACAAGCATGGGAGTCCGTGAGACAGGAGTGGTTGAAAAACTGCTTACATCGTATGGTTTCATTCAGTGCTCTGAGAGACAGGCCCGTCTCTTCTTCCACTGTTCTCAGTACAATGGCAACCTGCAGGAGCTTAAGATTGGAGGTATGGATCGAATGAGGTGGGAGAAAACAGCAAGAACTAGGGATAAGCAGTATAACTAAAAAGTGTATTTATTAGCCTTTTGAAAGTAACCATTTTGGCCATGTTCATTACCAAAAACATCAAACATTTTTCATCATTTAATCGGCATTATGAATCACTTTATTAAAACAGACAAGTTTTTTAATAAAAACAGTAACAGTTTGAATTCATGAAAATTAATTAAATCTACTCGAATTGTATAAAACTATACAGTCAGTACACCATAATTATACAAATGAACTAGATCTATCCGTTTTTTCCTTTCAAAGGGATGAAAACTGGTAGATAAAGATTAGGCTTAAAACAGATTCTTCATCATTGGATATCTAGTGGATAAAATGTATTGTAGCCTTCATATTTCAGTTGAAATGGCTAATATTTTTGAATCAGCTCTGATTAAAATCATTACAATATACTCCTCTCCAGCAAAATCGTCACGAATGTATTGTCAAGATTCAATATCGACAAGCGCTAGTAGGAATCTTAATGCAAAAACACACGCATGTAAATATTTTGTTTTGCTTCCAACATGAATATTAATGCAGCTATTGACTTATTCCGTGTCATGTCTTTCCCATTACTTTTTCAGATGATGTGGAGTTTGAGGTGTCGTCTGATAGACGCACTGGCAAACCAATTGCGGTGAAGCTAGTAAAAATCAAGGCAGAAATGTTGCCAGAAGAGCGAATTTCTGGGCAGGTGGGGCCTGACTTGCACGCCTCTCCTTTAACTGTGCTGCATGGTTTTATTCATCCAGTTAAGGAACACATTTTACTTTTGTGTTTTATTGTCTTTGTCCCATTAATGTCTGTCACTGTTGGATTTCAAGCTCATTTTTAATCCATATTGATCAGGCAAACGCACATGCATCACTAGTTTCGAATATCAGGAATAACATCTAGCAATCCTTAACTGACCTGATGTAATTGCTTTGTTTTGTGTGGGTTCACGATGAGCTTGTTTGTCTTCGTCTTGTTGGGTGGACTTTTCATCCTCATTTAATATACAGTTGTGGGAGAAACAAATCTTGATTTGTTGTCAATGTCAAGTCTGTCAGTCATTTATTTATATATTTAGTTAGTCTGGTTCCTTGAACTCAGACGTACAAGTCAATTCTTAACCCTAAATGTTCTTAATTAAAAATCGAATTTAGTTTACATTAAGCTTCTATGTTTAGGGACCTCTTTAGCATTTTAACATGGTTGATCCTGTTTCTGTCACCAATGCAATCTTTAACCTTGGCTTGTCTGTTTGTACGGTCCCTTTCTCCAGGTAGTTTCAGCCATCCCCTCTCACCTGGACGGGAAGTCTGCACCTGGCCAAGTGCCCACAGGCAGTGTGTGTTATGAGAGGAACGGGGTATGTGTCATTTATCCTCCTTTGCAGAGTTTCCTAAACATTTTAAACAAAATCACTTGTTTTCTACCCTCTCTTGTGACCTGTTTTCCTTTAAGTTCTATATAAGCAGATTTAGCTAAGCAAACCTAGAGAAATGCACTGAATTAAACAAACGCATATAGTCTGCATGGTGCATTGATTTTTCTGAATGTTTTTGGTTTGAATCTTCTCACAGGAAGTGTTTTATTTGACATATGCCCCTGATGATGTGGAAGGAAATGTTTCTTTAGATACTGGAGATAAAGTCAGTTTTTACATGGAGACCAACAAGCAGTAAGTGGTTTACTTTAATGTCTAATTGATATAGGTAAAATGTCAAAAGGCACTTTTTTATGTGGAAATTATTTCTTTTTCTTTCAGTACTGGTGCTGTTAGTGCTCACAACATTGTATTGGTAAATAAGCAACAGTCAAGATGTCAGGGAGTGGTTTGTGCTACCAAGGTAAGGATCTGATTGAAAAAATTAATTTTGTAGCTGCTTTTTTTTGGTAGAATGAATAATGAGTGATCTCCTGCCCTCTGGTGGGAAAGCAAATGCGAATGGCAAATGTACTTCAGACTGCTATTATCTCAAGTCTGGCTTAATCAAGTTTTTTTTTTTTTGTTAATTTGTTTGGGGTTTATTAATTTGAACTAGTGCCAGAATTATTAGTTTATAAATGCTCAAATTTAATTTTGAAAATATAGATTTAAATATATTTGTACTGATGTTACAATGCTATGATTGTGTCTTGCAGGAGGCCTTTGGATTCATTGAACGAGGGGATGTTGTGAAGGAGATCTTCTTCCACTACAGTGAGTTTAAAGGGGATCTAGAGGCTCTACAAGCTGGAGATGATGTGGAATTCACCATTAAAGAAAGAAACGTAAGCTTGAGTGGAAATAAAGGACTTCTGAAAGCAAAACTTTATTATTGACTTTACTATTGGTCTTTTGTTTGAAACTTTAGGAATTATAATCATTGAAAAGATACAAAGGTTTTACTTTCATTCATTTTGATTGAAATGCATGATGCATTGTTGTTTCAAACAGCGTTATAGATGTTTCTCTTTGCTTCATAGGGCAAGGAAGTGGCCACAGATGTGAGACTGTTGCCTCAGGGCACTGTTATATTTGAGGATATTAGTATTGAAACCTTCGAGGGCACTGTCTCCAAGGTTATTCCCAAGGTTCCCACCAAGAATCAGGTTTGTAATCAGCTCTTGTCATTGGTCTTCCTAGACTCTCTTGATAACATCACCATATAGATACTGCTTGCATGTTAAATCGAATAAGACTCCATTTGTCTCACTCAGAACGACCCACTGCCTGGGCGAATCAGTGCCAGAATTAATTTCACTGACAAAGAGCTGCTATTTGGGGAGAAGGACACCAAGTCCAAAGTGACACTGCTGGAGGGAGACCATGTCCAGTTCAATATATCCACCGACCGACGGGACAAACTAGAGCGAGCGACAAATATCGACATCCTCCCTGACACCTTCCATTTTACCAAGGAGACCCGTGAAATGGTACAACTGCAGAACTCTTTATGATTTTTCTTGCAATGCTTTTACTTTTTGCTAATGTTGGCTTTGCTTCTCTATATGTCTTTTTGTGCAGGGTGTGATAGCTGCCGTGCGTGATGGTTTTGGCTTCATCAAATGTGTGGACCGTGACGCCCGGATGTTCTTCCATTTCAGCGAGGTTCTGGAAGAGAGCCAACTGCACATTTCTGATGAAGTGGAATTCACTGTGGTGCCTGTGAGTTCCTAGATATTACCAAACCTGAACCACTTGTGTTGCTGATTTTTTTTTTTTTTTTTTGGTCACAATTTGATGTCTAAATGACATCCTGCCCTCTATATGCTGGAATAGCCTTTATAAACAGCTGACTAATCTGGGTTTTTTACTGTAAACAAAACAGGGGCAAAAGTAAAATTGATCTTGCATTGCCTCAATCCAGCTTTACAACACCCCCTCTTGCCTTCATCAGGACATGCTGTCAGCCCAAAGAAACCATGCCGTGCGGATCAAAAAGCTGCCCAAGGGTACAGTGTCATTCCACACTCAATCTGAGCTGCGTTTTATGGGGGTGGTGGAGAAAGAAGCTGTGCCTGCTACTACCAACAAGAGCTACAGCCCCAGCAAGGTCAAAGAGAAGGTAAATAATTTCTTGACTTCCTGAAGCTACACTTCTGTTATAAAGTTTGGGGTCAGCAAGATGTTTTTGAAAGAAGTCTCTTATGCTCCCCAAGGCTGCATCTATTGATCGAAAATACAGTAAGGGTGCCTTTACACCTGAGCGTTTGTTTCGGAACCTGGTGAATTTTCTCCCTTGGTTCAGTTTGTTTAGGCATATGTGAACAAAAGCAATCACGCTCTGATCCGCACCAACAGAATCATATCGAAAAGTCTGAATGAGGTGGTTTTCGGTTCGCTTGAGGTGTGAAGTAAGCCGAACCAAATGGTATAATAATTGATAACAGGAAATGTGCTGTATAAATAACAGTAGTGTCTGATTCTATAAGCACATTAGTTGTCACAATTGAAAACAAAATGAGCGCATTCGTATGGTGTTTGTGTGTATTGACTGTTAACCTGGGAGGGGAGATTCAGAGAGAGCGCATTTGTATTTGCTGTAGTAGTAATACATTTGTAGTATATTACTTAAAAACAGGAAAGATGGCTACATTCGTATATTGTTTGCAAGCGTCTTGACGGTTATAAATAAAGCCACAATAAGATCATGGAGCAAACTTGTCAATCTTTTTGATAGATGACGTACAGGACACTGACCATTAAGAGGACGCACATTTTGGTATGCTTTGAAAGGTTTCCTTGTAAAAATGGTAAATGGACTGCATTTATATAGCGCCTTCATAGACCTAATGGCCACCAAAGCGCTTTACATTTGCCTCACATTCACCCATTCATACACTCATTCACACACCGACGGCGGTGTCAGCCATGCAAGGCGCCATCCAGCTCGTCGGGAGCAGCTGGGGTCAGGTGTCTTGCTCATGGACACCTCGACACTTGGTCAGGTGGAACCGAGGATTGAACCACCAACCTTTCGGTTTGTAGACAACCCACATGAACCACTGAGCCACTGCCGCCCCTAAAAGCAAACCGAACCAAGAAGAAAATGCAGCATTGTAACAAATTAAGTCCCGGTTTCAGAACAAAACAAAAAATGATCTACAGGTGTGAATACGCCCAAAAACAGCACTATTGTGAAATCATCACAATTTAAAATATAATTTACTTTTTCAAATGTAATTTTTTCCTGTGGTGGTTTTTCACAGCCACAAATATAATTCTAATATGCTGAATGGTGCTATAGACAAACAGTATTTCTTATCACAGTTTAAAATTTTAGTTCTGCTTAATATTTTTTTGTGGAAACAACCTTGATGCATTTTGTTTTCATTTTTTGTTTTAATAAAGTTCAAATGAGCAACATTTGTGAAATATAAATCTTTTGTAACATTTTAAATGTCTTAACTGTCATTTGATCAAATTAATGTGTACTTTAAAAGTGTTAATTTCTTTTAAAATTCTCATGACCCCAAACTTTTGAATGGTAGTGTAAATTTAGTTGGTTTTATTTATTCTTTCTTTGTGTGAATGGAAATTTGGAAAACCACCTGTCATAAGTAGAAATGAATGACTTTGAACATGGAGGAATTCAGTTGCTAATTTTTTTTTTTTAAAAAAAATAATTTTACTTTCTAGACTTTAGCTTTCATTTCCCCTCTCTGCTTGTTTCCCTCTTGATTGACGCAAACACGAAATACAATTGCAGGCTTTGAGGTGCTATGAAATGCAACTGCCTCTTGTCTGACCCTCTTTTCTTTCTTTTTATTTTTCCTTTTCTTTTTCTCCTTTTTTATTTTTTTTTTTTAACCATGCTCGTCTACATTAGAAAAAAGACAAGGTAGGCTGCTGTTTCCTGCATGCTGCCTCTCCTCCACAATGTAGACCAGTTCAGTCATGCTGTCAGAAAATCCTATTCTGAAAACATGATCTTTAAAACATTTATACCAAAGATGAGATTTAGCTTATTGTAATTATTTATTTTTAAAACATCTGCAATTCAAATATTTTCTGATTGGTTAGAATAAATCACAGATGTCTAATCCTCCGCATTTCTCTCCTTTAAGGGTAAAGTTGAAAAGGTCAGTTTGATCTGTCTCTGTTTGGTTATGAGGCCTGTTGGCATGAGCTGGGAATGATTTAGTCATACAGACATGTTAACCTCATAACCATACCAATTCAAGCTGTGCCACTCTGTGTGCATTCTTTTATGAGGGGTACAACGGTTCTGTTTCTATGTTGCTCATGCAATTACTCTTGAAAATGGATGTCACGCAATTTCATACACATTTTCAACTGTGGTACAGATGTACTGAAGCGTGGGTGGCAAACTGTACGGGAGCAGTTTTACCCCTAGTTTTAGTGTGCGCATGATGACTAAATCTTTCATTAATTGTCTTGTTTCTTTATTTACTCATTGTGTAAATACATTTTTCCCCATGCTTTGCTTCTGATTGGATATTCATTTTGCAAATTAGGCGTTGCAAAATGTATTGCTGCTGATACCCAGAGACACATTCGGCCTGTCCAAAAACCCACACTTGTCTTCATACATTATTTCCTGTGTGTAGAACTTTTGATTACCTGACGGTACACTTTTCTCATAAAAAAGTGTTTACAGAGCTTTACGACACAATTTAGTAATTGTGGTCCTTCTAATTAAGATATAAAATGTAAAATATAAAAATGCAATATATCTAGTTCATTTAACTTGCTGTGGAATGTTGACGTCTCCTGTCGAAGTTTCAGTGGCACTTGAGTTTCTGAACATGATGCATGATGGGATACACTTAGCCTTGAATACTACTCCGAAGTGGTATTTGTTGTGTGTTAAGGGCACTGAGCTTGCGCACTGATTTTGCACACTCACTTCCTGTTGTGTGCATGTGCTCTCAAGTGGCCAAGACTACATGTGTAGGTTTTTGGACAGTCCCAATCTTTACAGGGTTCTCAAGTATCTGCAGGCCATCACTGACACTAGTTAAGGAATTATGATTTCTGCACTTAAAATCACCCTTGAAAGTGCACACTCAGTAGTATTTTTTTTTTTACCTTTTTTTAAATCATGAATACTTAAGAATACTCATGCTGTATGTCAGTGTAAGTCCAAGATGACCAAGTCAATCATAACCAGAGCTGAGGTGCTCTCTGTTGTGTATATGTTAAAAAAAGTTGTTGGTCCCAATGTGAATATGTATTTGTGCCGTCACCAGGATGCAGAAGAAGGCTTGATTGCGTATGAAGAGAGTGGAGAGAAAAGCACTATTCCCTACCATATTAAAGACCTGGATGGAGGCATTTACCCACAGCTTGGAGACAAGGTACGTTAGGCACTACAGCTCAGTGTTGTGCTCGTTGAATTTGTGCTTTTCATGTTTTTCATGTTAAACTCGAGAATGGAATGATTTTGTTTATTTGGAAGCATTTTATTATAACCATTTATGAGACGAATGTTACGTAGCAAAACATCTAATTTTTAGAAAAGAATTTTCTTCAGCTTTTTAAATTAACTTGTAATCCGTAAGAGGAGATGTCATTTTTGGTTTAATGTAAACCGCCTTGTCTCCACTAGGTGGAATTCTCCATCAGTGAGGTGAAACGCACCGGACAGCAAAGTGCTGTGTCCTTCAAGGTCCTTAATCGTGCTGTTGGCACCAAGAGGCTTCTGGGATACATAGCAACACTGAAGGATAATTTTGGCTTCATAGAAACATCCAATCATGATCAGGAGATCTTCTTCCACTACAGGTAAAGTTTCTACCTGATGGTTTTGACTTGTTTTAATGTTTTTTTTGTTGTCTTTTGATTTATGGTTTACTCTGAATTGTTTGCAGTGAGGTGTGTGGGGATGTGGACAACTTTGACTTGGGAGATACGGTGGAGTACACTCTCTCCAAGGGTAAAGGAAACAAGATCAGTGCTGAGAAGGTCACCAAAGTTGCAGCTGGTATGTTAGAGACTTATTATGGCCTTGGCATTAATAATACTTGGTTCATGCAAGTAACACAGCTCTGTATGTGTCAGTGAATGGAGTAGGAGAGGATGTGAGTAATACTGTGTTCCTGGGGAAAGTGGTTCGGCCCTTGCGCAGTGTGGACCCTTCTCAGACAGAGTATCAAGGCCTTATTGAGATCACAGAAGATGGTGAGTGATGACATCTGACATCTCTTTTTAATAGTTTGTGTATCTAGAGTTTTGTATAAAGTGTTAAACCATTTTAATAATTGTTCTCTGCTCAATCACATTACCAGGCTCCAGCAAGGGCCAGAGTTATCCATTCGGCATTGTCGGTATGGCCAATAAAGGTGACTGTCTGCAAAAGGGTGAGATGGTGAAGTTTCAGTTGTGTACAATGGCCCAGACAGGACAAAAGATGGCCTGCAACATTGTTCCTCAGCGCAAAGCCCTGGTGGAGTGTGTCAAAGATCAGGTAAACTCGTGTCCGCTGTGAGTTTAATGATGCAAGAAAGTGTTAGACACTTGCTAAAAGCAGTCTGGTTTTTGTTTCCCCCAGTTTGGTTTCATCACATATGAAGTTGGAGACAGCAAGAAGCTGTTTTTCCACGTCAAGGAGGTGCAGGATGGTCTGGAGCTGCAGGCCGGTGATGAAGTAGAGTTTTCTGTGATTTTGAACCAACGCACAGGCAAATGCAGTGCCTGCAATGTTCGCAGAGTCAGGTTAGACTTCTCACTTAAATGTATTACAAAGTTGTTGTTATTATTAGGGGCCAAGCACCAAAGGTGCGGAGGCACGTATTTATTATTATGATAATTATTGAGTTGTAAATCATGTTATAGTTATAATTGCTTTTTATCAAATCTAACCAGAATTATTTTTTTCTTTTCTTTTTATACAGTGAGGGTCCAAAACCCGTAGCAACGCCTCGACCTGACAGACTTGTCAATCGTTTGAAGAGCATCACTCTGGATGACACTAACGCTCCCCGTCTTGTCATTATCAGACAGCCTCGTGGCCCAGACAATTCAAAGGTAACAGCATTTCTGTTCAGCATTTTTGGGGGTGATTTAAGTAAAACTTCTGGCACCTAAAACTGCAATTTTAGACTTGAAATAACAGATGGATGATCTTGATATTGACCTGGTGTTTTGTTCATACAGGGCTTCAGTGTAGAGAGGAAACTCCGCCAGCCTGGTATTACTGACTGAGAACTGTTCACCCCTCTCCTCTTCACTACGGATGAGACACCTTGGAGAAAAGCAATCAGACCAAGGGCATAGGAAGGGATTTGTGTGTCTGTTTCTCTCTCTCACTCATTTGATCTCTCTCTCTCACCCATAAAAACAATTCACAGAATAACAAACACATCAAGACTCGAACATTAGCACACACAGGTCCCTTCCTTTGTCACAGGATCCCTTGCAAAAAAAAAAAATACTCATCTCATTGTCTTCATTGTATGTGTGATGGTTTTGTGTGGTTGTAATTTGAGCAAAAGCCCTCTCGTGCTGTGTGAGTGTGTGGTATGCATCATATGTTTGGAAAAAGTTCACTTGTAAGGTTGTTATTGTTATGCAGAGGATATGAGGGGAAATTTGGGTTTGTAGTTCTCACATCTTTTAGATTGAGATGTGGGGACTGTTTAACCCACTTTTCATTTCTGCTGAAATTGAAATGCCAGGAATTCTGCACCTGCTGCTGTGTGAGTGAGTTGTTGTTTTAGAGTAGCTTTGCCTGTCTGTATTTTGATTTCCGTTATATATACTTTATTCTTCCTGTATCACTTGAATACGTCTCCCCATGTTGTTTCTCACCTGGGTGATATTGAGATATTGTTGGTCTCTTTTTGGTGAGAAATAAAATGACCTTAAAGTTCTTTTCACTCACATTTTCATTCACTCACCTAATTCCTTTGAGTAGCTTTTAACATGGATCTGAAAACGAAATAAATTTTCTCTGCGCTCAGAACTCACTTGTGTATGGTTTTTGATTGTGTAAATTACAGTTTTTGAGATTATATTGTTTTGTTTTTTAAGGAGCCTTTTTTAATTCCTGTCCTGATTTCACTAGCTCCATCTGGGCATGTGCAGAATTCCTAATGGCATCTTGTAGCCTGCGGTCTTTTTTTTTTTTTTTTTTTTTTTAATGATTTTTCTTCTTTTTTTAAAAAAAAAGATCTTTTTTTTCGCACATACTTTTCTTTTTCTTTCTTGAGTTTGAGTTTAACTTAAACTCAATATCTGCTAATGAATAAATAAAGAAAAAGGTGCCTAAAAACAAACAAAACAAAAAATGAAACAAAAAAAAAATTGGTGTCTCCTCTATCCCCAAACAGCCACCAAAATATAAGAGCAGTTGTAGGGTGGCTTTTTTTTTCTTCTTTTTTTTTCTTTTTCTTCCAAGTAGAGAATACTGGTGTGGATCCCCCAAACCTGTGGGTTGAGAAATACTGTATGTACTGTGTGCTTTTACTTGGTTGGACCTTTTGAAAACCTAAATAAATCAAGCAAAGTGTGCAGAACTTGAGAAAAGGGGAGACCTCTAAGTAAAATGTAAAAACATGCAGAGAAATTATGTTGATAGAGGCTATTTACAGTGCTGCTTATGACAAATGGAGCTATTACTGTCATGAATATTTTCTCTGGAGCACTCTGGGTTTGTGTTGAACCTTAGGGTTCTCCTATATACTTTTGTTAATGGTCTTGAATGAAACAATTGAAATAAACATTTTATGAGAATCAAAAGGGTAATATGTTTAATTTTTTTTCTAGTAAAGCACTATACAGAACCTTAGACATAAATCATGCCTTTGCAAACTTTTGTGGCATTAAAAAAAGACCGATATCCCTGAACAGAGAAGGGGTTTCATGTGACTAAACTCTGGTGCTTCCCAGATGTATGGTGATTTCAGAGCGATGCACTATCTTTGGTTTTGTCACTGATGTTGGATTCTGGTTTTGAGACCATCGTGTCCACCACTCCCTCAGGTCTGCTGGTCCGCTTTGAGGAGGATGTGAAATCTGATTTCCTGAAACAAACACATATGGGAGTTTGGACTCCAGCGTCGTTACCACCCTTTTTGTTTCACCGTCCCCTTGCGATCTGTCTGCTGAAATCAGTGTTTGTTCGACGCTTGTTTGGGCATGTTTTGGCGTGTCTACTGGGCTATTCTGTTCAGTGTTGTTTTCTTGTCCTGTTTTCTGCTGGGAGTTTCTCAGGTCCATTGCTTGCAGTTTCTGTTTGTACTCTTCTAGTTTAGCTTTGCACTCGGAAGCAGCTTCTTTTGTCTGAAAGAACTGCCTCTGAAGGTCTCTCTCAAAGACTTCCTCCGCCTTGAACTCATTGAGCCAGAACTTGAGCTGTTCCTCTTCTTCCGACAGGGACTCTGAGAATGTCCTGGTGGCCAGCTGCTGCTCAAGCTCAAGGATCAGCTGGTCCGTTGACTCAATTTTGAGCTTTATTTCTTGCAGAAAAGACTGTTGTTGGACAACTAGTCTCCTTAAATGTGAAATCTCCTCACTCTCGGTTTCAACATGGCTTGTTTTGACCGGAGGAACAATTGGATTGATGGTCATCAGATCCTCCTTTGCCTCTTTCAGTACCTCTTCCTCTCGTCTCTCATATTCAGCACCATTATCAGTGCATCTCCCACGGTTCCCAAGGCAACTAATCAAAGGCTGATGTGGTGCTCTAATTTTGTCTTTTTTGTCCCTCGACAGCGGTGTCCCAGAGGCTGGTACATTTTTGATTGGTTTTAGAGATGTGTTATCTGAGTGCCCATTTCCTTTATTGCCTTCCTTGTCTTTTTTCTTATCTCGTCCTGATTGCTGCTTCCCGCCCCTGCCCAAATTTTCCAGCCAACCCCATGCTTCCTCCATTAGTGTCAGTGACTTCCGCTTGGGTCTCTTGGGTTCCTCAGGGGGTGGCTCTGATTGGACGCCGAGGTGTGATAGCGGAGGAAGGCTCTGGCGGTGTAGGGCGATTGCCCCGCTGCCTCTCCGTGCCCTCCCCGTCCCCTCCGCTCGCCTCAATAGGGGCCAGGGTTGGTTTGTTTCTTCCCCAGGCGATGGGCCGATATGCTTCAAAGTCAGCTGCACCTCCTTAACTTGCTCCCCATATTTCTCCAAGGATTCCAGGAGAAGTTCATCCGGAGACACATTACGTTCAAATTCTTTGAATTTTTCTCTCAGAGTATATCGACCAGTGCGACCTAAGAGTGAGAACAATATTAAAAGTGACTTTTGGGAAGAATATACATTTACAATAAACTGATTATTAGCAGATGCTTTTGTCCGAACGACTTTCAAGTGAGAAAAACAAGTAATTTCATCCTGGAGGCAATAACACAAGAAGTTTTGGCAAAACAAAGTTTACAACATTGTCCAGAATTGTACAAGAACAGGGAGGGTTATTATAAATAGTGAAAGCACAGAAGTTGTTTTTATAATTTTTTTTATTTTAAAGTCCGCAGGATGCAGTTAAGTGCCTGTGGAAGAGATTCGTTTTCAGCTGTTTGTCTGGTATTTTGCTGTCCGGAGAGTCATTATCTGACTAGAACATTATCTGATCTTTCATTCCAGTATGTTTTGTAGAACACACACACAAAAAAAGATATTTTGATGAATATTTTTGCCAATATAATGAGAGTTTTTATAACTATCTTTTCAAAGATTTTTAAGAGACCTTAACTAACTAATAGTGTTTTCTTCATGTTTGTGTTTTTCATGGTCGTTACATGGTTATGTAGAAGATGCTTTATGGAATGATAAACTCTAAGATGTTGGGCAAGGCATGTACTTACCAAGTGCCTGTGCTAAAGCGATGACCACCTCCTGACATGTTGTTTTCTCAGTGACTCCACAAACAATGCGCTGGACTCCTTCAACAAACACCTTTACCTCCATTCTAAAAGAAAATAAATCAGCTCATTTCTGTACTTCTAGAATGTCTCATTCCTCCCATTAAATTACTCTGCCTGTGAAAAAAAAAAGTTCCCTCAACTTTCCTGTGTATTGAGTTGTACAGATTGCGGAGTTTACAAAATCAGATTACTGTAAGATTCATTATGAAGGGTGTGCTGTACCTGTCCTTATGGTCAGAAGATTCCTTGAGTTGACTCGTATAAAATCCTCGTACTTCAATAAGAGGCAATTTGGTAAATGTTGTCCTACATGGAAAAGTCATGTTGTCATACTTGACTTAGCTGAACACGTACAAACCCTTCCCTTTAGTAAACACTCAGATCAAGACTGATAACTCAGACTCGGCTGTAGATGTTGGTATGTGTGTTTGTCTGCAGCTCAGTTCTTGATGTCCCCAGACAAGTGTTTTGGAGTCGTGTTTACATTTGAAATATACTTCTGCCAAAGCAGGTGTTCAGTTACTAAACATGTTGTATGATTTCTTACAAGATTTAATCAGATATTGAAGAAAACACAGACTGCAATTTTTATTGAAAAAATTTTACGTTAAAATTTTAAAATTAAAAAATGTTACGTTAAAATTTAAAAACAAAACAAAAAATAATAACAAAACACTAAATAAATAAATATTTATTTATATAAAATTACATTTAGTATTTATTTTTTCGTGACATCTTCAAATGCATATTTTGCCCAGATTTAATTTGTCAGCAATCAAGTTAGAGAAATGTTAGAAAAAATATTACATGTAACTGATTTTTAATGTAACTAATTCATCTTAAAGTATATCAGATATTACATAAATAGGATGAGTTGTAACATTAATAGAAATTGTGTACATTTTTAATTTTGTGTTTTAATGTCTTGTGGTAATCAAATTAAGCCCTACATGTTTAAAAAAATATTACATGTACTTTTGACTTTGCAATTGTTTCTTTTAGAAGTGGGTCTGTAACCTACACAACCTTAATCTTTAGAAAATATATAAAATACAGTGTAATCATTATAAATTAATAGTTTATATAAAAATGTTTTTTTTTAAAGCTACACTAAAATGCATGGCGGAAACTGCATTGTTGTATTGATGTCTAAAGACTTTTATTTTGAAAAGCTATGAGGAAGACCGAATTTAGGTGGATGCTTCACACACACACTTGCGTTCTGCTTGAGAGTCCTCCGACCTTTTTGACAGGTAAACATGAAGATAGTAACATGGAACATAAACGGAATACGAACATTTAAAAATGGTATCAAGAAAATTCTGGATTCATTCGATGCCGATATAATCTGCGTTCAAGAGACTAAAGTTACCCGTAAGTGTTTTAAGTAAAGCGGGACTTTGAATTCATTGTGTTCATATAATAGCACCCTTATAACAACTTTTAACAGCTCAGCAATTGCATACATTGTTTGCAGGTGACCTTTTGGATGAGAAAACAGCGATTGTTGATGGCTACAATTCATATTTTAGTTTTAGCCGAGGACGAGGTGGATACTCGGGTAAAGCAGCCTACTACATTACATTTATCAAAATTATGTCAGCAAAATTACTATAAATACTTGATAGACTTTTGTATTAGATTCATTCCAATATTTTGTATTTATTAAATATATTTTATCTAGTTTTTACTACCAATTGCAAATGACAACTGTTTGACTGATGAGATCATGAACAACATTTACTCCGTGTCCAGGTGTCGCGACCTACTGTAAAGATACCGCTACTCCATTCCTGGCCGAGGAAGGATTGACAGGTCTGCTCACCAATCAGGGAGAGGCTGTTGGTTGCTATGGTGACCAGGTAGAGTTGTCTAGTGAGGAGCTTCTGGCACTAGACAATGAAGGAAGGACTGTCATCACCCAGCATCACTTCATGTAAGGGTCTTAAATTTAAAATAGTTTTAGAAAAGCTTAACATGTTGTGAAAGCTTCAGATTTCTTCTTTCTTCTATTTTCAGGGGCACAGATGGACCACAGAAGCTGACTGTTATCAATGTTTATTGTCCTCGAGCTGACCCGGACAAACCTGAGAGAAAACAATTCAAGCTGCAGTTTTACCACCTCCTCCAGTGCAGAGCTGAAGCCATCTTGAGCTCAGGGAGGTAAGAGAGTCTATTAGACTAAAAAAGCATGGATGAAAGCATGGATGCTGTTTTTGTAAATGTTATAATGGACGACAAGTTTTTTCTTTCGCCACATGCGCAAAAGACAAATCATAGTCAAATTGTTTTTTATACTGTTCAAACTGTATATTTTATCCCCTTACACTAACTCTACCCCTAAACCTACCCATCACAGAAAACGTGCTACATTCTTACATTTAAAAAAAAAAAAAACATCACTTAGTATGATTTATAAGCTATTTTCCTTATAGGGACAAAAAAAAATGTCCTCACAAGGATTTCGGATATTGCCATCTTTGTGGGGACAATTTGTCCCCATACTGTATGTTGGGTTTACCAGGCTACACACACACAACATGGCATGTTATTCCCTGAAATATTGGTAATAAGTTCTTTCTTTATGTTGCTATAATGCTGTCTTATTGGTCCTCCTCAAATTGTTATCAAGATTCTTCTAAGATATAACGTGTCTTTTTGTTTGAATAATGCATCCCTCTGTCTCTCTTCAGTCATGTGATCGTTTTGGGTGATGTAAACACCTCTCACAGATCCATAGACCACTGCAACCCAGATGATGTGGTGAGTCCGTAAACCATGTTCCTTCATCATGATTTCATTTGACGCAATTTAACCAGGCACAAGAAGTAATAAAAGTCCTCACAATAAAAGAAAAATGCTGGATGATGCGGCACATTTGCAGCCAGTCATATTTGATTTTTATTAGAGAGCAACAGTGCCTTTCTACTTTTTCAGTGGCCTTGGTTCTAGGAGTATCTCTCCCTCTCTCTGTATATACAAACCCAATTCCATAAAAGTTGGGACACTGTACAAATTGTGAATAAAAACAGAATGCAATGATGTGGAAGTTTCAAATTTTAATATTATATTTAGAATACAACATAGATGACATATCAAATGTTTAAACTGAGAAAATGCATAATTTTAAGGGAAAAATAAGTTGATTTTAAATTTCATGGCATCAACACATCTTAAAAAAGTTGGGACAAGGCCATTTTTACCACTGTGTGGCATCCCCTCTTCTTTTAATAACAGTCTGCAAATGTCTGGGGACTGAGGAGACAAGTTGCTCAAGTTTAGGAATAGGAATGTTGTCCCATTCTTGTCTAATAAAGGCTTCTAGCTGCTCAACTGTCTTAGGTCTTCTTTGTTGCATCTTCCTCTTTATGATGCGCCAAATGTTTTCTATGGGTGAAAGATCTGGACTGCAGGCTGGCCATTTCAGTACCCGGATCCTTCTTCTACGCAGCCATGATGTTTTAATTGATGCAGTATGTGGTTTGGCATTGTCTTGTTGGAAAATACAAGGTCTTCCCTGAAAGAGACGATGTCTGGATGGGAGCATATGTTGTTCTAGAACTAGGATATACCTTTCAGCATTGATGGTGCCTTTCCAGATGTGTAAGCTGCCCATGCCACACGCACTCATGCAACCCCATACCATCAGAGATGCAGGCTTCTGAACTGAGCGCTGATAACAACTTGGGTTGTCCTTGTCCTCTTTAGTCCGGATGACATGGCGTCCCAGTTTTCCAAAAAGAACTTCAAATTTTGATTCGTCTGACCACAGAACAGTTTTCCACTTTGCTAGAGTCCACTTTAAACGAGCCTTGGCCCAGAGAAAACGCCTGCGCTTCTGGTTCCCGTTTAGATATGGCTTCTTTTTTGACCTATAGAGCTTTAGCCGGCAACAGTGAATGGCACGGTGGATTGTGTTCACTGACAATGTTTTCTGGAAGTATTCTTGAGCCCATGTTGCGATTTCCATTACAGTAGCATTCCTGTGTGTGATGCAGTGCCATCTAAGGGCCCGAAGATCACGGGCATTCAGTATGGTTTTCCGGCCTTGACCCTTATGCACAGAGATTGTTTCAGATTCTCTGAATCTTTGGATGATATTATGCACTGTAGATGATGATAACTTCAAACTCTTTGCAATTTTTCCCTGAGAAACTCCTTTCTGATATTGCTCCACTATTTTTTGCCTCAGCATTGGGGGAATTGGTGATCCTCTGCCCATCTTGACTTCTGAGAGACACTGCCACTCTGAGAAGCTCTTTTTATACCCAATCATGTTGCCAATTGACCTAATAAGTTGCAAATTGGTCCTCCAGCTGTTCCTTATATGTACATTTAACTTTTCTGGCCTCTTATTGCTACCTGTCCCAACTTTTTTGGAATTTGTAGCTCTCATGAAATCCAAAAGGAGCATATATTTGTCATGGCAATTCAAAATGTCTCACTTTCAACATTTGATATGTCATCTATGTTGTATTCTAAATATAATATTGAAATTTGAAACTTCCAAATCATTGCATTCTGTTTTTATTCACAATTTGTACAGTGTCCCAACTTTTATGGAATTGGGTTTGTATATAGAATAATATACCATTGATTTAACAACCTCCATAGCTTCCAGTAGGTCTGTCTTTAAAGGTTTATAAGTTAAAAAAATCCCCTATAGAGAAACTGAAATGAATTTCTGGAACTTCTGGAACCTAAATGATGCTCTCCATATAATGATAGGTTGGACAGTATTTTTGACTAATGAGATTTTCAAGGTCACAAATATAGAAATTAGGTGACTAGGCAAATGTCTTGTTGTGACTGGATAGGACAAAATCTTAAATTTACATTGAAGAGCTATTCCGGGTTATCTTAGCATGAAAGTGAGAATGGATGGTGGAATGGGGTAGCCCGGATGCCAACCTGAACCCCGCCCACAACATTTTTTTGGTCGGGAAGTTCGGTCTGGACTCGATCCTTTGAGGAGTAATTATTGAAATAATCGTCGGGCCAATCAAATTGCCAGGACAGGCTTAATACGATGCTGGATAGATGACCTTTAGTTACGTAATCATCACATTATCAAAGAGCGCTTGGGTTGAACTGGTTTCCCTCAAAGACGACTGCAGCACTGCAGGAGGATTGAGATGTATAGATTCCGCCATCGCGTCTGTGGTAAAATAAATCGACAACGCATTAATTTTAAAAGACAAACAGAGAACTGCAGAACTGTCAGATCCCGAAATGTAATACTTTGGACAATCAGCTTTCTCTGTACAAGGCACTAAAGCCTGGAATTGTTTACGCACTGAACTGAAAGGAGAGTCAAACTGGGTCCTTTTCAAATACAAACTTAAAGACTCGTTAATCATGTGACCACTGTCTGACTGTCCGCTGCGTTTATATTGTGTTCTACTGTATTATTATGGGTTTTTTTTTTAACTATGTATTGTTTAATTTTATGTAAAGGCCCACTAAGGACTAACTTTGAGAATTAGCCTTGGCTAAAATGTTGTAGTATGGAACATGAGCCTATGTAACATACTTGTCCCTATTCAAATAAACTTAAAATATAACTCAAACCCTCTCTTATAACTGTTCTGTTTTTTAGGATAACTTTGAAGATAATCCTGGGAGGAAGTGGCTGGATCATTTCCTGTTTGAAACAGAAAATACAGAAAATGGAAATACTGAAGATGATCTTGCAGACATCTCCCAGAATTCTGCCTCTGGTGGCAAGTTTGTGGACTCTTTCCGGCATTTTCACCCAAAGCGTTCCAATGCATTCACGTGCTGGTCTACACTTACGGGTGCCAGGCAGACCAACTACGGCACACGCATCGACTACATCTTCGCTGACCGCTCTCTGGTGGAGACAGGCTTTATTGGCGTGGACATTATGCCAGAGGTGGAGGGATCCGATCATTGTCCTGTATGGGCGCAGCTCAGCTGTACCCTCCAGTTTAGTCCCAGATGCCCGCCCCTCTGCACACGGCACATGCCAGAGTTCATCGGCAAACAGCAGAAACTTTCACGCTTCTTAGTGAAAGTTACTGAGAAACAGAGCGTTTCTAAAGGGAGTCTACCTGGATCACAGGATGCTGGGGAAATTCGGGAAAACCTGAATCCTGTGGTGCAGGGGAACAGTGTTGCAAAGAAGAGACCTACAGAGAGAGAAGCAGACACAAATGGACCCAAAGTTAAAAGAAGCAAGCAGACGAAAACCGAAAGTAGTGCTAAAGGAAGTCTTTTAGCTTTCTTTAAGCCTAAACAAACACTGTTGATACCTTCAAGGGGGAACTTGGGCTTAAAACAGGCAGAATCCTCTCAGGATGGGCCTGGTATTGAGAGCAACATTAGGAGCTGCCCCAGTGATGCGCAAAAGGAGACAAATCTCTCCATGGTAACGGAGATGGAGAATGAAAATCAGGATGAAGTGGAAGGAGAATCTACATCCATAGACAAGTCAAAGGACAGTAAGAAAGGCCCATGCACTGGTTTTTGGAAAACTGTTTTGCATGGGCCTCCTCAGCCACCACTTTGTAAATCACACAATGAGCCCTGTGTTTTAAGGACTGTGAAAAAAGCAGGACCTAATCTAGGCCGGCAGTTTTTTGTATGTGCCCGTCCTCAAGGCCATGCCTCCAATCCTCAGGCCAGGTGCAATTTTTTTACATGGGTAGAGAAAGGAAAATAGATTAGAGTCAAGGAATCTTTATGCCTACTATATTTCATGTTTTGAGTGTACATGTATATGTATTGTGTTTGTTTTATATTTACCATTTTTATTGTTCAACTAACAATAGAGACAAAAAATAAATAATGCTCTTTTTCAGCTTGGGTGCTGTTGTCATTGTATTTTCAGACACTGCAGAAATTCAGTGAAAATCGTGGAATATCTCAGATTTTGCCTTCTCTTCATCACTACCTGATTAAGAAATTGAGTTCCCATTGTGAGTTATATGAAATTAAACGGACCTTTATCATATAGCTACTGAATTTAAAATGAGGCAACTAAGCAGGAACTACTGCTGGAGAATGAAAGCCTCTAAATATAAAGGCATTGTTGTTCTGTTAAATATTTGTGCATGGAATAATTAATTAAAAAATATAACTCATTCATTTTAAAATGTAATCTTTGATGTGATCAGATCACTGTGTTATACAATATCTTGCATTTATAATTTTTTGCATTCACATTTTTTCATCCCATTTGCTCTTCTCTTTTGTGCTTTTAATTTCATATTTTATTTAATTTATTTTGCTTTCTTTCCGGTCCCTTTTCATCTGTTATTCATTTATTAATCTCCTAATTATACTTTATTTTTCACATTATACTTCTGTATTTCTTTATTTCTTCATTTGTCGTTCATTTTTTTCCTTTCCCGATCCTTTTCTTTCGTTGTTCATTCAATAATTAATTCGCTCTTGCTTGTTCTTTAGTTAATTTGCTCTCTTTTCTTGTGCCTTTCTTTTTTTTCTTCGTTGTTATTTTTTTCTTCGCACCTTTCACAGGCTTCAGTGAGGTGTCTTTTATTTTGATGAACGCATTTCCGGTTATTTCACATCCTGTGAGGAGAGCTGTTCAAGTTTGTGGATCTAACGGTACGTTGGGAAAACATCGACTTCGACTATAATTATTTCTTGAAGTGTGATGTCTACAGATAGTCGTGATGGAGGGGTAAGTTTATGAGCTCTGCGTCTACACATTAACAATCGTACGTGTTGTTCTCGCTTGTTACAAGCTCGTCTAAAATGGCGAGTGTTTTGGTGGTATCGCGCGCGCGTATTTTACCTCTGGAAACAAGCAAAACCAAAAAAAACCATCAAAATGTAAAAAGACATATATGTTGAAACTTGAGACTTATTTTAACAAAGGTTCCCTTGAATCTGGGCTGCCAGATTTGCCGAATATATATTGAGGTGACGCTCACTGTCTACAATTTTACACTTGGTTACTACTTGATAAATGAAGTACTTTTGTGTGTCTTTATCTTTAATGTTTTTGTTATTAGTATTGCTTTTTAATTGAAGGCATTTATTATTGTGTCATTAAATGCTACAGGTAAACAACAGTTAACCATAAACATCATTATTGATAAGTTTGGGGTCAGTAAAATTTTTTCAAATGTTTTTGAAAGGTTGGATTTATAGTAGAAGCAGTAACATTGTGGAATATTACATATAATATAAATATAATACAAATATAACTTGTATTTGGTGTATTTTAAAAAGTAATTATACTTGTGATTGCAAAACTGATTTTTCAGCTTCAATACTCCAGTCATCACTGTGTCACATGATCCTTTACAAATCATTCTGATATGCTGCTTATGAAAAAAAATTACTTTTTTTTTTTTAAATGGTAAATACATTTATAATGCCATAAAAGATTCCTGTCACTTTTGAACAATTTAATGAGCTGAATAAAAGTCTGAAAAAATCTTATTGAACAACCCTTTATTGAACAGTGGTGTGAGTGAGTATGTGTGTGTGTATATATATATATATGGTTCTGATTTGTATAGTATTTTCACAGTTAATAAAATATACATTGGGTATATTGTTTATCTTTTAGTGGAACTGGAGTCTACTACCAAGCAATGCCTGCAGTGGGACCAGATGGGAAAAACGTCATGAAGTTGATCCCTGTCCAGAAAGTGAACGGTCACTTTTATCAGACGCCATTTAATATGGAAAGAGACAATGTGGATCTACACCTGAAAGCTTTTTCAAAACCTGTTCATCCTCCTGCTCCGTCTTCATCTCAAACACAGACTGGACTTCCCTCACTTCAACCCATAGCAGATGGACGGGTTGTTCTAAAAACCCTGCCAGAGTTTAGAACTTTGACCAACTCCATCAAAACTCAACCCAGTGTTATTAACAACATCACCATTCACAATCAAAAGCAAAGGCATGTTCCTCTTGCAACACACTCGCTTGCCCAGTATACAGTCCAGTTACCACCTCAACCCAATGGACAGAGCATGACAGCGGTTCAAACGCTGCCTGTTACCGTTAAGTCACCCGTTCTCCCAAACGGTCATTTCCTGCAGATCCCACCGAATGCAAAAGTTAGGACTCTGCCAGCAACTGCACTCCCGCAGTCTATTAAATGCCGGATAATGAACTCTGTGAATTACACTCCTAACCTTGGGAAGGGTCCACCCACCGTTGTTCTTGTGTCCCCTGTGAACTCTGTGAAGCTAAATTCTGACCAGCAAATGCTTTTGCTTACTAAGCCGAGTGTAATAAACCCTCCTGAAAACTTGCAAACACCGGTTTGTGTTGCTAAAACGAATGAAGCTGCGAACACTCCCATTAAATGGGTTGTCCAGGAGGGAACAGGCGCAACCGCTCCTTGCCTTGTACCTTTATCGACACCCGACATGACCTCTGACATCTTAAAAGCAGTCAAGCACTCACTTGGTATGACAAATGAAATGACGCCAAGTAAAGCCACACCTCCTCAGGCCAGCCAAGAAAAGATCACTCCGGGCAAGGACAACGCATTGGTCATGTGCAACGGGAAAGTCTATTTTGTGGCTAAGAAAAATTCTGAGATCGCCAAGGATGTGATGACCAGTGAAGGTGGAAAAAAGGTGGTTGTCAACATTTCTCCTACCCTGTCCGCCAGCGAAGATGGAAAAAAGGTGGTTGTCAGCACTTCTCCTGCCCTGCCCGCTAGCTCTGCTCTGGGGTCCAATTCTTTTAAGCGAGCCCCACCAAACGTGTTAGTGAAATCATTGATCTCTGTGATGATGATGAAGAGACGTCCACGTGCCTGGGAGGCGCCCCGGGTAATTTGCCCACACCGAGTCAAACAGAGGTGGATGAGAGCGATGAAGACTCTAATGTAATATTTGTGTCGTATATTCCACCAAAGTCATGTGAAAAAGTGGCAAAACCTGTCTCTCTGAATGAAGGGGGAAAAACGGCACATGCAGAAATGGAAAAAAATGATGTTTTGGATGTTTCTTCTGCTAAAACGGATGATGACAGAATAAATGTGGATGATGAGCAGGTCACGGAAAATGAAATAGCTGAAAGTATCTTAAGTTGTGTTTCTGAAAATGTGGATATGGAGGCAGATAAAGACTTGAGTAGAAGTTCACCAGTGACAAGATATCAAGCTGATGTAGCTGTCGCTGAAACGGTCAGCCTGTTGGAACAGCACCAACATTTCTGTGTTCAAGCCACTGATAATACTGAAAAGGTACTATACCAAAATTACATTTTGTAAAATAGAAATATAATATCTTTCAAAAGCCTGATATGTATTTGATGTGTTCTTCTCTCTTCTGTGCTAGGTCATTGGAAATCAAGCCCCTGTTCAGAGTCGTCAACCCAAGAGTGACTGTCAGCTGAGAAAAGAATTCGGCATCACCTCTGATGTACAAATTCGCTTGCAAAGAGCAAAGCCGGCTGTGAAGCCAGATCAACAAACAGAGAGACTTATCATAAACAAACGCACATTAGACGGCCTTCGTAAAGTCCTCCAGGATTCAAAGCTGCAGTCAAAAATACAGCAGATGATCCAGGTGAGTTGCATATTTGTGCATCCAGACTGTTGTATTGTACAGTGCATGCAGTTTTATTGTGTATTTAAGAAGATATTATTTTAAAGGTGCCTTGTGTAATGTCCACCAAAAAATCAATTCATACTCCACGTTCCATACCAGATGGGGGCAGTATACCTCCAGAAAGTGAGTTGGTCTACTCTAGAGTAACAAATGAGAAACGGCATAGTGTCTATGCTCCGCCCCTACCTTCACAAACCACCCTAGAGCCATAGCCGAAGCTGAGCCAACTCCTAATAGAGGACATTTTGACTCCAGAGGAATGTTGGTTGATGTCAAGTGATTTTTAAATATGACATCTTCAAGAGACTCCCCTTCACCTTTACCAGTGAATATGTTCATTTTCGTTTTGGTCATATTAAATTTTTTTATTGTTAGTTTGAATTATATTCATTTGACAGACAGCATTCGCTGATGTTGAGCAAGCTGGCGCCATTCAGAGCTGCCAACTCTCACGAGTTTACCGCGAGACACGCAATTGGCCGTTTTCAGTTTCACACGCTCTCACTAGTAATGTAGGTCTCGCTGTCTCAGACCGAAATAGTGGTCAGGATTTAGCAATACAATTCTACAATATCCACAACGATACCCGCACGGATTGAAGTGTGCGTCCAAGTCAAGACAGTGCGTTGTGTGCGAGTTATGTTGTCCGCACACCGCCTCCCATGGCCAAAACTGGTATTATGACACCTGTCTGGCCGGGGCTAGTAATTTAACATGCTAATTCAGGTTAATATCTCTGCAGCACTATAACTTGTCATTTTTTTTAATGACATCATCGCCCTTATTTCTTCTCATTCTTTTCATGCATTTTGTATATTTTTTTACCTCAATTATGGCACCTTTAAAATATTTCCAAATCTGTATTGTTTACTTTAACTATATAAAAAAAATTTGCTAATTGAAATAAGTCTGAAATAAATAAAATATAAATATACTAGATGAAAAACAAACTTACAAAATTAAATTTAGAAATTTTGCCTTTACAACCAACTGAATAGTTCACTTTGAAATGAATTGTTGGTATGCTTTAGCTTACCTCAAGGGCATCCAAGATGTACTTTTTTTCCACAGTATTTTCAATTTTGATATTTTTAGGTCAAACCGTTGTTGTCTGTCAGTCATATAATGGAAGACTCTACATACTATAGAGCCCTGTATTATTGAATATAAATATTACTAATAAATATATATATATATATATATATACATATATAATTTATTTATGTAATAAATTGGGGACAATTTTACTTTATACTCAATTTTTAGGGCCCAAGCCCTGAAAGGGCGAAGGCCCTATTGTTTTCCTTGCGATTATTTTTCTTCTCTATTATTATAATAATTATTATTTTACTACCTTTTGGGCACTTTTGGGGCCCTTAACGTGCTCGAAAACTCTTGAAACTTTGCACACGGGTCAGAACCCGCGGCCATCAGAGCCGGGCTGAAGCTGGTACCTGGGCGTGGCAGGGGGGCTCGTCAGCGCCCCCTGGAACGGGGTCCGAACACTCGGTCCATAACTCAAACACGCTTGCATGTAATAATATGAAACTCGGTACACATGTTGATCTCATCGTTTCATCTATACCTCGCGCTCTTACTTTTTACCCCAGCCCAACAGGAAGTCGGCTATTGAGGTTTGTTTGTAAAACGCTCGCAATGGTATTTGAAATACTCCTCCTAGAGCTTTGATCCACATTCGACGAAACTCGGTCAGCGTGAAGTCAAGACATTGAGGATGAAAGTTTGCGAGGGGATTTTTGATATCTCGAACGGTTTGTCCGTGGCGAGGAAACGAAATCATGGCGAGAAACGTGAAACAGGAAGTGTGTTATAACTTCAGCATACATTAACTGATCTTGATGAAACTTCAGCAGTGTGCTCGCTGTAAGAGGACGATCACATGGATGTGACTATTGTGAGTAAAAGTTATAGCGCCACCAACTGGCAGCAGGAAGTGTGTCACTTTCAAAATGCTTTGAAATCACCCTTTTATTTTTACCCGATTTGCTTCAAACTTCATCTGTATAATGTAAACATACGGCAGATGTAGACCTGTGAATGGATTCTTGATATCTTTGATACTGTTGCCGTGGCAACGCATCAAACTTTACCCTTCTTTTAGGATGCTTTTAGGATGCTTTTGAGACCCTTAGCATGCTTCAAATTGCATGAAACTCGACAGACACATAACATTTATTAGCCAGTAGACATGTGCAAAGTTGCAGAAACGGGCGTGGTGAGTGCTCAGTAGCGCCACCTTTTGACAAAAGTGGGGTGGTTAGTTTTAACTAGAGTTACAAAAATTGGTATGTATATTGTACTCCTCGAGCCGGACAACTTTCTAATTGACACTTATTAGCTAGGACCCACAGAAAGTCAGATATTTTTGTTTGAATATGGCCACTCTGAGCCTTTGGCTGGCTGGCTGGCTGTCTGTGTGTGTGTGTGTGTGTGTGTGCAGGGGGAGGGGGCTTAACCATTTCACTGCTGTGTGTATGACCTGCATAAAGAAAATACATTTCTCAAGCCTGGTATTTTTTAAATAAGTTTTTATTTTTATTTTTTATAAGTAAAGGCATATAACTAGTTTAATTGTAGTGAATTGACAATAGTTTTATATAATTAGTTTATTAATCAGATTAACTTGGTCAATAAACTTGGTCTGAAAATTTGGTCCATAAATCAAACACACTTGCATGTAATAATATGAAACTTGGTACACATATAGATCTCATCGTTTCATATATACTTCACACCTCTTACTTTTTACCCCAGCCCAACAGGAAGTTGGCTATTTAGGGTTGTGTTTAAAACACATGCAATGTAATTTAAATTATTGCTCCTAGAGCACTGAACCAAATTCGACGAAACTCGATCAGCGTGAAGTCAAGACATTAAGGATGAAAAAGTGCCACGGGATTTTTGATATCTCGAACGGTTTGGCCGTGGCGAGGAAACGAAATTATGGCGAGAAACATGGAACAGGATGTGTGTTATAACTTCAGCATACATTAACTGATCTTGATGAAACTTCAGCAGTGTTTTCGCTGTAAGAGACCGATCACATGGATGTGACTATTGTGAGTCAAAGTTATAGCGCCACCAACTGGCAGCAGGAAGTGTGTCACTTTCAAAATGCCGTGGCAACGAAACAAACTTTAACATTATTTTTTGATGCTTTTGGGACTCTTAGCTGCTTGAAATTGCTTGAAACTCAACAGATACATCACATTTATTAGCCAATAGACATGTGCAACTATGGCAAAAGATTAAAGTAATGTCAAAAAAGTAAACACTAAAAGCCTCATATCTTCTAAAAATGTAATTATACATCATTTGTTTCTAAATTAAATTATACAAATATTATAACTTCCCCAATTTTTCCTTTTTTTTTCATTTAAGAATTGTGTTTACGTTCAAAAACAGCCAGAATTGTTGTAAAATTCATAAAAAAATAATAATCTGAGTCATACGTAGTGCTATACTGCCCTCTTGTGTTCAATATCAGGTAGGCCTATTGTGTATATTCCACCGGTTAATCAACGTGTGACTCCGCTGGGACTTGGGAGCTTTAAATCGCTTACTTAAAACCGAAAGTCAAAATACGGATGTCCGCACAAGACATTAATGGTGTGGAGTAGAGCGAGCATTTTAAATAAATTCCTATTAAGTAGGATTGAACTAAACAGAAAGAATGTTCACTCTGTTCTGCTGGTTCCTCGCTGGTGGATCATATGATTACTTTGTCATAATCTATGACAAAAATGCTATTATAAACCATATTAATAATAGATAATACACATTGCTCTTATTTTTGAAAAATACATTCATGAAAAACAAGATAACAAAAATCATTAAAAAAAATATAGCCATGGCTGCTATAAAGCAACATATAATTGAAAGGCAATTAATAATCTGTCATTACGTCACTGCATTATGATATTACGGCTCCAATACGGTGCAGCACAAAGCACTTATGTGCATCCCGAGCGGAGAATGATGTGCTTGAAGCCACATGAAGTTACAGCGCAGTGAGTCCGTATTGAAAAGTTCAAAGCACAAAGGAAATACATATTTATGAACAGTGTATTATACATTATCTATCTATGCAATAGTTTATTGAGCCTTTTCTTTTAAAGGTTTTAAATTTCAGTTACTGTGTGCGTGAAGAACAATTATAGTGCTCTGACTCTAGTGTTGTGATCTAACCGACAGCGTCCGACACCCGGTAGAAAGTAACACGATTAAGTTACAGCAATAAAGTCCAGCAAGAAAAAGTTTCTTCATTCGAAAATATAGACCTTTAGACCTTTATCTTAAAGATCCAGTATAATAGGATTAACATTGAATCATTGAAGATCGTTTCATCATTGACTGTAACCGAATGTGACGTGCTGTTTGAATGCTGAATGGAGAATGACTGACAGGCGCAGAGAGGGAAAAGTTTGTGTTCTTGAATTTAATGACTTAAATATTAATTTCTATATCACATAATAGCTTCAGAACACTAATAATACAGTACACAAAAACTTTATGGTACTTTAGAAAGTTTTTGTGCCTTTGTGCCTAACAGAATAGTATATGCACAATATAGAATTTGAATCAGCCTCGTCAAAGATGGCAGTGTCAGAGCCGATACCGATCCTGAGTATCTAATCGGCGCACTTCTTTTCAACAGTCAAATTGAAATTGAAATTGCTTGAAACTCAACAGATACATCACATTTATTAGCCAGTAGACGTGCAAAGTTTCAGAAACGGGCAATGTGCAAGGACTAAATAGCGCCACCTTTTGACAAAAGTGGGGTTGTTAGTTTTATCTACAGTTACAAAAATCGGTATATACATTGTACTCCTCAAGCCGGACAACTTTCTAATACATAGTCATTAGCTCGGACCAAGAGGAAGTCAGATATTTTGGTTTGAATATGGTGAGCCTCTCTCTGAGCCTACGTCCCTGTATGGCAAGCCCTTTTAACATTTAAAAGCTAAGTTTGCCTGTCCGGAATTAACATTGTAGATATCAACAACGTCTTTCTGTCTATTCGTAATTACATTTTGGATAGTTTGTATTATCATTTAAGACATCTGTAACATAATTGTGACTAGTCGAAATGACAGAGTATGGCAAGCCGTTTTAACATTTAATCATAAAAGGGCCAAAGCCTTCGGCACCGCTACCCGGGTGCCTTTAGGTAACTAAAGGAACCGGGGTTGCGGTGCCACCGGCTTGGGCCCGCCATCGCTGCTCGCAGCTATATTTTATTATTATTTCCTGCCCAGCTCTCTTTCTCTCTTTTTCCAGTTTGTCCTTGGGGTGGTGGGGGGGTTTGGGGAGAGTTACTTGCCTGACTAAAAACTTGTTTTGGAGGAGATAAGACTTCAAAGAGCAACCACACTGATTAGTTTCCATGTGTTTTTGTTCATTTTTTGTATCTGTAGGTTCCCTGCACAGAAACGGAGGACGATGAACATCTCAAGGTCAAAAGAAAAAAGCAGAAGCAGGATGGGAGTCACAATATTCTCTCTCTAAAACCCCCTAACATTTCACCTTCCTTTAAATGCTCAGTTATTCCCATGGAAAACGGCTCGGGCTCACAGAACTGTCAAGAACAGGTTTGTTCACCAACAGAATCTGCAGCTGATAAGGTTCATATGCAATCTGAAATGCCAGCAGATTATACTGGCAACACATGCTGTATTTCTCCTTCACCTGAGCAAAACTCAACACAGACTGCTTGTCATCCCTTCTCAACTACCTCTGTAAGGAAGACGCCACCGCGCTCTAAAAAAGGGAAAGTGTGTACGGCCTGTCCCTGTGGGACCGTTATAGGGCTTGCAGAAGCCACTTCGTCACTCCATACACAGGAGAAGCCCAATCCATGTTCTGTTGTCGAATCACACAAAGGGACAAGAAAAAGCCCATCTGAGAGTCGCCAACCTCAGAGACTACAACTAAAAGATCAATACCCTTTTATGAAAGCAATAAAGAAACTGTTATCAAGTCCATGTAAAGACATGGCTCCATTAGTAAGCCCTACTAGTGAATCCTCAAATAACATCATCTCACCTAATAGCTTAAGTGCATCCTCTTCATCCAGTTTACAGGACTGCAACAACCAGATTGTACTGTGCTTAAGCGGAACAAAATGCACTGACATGTCAAGCAGCAACATGGATGCTGAAACGGCTCAGCAAGACACCAGCCAGGCGCAGACGGCATCAAACGACCCCATCATGCCATTCTCTAAGAAACACCCAGCTCCCGAAATAGACAGCTTTCCAACCCAAGCGCTCTACTCGTTGGAAACGCTGGATGCTGAGGAGATAAAGCGACAGGAGAGGATCAAACGTTTGAAGGATCTCCTGAAGGAGAAAGAGGCTGCGCTGGAGCGGATGCAACGAAGTATGAATGTTTAGTTGTGTCTGTTTAATTAACTGTACCCTGCAGGAGAGACTGAATATGACTGGGAATACCTCCATTAAATGTTTAAGAAAAAAATATACAGCATCTTTGTTTTTTCCCCCATGTTTACTGGATCTCTGTTTCCGCTTATTTTTTTATTCAGTGTTTGAGTACCTAAGTGTTATTTATAGTTTGTTGCAATACTTAAGCAACTTTATATACCATCATCTTTTTTACATCTTTGTATGATTCATGTGCCTTCATTAATACTTGTTTTTCTGTAGTTAAATTCTTCTAAATTGTAATAGCCTAATTTTTGTGATTTTAATAAATAAAATGCACTTTTGGAGAACCTTTTGCTGGATAGATGAAAAATTGAAACCTGACATTAAAGGGATAGATCACTTTGAAAATAATTTTTGATATATTTTAGCTTACCTCAAGGGCATCCAAGATGTAGGTGTTTGCAGTTCCATTAGAATTCCACTGGAGGTGATCGCGGGCGAGAGCAGAATGAATGGAAGTCTATGGGGCTAAATGGCTAAAAGTGTCTCTTTCACCTGCTTGTCGTTAAATCAACATAGATTTTATTGTTGATTCCGCAAGTTCAATATAGATTATAGGCCAAAAGTCGAATGAACGAGTACTTATTTCCTTTTGATTTCTTACAGGTTAGGCCACTGTTGGCCGGAACACGCTAGCATTCTGCTATTGTGTGACGTCATCACAGTTTTGAACGGATTTTTAGAATAGATAATTGAACTCAAAAATGCAATGTTCAGCTGAGTGTATTATCTTAGCCCTCCCCTTTGAATGCAACTTTAAAATTACTTGACAAAAAATTACATCCTGAGAAAAGTAGATTTCTGGGGTGAAACCCCATTGACTCCCATTCATTCTGCACTTGACCGCGAGCGCCCCCGCATGGACAGAGACGTGGCTTCAGCCAGCTCCTTGTTTTCTGCCTGCCATTATTGGCCAAACTTGATTAATTCAGGTGTGTCTGATTATTGTTGCCATGACTACTGAAGTCAGGCACACCTGGATTAATCAATTTGGCCAATAATGGCAGACAGGAAACAAGGAGCTGGCTTAAGTTCAGGAAGTAGTGCAGCTGTGAATAAGGTCTCTGGTAAAACTCCCGAAATCGCCGTTTAAACATGGGGTGACGTTGACGCGCGAGAGATCACTTCTGGCGTTATGTTGGAGACGGTTCAGTTGGACTTCTGATTCAGATCAGTTCGACGGCTGTTAACAAGAGGTAACTATATAAATACTGTTTGTTTTCTCACACAAACCGCCCGTTTCATGTCTTAGGCCATCAGTACTTACATTCACGAGTCATTAAATCATGTTTAATTTGGACTTCTCTGTGCATGCTCTTTTAGGAGATCCCCATAGACTTCCATTCTATGACTGACAGACAACAACGGTTTGACCAAAAAATGTCAAAATTGAAAATACTGTGGAAACAAAGACACCTACATCTTGGATGCCCTTGAGGTAAGCTAAAACATATCAAAAAATAATTTCAAAGTGAACTATCCCTTTAAATAGTGAAATATTTGTATAGTTTTCTAAAAGAACTTTTAATTGGCTATCAGTTGCCGTATTAGTTTTAGACCCACACAGCAATGCTTTGCTGGAATGTTGATTGTTTTTGCCTACAATTTGAGGCTTTTTGCGGCTTTTTACCTTTTATTTTTATCTCTTGATTAGGACTGCAAACATTGTTATGGACACATTGCGACTATGTATGCTACATTGTTACTTATAAAGGTAACGTTACATTAGATTAAAATCAATCATGGAAGCCTAGAGATTAACGTGAATACCAAATAATTATTAGAATCTTTCAACACAGTGATTTCATTTCTTCAGAGATGACTGGTTTCCTGGGTTGAAATTACATTTGATTGAATGTTAGAAGTGGATCATTGTGTTGTCAAAAGACAAATGAATGTTCAGTTTACCGCAAGTACCTGTATTCTAAAAATAACTTTAAGGCAGTTCATTTTTAACATTCAACAATGTATTTAGATGAATTTAGATTTGGTTGTGACCTTCCAGGTTGCGGATCTGTGTTGCTGGGCACCAACGTGTGGAAGAAAACAAGTCTGTCAATATCCAATAATGCCACTTCCTTAGCCTGTAACCAAGAATACTAACACACACAGAGCTTCTTTAAGGTTGGATTTGGCCAGGCTCAAAATATAAACGGGAGAGTCTTCTCAAAACATCAAGATAATTTGTTCGTTCAAAGAGAGGACACTTTATTCTAACACACTAAAGTCTTTAACTTAAGAAATGGTCACTCAACTATAGGTTTTAATGGCCCCTGTGACCATTGCTGTCAGGGTACCCTAGAAAAGCAGATTGACATGTTTAAACAAGACCATATTTCATTTTTGGAAGCCGGTCTAAATGAGCAAGCACTGTTACTGCATTCTTGGCATGGACCAGAACCTTTTATCACCTCTCAGATATGCATTCCATTAGAGAATACGTGAAAAGAACCTATCAGTAATCACTCTGGTAACTTCAATAACAAAGTAAAATCTCATAAGCGTAGAGTCTCATAAGTCATTCAACTCATGTGTTAAGGAAAAAAATATTGATTAATACCTTGATTATCACTCATTGGACAGAAGCAGCAGTAGATTCCAGAATCTTCCCCTCCTTCAGTATCTACAAATTTGAGTTGATTTAATATCCTCTGCTTCTGTTTTCACCTAAACATCTCTTTGTTCCTGCAGCTCTACATCACTTGTGAGAACTGAAAAAAATAATTTTAACTGGGTTCGTGTTGCAGGGAGTTTACAGCCTTGTCTAGCAATACTTAAGGCACCTTTCTTCAATTAGAGGATATAAAACACAGCAAAGCAACAGCCAAAACGTATTTGGAAAAGTACAAAATTTATTGTACAAATATTTACATAAAAAATGTTTAAAAAAAAAAGCATTAAAGGTGCCATATGTAAAAATTGAGGTTAAAATATCCCAAAAATGCGCTACACGCATCAAAAGAATGAGAAGAAATAAGGTTGATGATGTCATTAAAAAAATGACAAGTTATAGTGCTGCCGAGATATTAACCTGAATTAGCATGCTAAATTACTAGCCCCGGCCCAGCAGGTGTCGTAATACCAGTTTCGGCCATGGGAGGCGGTATGCGAGCAGGCAACATTACCACCAGCCAAACTGCAATAGTCACGTGCGTTAGGGATCGGTCGTGTAAAGCGCCAAAACTGTATATTGTTTGAATTGCGTAATAAAATTAACAGAATCTGAAAGCTGACATCGGTCTCCGTGTCCTTTTCTGTGCATGACAAAATTGATGTGTGGCGTGAGAGTGTTGTGAGAGTTGGCAGCTCTGAAAGACGCTAGCTTGGTCCACATCAGGGAATGCTGTCTGTCAAATTAATTAAAACTAATGATAAAAATGTAATATGAACAAAACGAATAACATAAAACTAGAAATAATAGCCTGGGCTTTAATTTTCCAATATCGTCAAAATGCACCGACTTGTCTATTAGACGGCCTTTATAATTTAGTATTGAGATGTTGTTCATTTAGTCTCTAATCTGTAAAAATCTCCAAATGCTCCCCCGTGAAACTGCGGTCTTCCAACCTTTTACTATCGTGTCAATTGATTTGATAAATATGCGCGAGGGAGAGGCAGAGCAACACAGCACTCGCCCGTGTTGTTTGAAGACATAGGGTTGCCAAATGCCAGCAAGGTTTTCCCAGAGCCGTTGAAAAACACGTGTGCTGAAAACGGTCAATTGCGTGTGTCTCATGGTGAACTCGTGAGAGTTGGCAGCTCAACATCAGCGCTTGATGTCTGTCAAATTAATATCATTCAAACTAACAATAAAAATGTAATATTACCAAAACGAAAATGAACATAATTATTCACTGGTAAAGGGGAGTATCTTGAAGATGTCATATTTAAAAATCACTTGACATCAACCAACGTTCCTCTGGAGTCAAAATGTCCTCTATTAGGAGTTGGCTCGGCTTCAGCTATGGCTCTAGGGTGGTTGTGAAGGTAGGGGCGGAGTTCTCATTTGTCACTCTAAAGTAGACCAACTCACTTGACCAAGAAGATATTATTTTAAAGGTGCCTTGAGTAATGTCCGCCAAAAAATCGATTCATACTCCACATTCCATACCAGATGGGGGTATGCCTCCAGAAAGTGAGTTGAATCTGCTTATGGTGAAAGCCTCCAGACTCCAGAACTGTGCTTGTAAAGGTTTTCACTTTTCCATTACCATTGTGTTGAACAGCTAAAAGGTAGAGGAGGATTGCAGAAGGAATAAGATACAGTTTCATGTATCATCTCTTGCTGTGTTCTTTTCCTCCCTGTAAAATAATAATACACAACATAGGCTTTTAATACACCACCACCTTCACAACTAGGAAAATAATTCAGGGGAAGTTAGTCTTACAGTGTGCCTGTTGTCTCTGATTCAGGGTTTGTTTCTTCAATGGGAAGCTGTTAAACAAAGAATCAAATTGCAATCAATTTATGACAATGTGCGAAGACTGTTCTTACTATAACTAAAAACAGAGGGAAGGTATTTACAAAACTGAACAAAGCCTATTTGGACTAACAAAAATTACAATTACACTAGTTTGTCACATTAGGAAACAAGTAATATGTGATGTTGTGGCATAAGGGCTGAAAAAGCTATTAATGGTTAAAAAACTCACCCTATTTATTTTGTCACCTGGAAAACAAAAGAAATTACATATGTAGTTTAACAAAAAGCATACAATGCACTTTAAATAAATAACTGTTTCTATTATAGCCCTAGACCATGAATTATGAACTAAACAGTAACATATTAGCACAAAAAAGGTGTTGATGCAATATACATCAGAAAGTTAGTAAAGAGACTGAGGGTGGTCCATAGACATGACACCTGATGTAGAGACTAGGTAGTTATTTATTGCAACAAAAGCTGGAATCCACACAACCGCAAAGCCCATTGACTTTTATTAAAAATAATTTAAATATCTTTTGTGTTTTATTGACGAAAGTCAGTCATACAGGCTTGGAAAGACTGCTATGTTTTTTCACAAGATATTTTTCAAATTAGATTTATTAAATTGACTCTACAGGGTCAGACTGATAAAATTGAAGTGGATCAATAAGCATGAAATAGTTTTTTGCTTGAACATAAAATTGCTTCAAGAGAACTTGGACACAAATTTAGTCAAAATAACTTGTTTCCACTCACCATTATTGACTGTTCCATCTGAGCATGATCTTCCATATAGTACTGCTAGAACAACTGCACATATGACAGGGGGACAGAAAGCTACAAGACAGTATCTTTTCCTCTTCTGTACACATTTGACATCTTTTACAGGACTCCCATCTTCACTTTGAATCTCATTCCTGGCTGCACAGCTTAGGAAAAATGACAATAATAATCAATAATAGTAATTGTAATAATCCATAACAGAAATTCAAACAAGCCATAATAACACTTCACGTACTCTGTCCACTTGGTGCAGTTCAGCCCGGAAGAAGAATAAAACCCAAAGGAACAGTTTTTACATTCTGTATCTGATGTCTTTGTCCCTGTAAGCATACACAGAGAGTGAATATTTTCATAAATTAACCTTAAAATGTAGGATGATTTAGACTAAATTATGTGGGGGAAATTAAACATTGTTTTTAAGCATTGAGAAACAATACCTGGTGTTTTTATTTCCTGTCCTGGTTTGCAAACACTGTGTTTTATAGCATGACTGCACTGTAAATTGGAGTAATCAATGCAGTAATATCCATCAAGTACTTCACAGATGGTGTCTCTTATTTTAGTGCATTTACTCTGAATGTCAAGACCTTGACCTAAAACGGCATAATTAGCAACACTTTCATATAAGGGCAAAAATGCAAAAAATACTAATTTCAAAGGTAAAAGAAACACACACAAAAATGTAAACGTACTTTTAGCACAGTGACTGCAAGCAAAGCATTTTTTAAGACCGCTGGGTTCACTCATGAATGTTTCTGAAATGCAGGAAGTACAGGTGGTACTTGTATCACCAATGCAGTCAGACACTACCATTGACCCTACAAACAGCAAATAACAACACATACGAATGAGATGACAAAGAATTAATTCAAGGATCTCCTGAAAAAAACAAAAAAACAAAACACACACACTTGTATGGATCCTTCTTACAAGCCCAGTGAGTTACTATCCCAAATTGCCTGTCATTATCACAAGGTCTATGTGATGACACTTTTGCTCACATATATAAATGCCAGTTCTCTATACTTGTGTAGTGCAGATGGTAAACTGTAGGTGGAGATGACAGCTGTTAAGGCGAAAATTCAATAAACAGACATCACTGCGTAAGAGACTTGTTTAGGTTTATTATTCTTGCAAGAATAAGGCTCAGTCACTGACACAGATTACTGTGAAGTGAAAATGATGCCCAGAACACAGGCTGGAGTCTAATCTTATAGCTCTCCCAAGGTTATTTACTACAGGCCAAGCCTTCTCTGTAAGATTCCACAAGCCATAGGATTCAAATGCTTGATTAGATTTACCACCAACCCCTTTTCTATCCTCCCCAGTCTAAGATGACCTCTGACCTGGCCGGTTCTCTGGTGCCTCACTCCACTCTTGATAAAGGAAAGACAAATTACCTCCTTCACGGATAGCAAAACCATAAGACATTCCTCCGTTATTACATATAGGAGGTAAACGGATAAAAACATAAGACCCAATAATCATATGTAATTAAAATTTCCCCAACACAGTATACCATCTGCACAACTGCATAGGTTATGAGACAGTACCATTAAATAATAGGTGTAGGTCTCTAGAGAGTTCACTTACCTATACTACACATTGGACAACATTCTCCTTCAGCAGATTTATATTCATTTGGACCACAAGGATTTCCAAGTGCAAGAAAAATACAAAAACCTGGGAAGACAAAATACGTTGAACACCAGTGAATCATCTAGCACTTCATAGAATATTTTCTAAACCGTTTATGAAATAATATTCAGAGAAAACACTTGTTAAACTTACTGTATACCAGTAACGATATACAGTAAGTAAAATAGATAAAGTAAAATCGATAACTTCATTGTATTGTTGCCAAATTCACATCACTGCTGTCCTGCTGTTTATACTACAACACTTAGTTAAGATAAATGTCTTTTTGCATCATTTCTTTTGATATTTTATTGTTAAAACTATTCAATAAGTTCACTGTAATACACTACACTGTTGTCATATTAAGTTCACAATTCACTGCTGTCCTGATGGTTATACTACAACACTTATTTTGGGAGAAAAACTATTTTTTTGCCTAATGTTTGTGATTTTTATTTATTTATTTATTTATGAAAAATATTCAATAACAATAACTGCAATTCACTGCATTGTTGCAAAATTCTACTACTATTCATGAGATATAATTTGTCTTGTGTAGGCTATATCTAACAGGCGATATTTGGTCTCACAAAGGACAAAAAGAGAAAAGCTGTGACAATTTATTTTTTTATAGCATATGTAGGAATTTTTTTTAAATAAATAAATAATTGTATATATACATTATCTTCACTGTATATAGGGTACTTATGATAATTATACAATTCATTACTATTTAACTTGCTTTTAACTGTTATTATTGACTAAACTATTTATTCTTACTTCTCACTTTATCTTATATTTATGATAACAAAGATATCTTTGTTATTGCTCAAGTCGGGTCAATCACAGAAAATGCAAAGACAACTTTATTTTAATTTAATGTGAAAATAAATTATATCTTCGCATTGGGGTCTTCACAATTCTTATCCAAGAATAAAAAAGCCAGATACATGACAAGCATGAGCTTGAGCTGAAATCGGTTGATAAATGTATGTTTTGTTTCGTTTTTCTGCAGAAAAACCACAGCTAACCGTTTACTTGCATTTGATTTCAGTTGCAGTTGACGTATCGCAGCACAGCAACGTTCCAAAGCGGCCAATGGGCTTTATGCACAGCTGCACTACTTCCTGAACTTAAACCAGCTCCTTGTTTCCTGTCTGCCATTATTGGACAAATTGATTAATCCAGGTGTGCCTGACCTCAGTCACGGCATCAATAATCAGACACACCTGAATTATTCAAGTTTGGCCAATAATGGAAGACAGGAAATAAGGAGCTGGCTTAAGTTCAGGAAGTAGTGCAGCTGTGCATAAAGCCAATCCACAAGTTTCCGAGGGGCGCTCCTATAAAAAAAAAAGTGGGTGAAACTTCCGGTGAGGCGGCGGATGTAGGATTCCAATGGTATTTTGTGTGTTAGTTAGCGAAGAGGCTAGCTGTTTTTCGGAGAATTATTTTACCATTTAAAGACGCAAATCTGAGATGTCGTTACGGAGCTCAGGGACAACATGTGCTGTTCGCCGTTGTATGTATAACCGGACTAAACTGTGGCTTAAACGTGATTGTTTTGAACATAAGCTGAAAACGAAATCAGAGTGATCCTGCCAGAGCCCGTCTCTGATCCTGCCAACGACTGTAGTTTCCATCACCTCCCAAAAGACGACGAATCTTCCTGTGTACATTTGTTTAAATTCTTAATATTCTATAAACTCTATCATCATGTAATTGGCTGTTCGCTACTGATGTTACACCTAAACTCAGGATCAAAGCCTGTGTTGACAGAATACCAAATGTGCCAGTTAATGTATTCAAGTAAGTTAGCACATTCATTTATAATTCTGAATAAACTCCAAAGCACATCAATGACTAAGTGTGTTTTTTTATTTTAATTGTTTGTCAGCTCGCACAACTGTCTGTCACCACACCTTGATGAGTATTGATTATTAATAATGTTATTATAATACTCCCAATCAACTACTGCAGAGGGTAAAGGTACTGTTATTTCACCCTTTTGAATTTCGTTGAGGTTGTGTTCCAACATCGTTAGGTAGTTTGGATCGCTATAACTTGAATGACTGTCAACTGTTGAATGAACGAGTGTAAAACATGTTAAGTCGCGCTTTGTTTACTTCAAACCGGAAGTCGCGCCCACTTTTGACGCAAGGCCTCATGGGGCGTAGGATTAGGAAACTTGTGGATAGGGCATCTATGTATTTATTATGGCGTGCCGTGCACACTCTAAAAATAGCTCTTTGAACGTTCTTATGAGCAGCTATAGCTGGTGCAACACAGACGGCGATGAAACCACAGCAACAACAGGTAACAATTATTTTTAGTTAAAAATCGTAACAAAAAGAGGGAGAGGGGCATATCCCCCTGTCCCCATTAGAAATTACTCCCATGAGTATAACCATCAAGAAAGCATGTGTTATGTGAACTGATTTTGGTGACTACAGTGTGTAAAGTTGAACATATTGATTATTTGTAATAGTAAAGCTTTTCGGGTTTTGCACTTTACAGACGGTCCCTTCGGAGATCTGTAGACGCCTGCGCATAGAGATCAATTATTTTGCTCACGGCAAAGAAAAGCTCGTATTTGAAGAAAATTAGTAAGTTTGTAGCTGCTTGTCTACGTTACTACGATTGAAAAGATTGGTTATTTATGTAGTAACGACGTTAAACTCTCGAGTAATTGATCCGCCAAATTTATATATCCGCCAAAGTGATGGTGACAGATTCCTGAGGCCCTCATCATGGGTCCTTTGTCATCGTTTTTAAACATTTCGATTATGATCAGTTGATTATCTGAGAACCGTGTTTTGGTCATCGTCCTTACCAGATATGCAAAGGAGACTAGTGACTTTCATGTTCATTCTTTCTTTTACTGTCTATGTGTAGACTCCATCCACCATTTTATCTTTTTCTTATGACAAGACGACATCTTCTCGCTGCCTGGCTGGCAGACCGAAAGTAGCGCGAGTCTTCAATATCCGACTGAAACTCCAGTAATGTAGTCTTTACATCAAAAGACACAACTATCGTATGCAATAAAAAAAAACGCCATAAGACATTAAAAGTGGAAATACCAACAATTTTGGGAAATGCAGATCAGGAAGAGGGTGGAGAGGTCGGCCGCAGGCGCTGTCACGTGGAATTTCATACTGTACAGTCACGTGACTACCATGGATACCTGGCGGGCAAATGGCGACAAACAGTGGCCAGCCAGGGGAATTGCATCCTTACAAATTTCCAATACTACAATCAATTAACTATTTAGACCATATGTCACCGAATGCTAAAATCAGATATCAAGAAAACATTAACATACTCAGAACGTGTGATCCATACACAGCACCTGCTGAGATAGCACAAGGCTGTCTGATCTCCTATTTACATCTGGAAGACGTATTTTAAAGAGTGTTTGCTCATCTGCAAGACGTCTATAGGACGTTTCCTGCAGATGTCTAATAGACGTTTATAAGATGTCAGTTTAACGTGCATTCTAAATCATTACATCTTAGAGACATCTTCTAAATGTCTATTTGACATCTGCAGGAAACGTCCTAGACGTCTTGCAGATGAGCAAACACTCTTTAAAATACGTCTTCCAGATGTAAATAGGAGATCAGACAGCCTTGTGCTATCTGGGCGATGTTTTCATTGCTTTAAGCTGGCAATGTCTCTACCAGACTTGGAGTTTGGAGATATTTACATAAGTTACATCATAGAGAATCAGTTTACACCAACAAAAAAACAAAAAATGAAAGCCTACAAAAGTTTAAAAGCTTTTCAAGAGTGGATGGTTCAACAACGCTGTAAAAACAGGAATATCTTCATAATCAACACAAAGGTCCGTTTTTTTTTTTTTTTTTTCTGCTATAATGCTGTCTTCATCTGAATATGTGCACCTTGTCTGCTGGCGAATGACAGCTTTAAGTAGTACAAAATAAAAACGTATGCCAACCGTATCATAGCAGGGTGTCAAACATTGTAGCCTACCTATCCACTCCATTGCATCAGACAAGAGCAGCGAAACGACCCTGCCTGTGTGACGTATCGTGCAAAGTATGAATATTCTATACCAATAATATTCGTTGACAGCGATTTTTAATCACACTGTTTTGCGTTATTGAGTAAGTGTGCCAATCTTAAAAAAAAAGAACAACACAGAGAGAGTATCTATCGATCTTTACAATTATATTTGTACAATTTATATTTGTAAAAAGAATTCAACTAAATTTACAGTCAGATAGTGTCCATGTTTTGTGATAAATATTGCTTTGCACGGTCAGGTCACTTTCGCTTCCGATTCTCTCTCATAATCCTTTAGATGGTGAATATCCTAAGGAGAGAAAAGAGTAATTGGTGATCAGCATTGTTTGCTTTTTCATCTCTTACTTCTCAAATGACTCATACCAGAAAAAAGCACCCACTTTAGATTTGTTACATAATTTATGTTGAATATAGGCTATAAAAAATAATAACAGATATAATTTGAATATGACATTGCTTCATTTTGACTTACTGGTTCACAGGCACCTTCCGGTACTGGTCTCTCTTCTGCCACAGTGGAATTACTCTCTTGCATTGGTAATAAGTAACCATTTGAATCTAAAACAAAAAAAAAGTACATTTACACTTGTAGAACAATTTGTTAAATGGTATTATAAAGAGGCTATATGCATACACACACACACACACACACACACACACACACACACACACACACACACACACACACACACACACACACACACACACACACACACACACACACACACACACACACACACACACACACATAATATACTCCAAAATGTTAATTAGCAACATTTAAGCAAGTATTTAAAAAACCACGGTGAACCATGGAGAAAGAGGTGTCATTGTGTGAGTCTTTTTAGCTGCTGGTATTGTTGAGCTACTTCACTGTAAAAAAAATTATTTGATGCTTCGGAGTGCAGGAGAATATTGCAGGATGGCTTGCTTCCCACAAATTAAAGAGGAATATTCAGACAATGTTCCTGCCCAAGACAACCAATGAGTGGCTTGAGAACAAGTCCATCAGGCTCATGTTTTGACCTGTTTAAAGTAAACAGCTGCAAAAAGCTGTCTGCAAGCTATAAGGCTAGTTCGTGATACTTTATCCACAGTTTTTGTGAAATTCTTGCAATTTCCTGACCAGTAATTTGTGATTTAAAATGTTTAAGACCATAAAAAACCCACTAAATATTTTGCCTTTTTTTTAACTTGATCCTTTAGAAGTGTATATGTAATTACTGTCTTACCTCTTTTCTGTTTTAATTTGCAATATATTTTGATCCCAACAGCAGTCACCAAAACACCAATAATGATTGCAGCAATGACTCCAACGATGATACTAACTGAAACTGACTTCCCACATTCCACATCAGATGACATTGTTCCTGGTTTTATTTCTTTAAGGCCTTCACTCTCGCATCTGTAAATGTGAGCAATGTTAGAATATCTGGTCACCCGGTAATACATTTTTAACAATTGTGAATCTCTATTAACTACTCACATTGAATGTGGTTGACAGGTTGTCAAAGAGCCGTTAGAGTAAGTGCCTTCCATGCAGTCGTCACATACAGTATCAGTAAATGCTGTTCCTGTAAAGACAATAAAACAATGACTGACTTCATGAGAGTCTAGCATTACAAACTACTGCTGGTATCATTCTTGTATCCAATAAATTTTTTTTAAAAAGTCGTCATGAAATCAAAACTGACCATTTACTTTGTTAGCGCATATTACTAGTCTAGTTAATTCACAGAAAAAAGTCTGTCATGGTAATCTAATCTTTAATCAAAATCTGAACGTTTGCTTCCACTTTGGAATGATGTTTATTTTAAGATGACATCAGTTTTTACGGCTTGGGCTGAATATCCTTAAAGCTCCAACCATCAGTCTGCTATGAGCCTCTCTTGGCCTCAATATTTGATATTTGAGATAAATCACACAACAGTCGGTTGCAACTTCTGGGTTTATGGAGACTTTAAAGCTTGTTGTCCTTCTATTTTATTGCTATTGTTCCTCAATATGTAAAATAACAACACCTGCTTGTTTGATACATTGTCCAGGGTGACATTTAGAGTGTTGCACAGCATATGTACAGCTGCCTTTATTTTGCTCAATGCAGTAGAATCCCTCCAGTGGCTCACAGACAGTATCTGCAGAGCGGGTGCAGCTTCTATTTATTTTTACTCCTCGTAGTCCTGTGCAAACCATAGAACATTTTTCTTAAATTAATAAATATGCTATAACACATTTCTGTATTTCAAGTCTGTATTATGGAGTAAATACTCACCTGCATCACAGACAGAGCAGGGAAAGCATTTATCTGACCGATTGGGTTCATCAATGTAAGTCAATGCAGAACATGGAATACAAGTTGTACTTGTATCTACAGTGCAATGCCAAAAAACATGGTTTCCTAGTTTTTTTTTTAAAGAGAAAAAAGTGATACATCATGCGAGAAAAATGATTGCAATGAAAGACGTATAGGTTGCCTGGATCACACTAAACTACTGCTAAAAAAATGTATACTGTACCTGGAGCACACATGGGGCAGCATTCTCCATTGATCTCATATTCAGCACGAGCACATGTGCTGAGACACAATTTGAAATTCAAACTAGCAGCAATAAAAATAACAATTCCAAAATTGATCATGTTTATATAAGGTGCAAGAGATGTTAATTTGAAAGCAGAGGCAAATATTTAATCTCAATACTTATATTATGGTTTCTTCAACACATTAGAAAAAGTAGCCTACTGCATTGTTATATATGGATCCAAGCAAGACACTTTGGTTCTGTCAGGACCGAGTGATGCCGTCAAGCTCTTTAGGTTTAAACCCGAAAAGTCCAGAAAGAAGTAGAAACAAACCACAGTAAAATAATCTGCATGCTGGTTGAAGTTCAGTTCATCAGCAGGGATGGTTAAGGTAATTAATATGAAACTCTTTAGAATCCTCATCAGTTGTTTATATATTCAGGTTCTTTGAGCATTTGGATTCCTGGAGACCAAGATTATTTTTTCATGATCATTTCACACATTTGCGTGTCTCCAATTGAACTGGTTGAGCAGGCAGTTAATTTAGAGCTGAAATGACAAAATGACAAGTGTTGCTTTAAAAACGTGCAAAATGTAGATGTTTACATTTAGTTCTTAATAATTTTCCTACATAACCGGGGCCGCGTTTATAAGGTTCTGGTGTACAGACAGTTTTATAAGTCTGAATATATATATATTTGTGTGTGTGTGTGTGTATAGCTACACTGTTATTGTAAGGATTGTAAGGATATTGTATGCATTTATGCATTTGGCAGATGCTTCCTAATTGTCCTACATTGGTATACACACATATACTGTACATTGCATGCATTTCACGGGTAATGAACCCATTGGACCATGCCCTGTAGGCTACTGTTTGAGCTATAGGAACAGTGATTCAAAACACATAAAACACCATATAAGATTTGGGCTTTATTCCAACTTCCAAGACAAAAATAACAACAGGGGGGGTATTTCAGAAAGCATGGTTAACTGCATCATATATACCCTGAACTTTTGGTTGATAAACCCAGACAATGCTTACTTGGGGTATGCCAGTTCCAAAAAACATGAACAGTAGGCCTAAGTAAGTCAATTGCTATGTTCTCTGTGCTTGTTCCTGGACTTTTGTTTTATTTCCTGTTTCCTGTCATGTTTGGCACATTTAACAGTCTTCTTGTTAGATTAGTTCCCTGATTCTAATCTCCCAGGTGTGTCTTCTTGTGTGTCATCTATTACCCTGGCTGCATCCGAAATCGCATACTTTAGTAAGTGAAAAACATGTATATTTGAATTCACAGTATCATAAAAGAGTAGACAAAAAGTAACCGGATCTACTTCCAGCGAGATTCTGAAGTGTGTGTAAAATGGACTTCACTATGAGGCCACAGGAGAGAATTTATGATTGAAAGTGAAACAACGCAACTGTAGGTCATGTGATAAGGATATAGCAACTGTAGGTCATGTGATAATGATATAATGGCAAATAGCCTATAGTATGTCCAGATTCGATTCATATTCAAAGAAAAACGTTCTCAACAGAGTGCTAACTCCATGAATTCTCTGTGAATACTCTGAAGTAAGAATGGAACATAACGATGTTCAGAGAGTAGGCTAAGATGATATTGCATATAGCCTGAAAGGTCCCTCTGCAAAAAGGAGCAAGCACATGTAGAAGCATAACTTTCAAGCAACTTCCATACAGGGCCAATCGTAGGCTATGTTGACAGGCAGCTACTGCCTAATTTCGAATGGTAATACACCTAATGCAGTTTATAACAGCAGTGATGCGAAGTTATTGACTGTGTTTGTTTGTAGTACGCTTTTCGGGGTTTTACACTTTGCAGACGGTCCCTTCGCTTCGGGTATGCCATCTTTTGTCCAAAAACTCGTTTTAAAGAAAATTACATAGTAGCTGCTTGTCTAAGTTAATGACTGAAAAGATGTGTTGTGTATAGTTGCAACGTTTAACTCACGAGTAGCCTAATTGATCCAAGAAGTTTTAAGCAAGAAAAAAGCTTTCACTTTCACATACGATTATTAGCATACGTTTTTTTTTATTGTTAGTCTATATTGTTTTATATAGCCTAAACAAATGTATTACCATATGTAGTGCCATTTACATTTGTAGCCTCTTTACTTTTATTTAGCATCGTGATAGGCTTGGATCAGAATAGCCTCTCTACGTTTTTCTACGCACGCAGGCCTAGATGAGAATAATGTTACAAAATATTTATTTTAGCCTACAAAAACTCACGACTACGAAAACCGAGTAGGCTACCAGTCAAAAAAACACAAGTTCTTACCGCTAAAGTTAATTCGGACTGGAATTCTTTTGAGGAATAATCCTTCCTGACTTCCGACATTTGTGGAGAAGTATCGCCCTACTTTCATTTCCATATCCCAATTTCCCAGTTCAACCGGCAGAGGTAGCCAAAGGCTATTTGTTAACGGGGGAAAGGCTGCGAGGGATAGAAACTTAACTGTTCAGTGGATTGTTAACAACATGCCAACTGTTCAAACCGATTAATTAGTTAAGCCTATGTTAAATTAGTAGACAAAAACACATGTCTTTGGTGCTTGTAAAAAAAAAATGGGTTTGAGAAGTATTAATAAATCGGAAATCACTAAATACATAAGTAGCCTACACAAATTCCCATTGCACCCACTGTATTATGTATACTGTCTGATACAGTTTCCCTATAGCAGTGAATACATTTAAGTAACAATCAATACAAATAGGCCTACATAATTGCGCAAAAAGTTAGTCTTACTGAATAGTGTTTGTAAACACATAAAATGATTGAGGCAGATAGTCACATCATTCATAATAGAAAAGTCATTGTTGTTATTTTGGTTTTGTTCAGTCATGCCTGCTTTATAAAATGTAGACAGTTCTGATTAGTTCAGATACTTTTGACTGCTAAAAACATGTTTTAAACATGAAGAATTTGTCTTTCATGGCTTCCATAAAGGAGAGAAAAAAATATTAGGCTATTAAAAAAGTCATATAATTCAGTAACTCATTTTAACGACTTCCTTAACTGGCTTTTAAGCAATTAAATATCTTTTATAGCTGCTGGGGAGCCTTTTCTGATTGTGATTTGGAGATTTTTCTGCTATTGGCTGCATATGTTTTAGGGTGTGCAATATCAGTGAACATGAAGAAGTAAACAATTTATTTTGCTTGAGGACCACTCAGTGAAACCATTCACTCGTGTACCTAATATTGAGACCACTGCAAGCACTTTATCTGCTTTACACTCAGTTGTAAACAAACTTTTTTGCAAAACAGTTCTCTACATTAGACACATCACTCAAACCTAACAGCTCTTCCATTTCACTAGGGAAACACAAATGCCACACTCATTTACCGATAACACCTAAAAATAATGTGTGACAACACTTACACATAACTTGTTTACTTAATCAAAACACTTTGTTTTAAGAACTGAATTAAAAACATTTGACCTCTTGCATTTCTGTACATGGTGTAAATACCTAATTTTATCACCTAGAAATCAAAATGATTGCAATGTTTTAAGAGACAAATGAATTTTTACCCACGGATTTCTGTTTATTTTGTAAATATATACTGAATATACATACAAGTCAAGTAATCTCTATTTGTATTTCTATTTCTATGGCTTCGCAATTTTAACAAATTCAAATTCTCCTAATAAGCAGCTCTAACAAGCCAATAGTGTCATTATTCTGTTCAAGTCAGTTCAGAGTTGATTCAGTTCAGTTCAATAACTGTAAAATATCAGTTGTGAAAAAAAATGCATACATACTGTTGTGTATTTTTGCCCATGTATGTTTGAGTGCTATGACAAACTACACTCCACTGCACACTGAACAAGCACTACATACTCTTTACATTTTCCACATCTGTGTGTTATCAGTGTAATCATTTGATGGTTCGTGTGTAGAGTTCCTATGCAAAAACACATGATTTTTTGGAAGAGTTAAAATAGTTTTTAAGTGCTTTTGCAAGTGATGTGTGATGTTTTGCATCATGTGTGCATGAGTTTCAAGAAATTAAGGCACAGTTTCAGAAATTGTGTGTAACCATTTAAAAATACTGTAAAAAACGTCAACACTTGTTGAATTCCCACATTCAGCATCAGATGACATTGTTCCTGGTTTTATTTCTTGAAGCCCCTCAGTCTCACATCTGCACATTTGTAAGAGAGCAAAATTAGAATTTGTAGTCTTTACTAAAACTATATTTTTCACACTTAAAAATGTATGATAATCACTTACTTTGAATGTGGTTGACAGGTAGTGAAAGACCCATTAGAATAAGTGCCTTCTGCACAGTTACCACAATCCGTATCAGTAAATGCTGTTCCTTTAAGGATATTAAGACAATGACTGTTTTAATAAGAGTCTAGCATTACAAGTACTACTTGTGTCTGTCATCATGTTTAGCAAAACTAATAATGGGCAATTTCTATTCTCGTATTTCCAAATATTCTACACAGATACACATCACCCACCTGCTTGTATGATATATTGTCCATGGTGACATTCAGAGTGTTGCACAGCATATGTACAGCTGCCTTTATTTTGCTCAATGCAGTAAAATCCCTCCAGTGGCTCACAGACAGTATCTGCAGAGCGTGTGCAGCTTCTCTTTATTCTTACTCCTAGTCCTGTGGAAACCATAACACACTTTTTAATTTCTGCAAAAATTGCTTCTTTATTTTAAGTCTTCATATTGTGAAACATGCTAACCTGGATCACACAGAGAGCAGGGAAAACATGCTTTGAGTCCATTGGGTTCATCTGTGTAAGTTAATGCAGGACATGAAGAACAAGTGGTGCTGGTATATTCAGTGCAATGCTGATGAACATGGCTTCCTAGATAAAATATGAAAAACATGAACTATCCTGAGTCACTCTAGGATTTTTCAGCAGGGATTGCTTTACTTTCTCAAGTGATCATTTCGCAATTGCAGTTTTTAGATGCACATATTTGTAAAATCAAACAAAAACTTTCCTTACAATTTACTGTTATTTGAAAACACAACTTTGCCTAATAAAATCAGATTTGTTTTAAGCATTGTCACTCATTCAGTATTTTCATATAAGGCAGATGCAAACATTACACAATGTATACCTGGCACACACATGGGGCAGCATTCTCCATTAACCTCATAGTCACCACGAGCACATGTGCTGAGACACAGTTCGAAGTTCAAAGTGACAACAGCAGCAATGGATAAGATAAATCCTAACTTAATCATATTGATATAAAGTGAAATAAAGATATATTTATTCCGTTTTAAAGTGGAGACAAGTACAACCATGTGCTGGTTTCTTAAGCATATTAAACAAAGTTATGACCAGAGCCACCACTGGCCAAATGGGTTGCCACTAAAAGTTTTCTTGTAACCAGTAGATTCCTGGAGATGAATTAAGTTTCTCTGCAGGTGCACACATAGCAATATTCCAACAGCTGCATTCAGGAAAAAAGCTGAAATGACAAAATGACAGTACTGAGTTCTATACCAACATAAACATGAATAAAGTGCTGATATAAAGGTGTTCAGAGTTAGTCTTTTATATTTCTGGAACTTATTAATTTTCCCAAACAATTGATGCAATACGCAATTAATGTGTATGCATAAACCAAAGATCCAAATACATAAAACATTTTTTTTTGGTCAAATGTTTAAATCAAACTTGCCCTGACTTACATAAATTAAACATGAACAAGTTCAAACAGATCAAATCAAGTAAACTGTCAATGCCAAACATATTAATTTTCAGGTTTGAACAAGCAGGTAGATCTTACTAGTAGAACAAGATTGGAGACCCTAAGGCAAGATATGATTTCTACGGCAATATTTCTGTGATATTGCAGTGGAAAAACTGCATGGTTTGTGGTTAAAGGGTTAGTTCACCCAAAAATGAAAATTAAGTCATTTAATTTACTCACCTCCATTCTATACCACTCAATCTTTTGGGTGAGCTATCCCTTTAAGTCTCATAATATAATCCATTTTAAGGATCCAACAGAGAAGTCTATTTTATTCCCTTATTATTTTTAACATATTCACTGGTTAGAATACTAATATTACCAGCCAGTCAGAATTCTTACTGATTTACTATAAACCATTAAACATTTATTTTTGTACTCTAAATCAAGTGTCCAAATCAAGGTTGTCGAAATTGGACAAGCTCATAACGTTTGAGACCCTGTTTACACCTGTATTTAGCGTCAACCACTTGTGATCCGATCGACAAAAACGCCTCCTAACACCAGATGTAAACAGGGCCTCAGTCCTGGAGGGTCCCTGTCCTGCAGACTTCACTGTTCCTTCAGAGTACCTTCAGATTGCCTCTAAACACCTGCATGGAAGTTTCTAAGCCAAGTAAGACCTTGATTAGCTGGTTCAAGGGTGTTAAATTGGAGTTGGAGCTAACTTTTAGGGGATTGGACACCCTTGCTCTAAATTGTGAGGGGAAAAAAGTGTAGCCTCAAGTGGCGGATCCTGGGATAGGCATTGCAGCAGTCTGGGACGGCTTCTCTTCTTTTATAGTTCATTTGAGCCAGTTTCACCAAGTAGATAGAGCTGCAGACCGAAAATGTTTGTGACGTTGAATTTGTGGGACTGTAGAGTAGTTTGTTTATGGCATACCTTTACATAGGCTAACTTACTAATTTATACTTCTAGCAACAGCATTTTGGCATTCATAAATGTGATAATTATCTTGGTGGACAAAACGTGCAAGTATCATAAACCTTTGTTAATCACAGAGATTGTTAATAAGCCAACAGCCTATGGTAAAATCCTGTTGGGTTTTTGTCGAGCGAAGCAAAGTGTCATACTTGTACCACTCTATTGGCTCTGGCTTCAGACAATTTTCATTGACTTACATTTCTAAATAAAAAAAATGTAAATTAAACATAACTTCTAGTTTATCTAAATTTAAAAATTATAAAATATACCATATAAATAAAAATGTCTATATAAATGAATATGCTCATATGTAACCCAGGTTCAAAACTGTAATCCTTTCAATGTATATTATGGTATATAGTAATAATGAATTGTTATATTTATGTTTTTTTATTTATCTATTGATTGATCCATTTGCGCGGAGTACGTGTGTGACCGTGATCTAACGTAATCCCGGTCATGTGACTGCTTGGCAAATCGCGTCTGGATGCATGAGTGTTTAATCAGGCCGCGGCGTTTTGTTTTATTCAGAGGTGGGGAAGTCGATCGACGGCTGTGGACAGGTTTGTGCTTTACAAACTTTTTACTCTTGTTATCGATTTATACTTTTAAGTTAAGCTTATTATTGTAACTCTTTAGAGCAACTTACTGGCTGTGGGGAATTCTTCGCCGGAATCGCCGCCACAACGTTATGTTTATTCTGAATGAATGAATGAGAATGAGCTATGCTAATTGGTGGCACTGAACATTAATTAGCCTTGCCTGCTTTAGGCAAATGTTTGGATTCATTGTATGTTGTTATGAAGTATTGGCTGAAGTATTTTTATTGTGTGTTTATATGCACTAAGGCAATTAGGTTACAGTAATACTGGTTTAATTGTTTGAAGTTTGTGATGCAACTTCAATATTGTTTTTTGATTGTGTTGATTTAATGTTTATTATGTGTAGGTTGTACATTTGTCATTTATTTTGTAAGGATCTAGAGTAATGAGAGTGATATTTGAGTGTGGATTGAGCTACAAAATGTAATGCAAATCGTGTTCTAATTCAACTCTTATTTACTGATCCTGTTGTGTACAATAGGCCAGATTCTTTCTCTCTGGTTGGAGATAAATGATGGTGAGCTAAATTACTACGGTTGGGAGCCAATCATCTGCGCCACATCCACTGAACAGCTGCTCTCTTGGTCTGGTAGGGAGGTTGTCTGCAGCCTGTCCCCCACACACTTCTCCATATACTAGCGCTTCAGTCCCTCATGTATATCTTTTCATCTGATGAACAATAACCTATGGATTAATCAACATAAACTTTCATAAAAACACCTTGTGGGTTGTTGCGCGTCTTGACGAATGTCAACATTGTGGGGATAGTTTTTCTTTTTTTTTTTGTTTTTTTTTTTTTGTTGTATTTGTTGTAATCTTCATCATTGTGTCTGACTTGAGCAATAACCCCAAAAAGTGCTCTTAACTATAACTGATTCAACTGAAGCCTGTTAATATTTTGATTTTTTTTAAATCTATTTCTTTCATTATCTTTGGTTGCAGTTATGTTTGTTAAATTATTTTTCAATACCAAATGTAACTTCCTGTTTCTGTGTTGTAACTGACCACCAGCTCCTGTAGTCGAACTTTAGACTTAAGATTTAATTGAGCTATTTAATTTAGTCTAGCTAATATTGATAACTGATTAATATGGGTTAGCACGGCCCAAACACATGTTACACATATATATTGTATGCCCTAAGCTTGTGGCAAGTGCCGGACCGGAGTTTGAACCTCTGTTCAACGATATAAGCAGGATAGGTTTTACTCTATCGGGGTGTTCATTTCATGGTATCATTTATTTTCAAGCTGATTTTAGTCACCCAGTTCTCTAGACTCTTTTTTTTTTTTTTTTTTTTTTTTTTATGAATATTTCAGCTATAGGCGATGCTTGGGCTAAATAGGCATTTATTCATTTTTGTAAACAAAGTTCTACAATAAAAGTGAACCAACATGTAATATTTAAGGATATGGGGGCGAATTCGGACACAGCCTTGTACTTGGTTGGCGCACTGATCCTCAAACCGCTAGTTTTTTTGCGCAGACCTGGCAACCCTGCCTGTTGTGTCTCAGTTGGCAAACCTAAAACTTAGCCTATACAATTTAAGAAATCTTCTTGAAATATTTGACATGCTTAATCTAATTAAGTAATTGATAGTCTCATCGTAAGAAAGGCTATTTAGGATCATTAAATAAAAGCCTAGCCTAAATAAATTACAGTTTATCTCTCACAGTGAATCTTTTAAAAATATAATATCTTCACTGTGCATAACGGTGTATCTAAACAGCGGATTTGCACACAAAAATATTAAATATAATGTAACAGTCAGTCAGTCACGTCATCGAGCAATTCCGATTTAATACATTGAAAACGCTTACCGTTGAAGGTCGTTTGCATATGAATTCTAATGGAGAAAAAAAAAATCATGATTCCTGACCAACTTACAAACTGAAGGTATCGACTAAATGGGGCGGTGTTAGGAGTCGCCATGTCAATTGGACCATCACTGAAGCCTCCCCCTTTCCACCCCATATGACACTGTCTTTTTTTGTTTTGGGGACACAAGTTAGTTTTTAGCGCTAGAACAGTCACTTTATGTCCATATCACACGGGAAACTTTTCTGGTGTTCACACCAACGTTTCACTGTCTTCAATATTTCAATGTTAAAAAATAATTCAATTCGTGTTTGGTATCGAAGATTTTTAGTTACACAACGTACAAAAATGTAACAATGTAGCAATTCATTAATGTGGCTGAAAGAGCTCACGCGTGTAGGCTGGCTGGCCAATAGAGGTCGACGTCGGGTCATCACAGAAAATGTTTTCTCCACAATAGATACAGTCGGCAACGCGTCATAGTTGGGGGGCGTGGTCGGCGTGGGGGAAAGCAGCGCGACCATCCTATGTATTTGAATGACAAAAATGTCATATTGCGAGTCATTTATGCCTGCCGACCGGCAACGATACATTGCAAATTTAACTGTAATAGGTTATGATTGCCCTTATTTAATTAAAAACTGGGCCAATGACCCAACCAAATGGCCGGAGGTGTCGTTTCCAGACTATTATATCTGGTTGAATCTTCAGGTAAGACATCGCGGAAGCTACCGGCAACACAAGCCTGTAACTCAATCAACTTGCGTATAAGTTACTATAAGTCCATAAAACCATGTCACTTACCAATTGTACGTATGCTTCACTCCAAACTATTAATCCTTTTGTAAAACGGTGATCAAAGTAGTCGCTACGAAGTTGCAGAGGGACTTTGCTGACAGTTATCCGAATTCTCACAGACTGCAGTCTGATAACCTTCAGCTGATAACGCTAATAACATCCCTTATGAAAAACAACTAAAGGAATCTTGTAGTATTTTAGGACAAACTATTATAGTAACGTTAATCCTATAGGAATACTATAGTATTTTGGGACATAGCCTAGAAGTATAGGTATTAATGAACATCACAGAAGTATTATACACTACTATAGAATCCCTGCAAACATGCCCCTGCGGGGCCGACGCTGGCTTTTTGTGGGCACAGTGGGCTAGGGCCAGCCCACGCCAAACCTAAACAGGCCCAGTGCGGGTTGCCCAGACGAGGCCCACAGCTTTGGGCTCACTGCGGGCTATCAGTGAGCAGCCCACACTAGCAGGCTGCCCACATTAAGCCCATGATGGCCCACTGTGGGCCATCCCATTCGGGCCCATGAGCAGGTTTTGCACCTTTGGGCCCATGCGGGTTTAGTTTAGGTAGCCCACATTTAGATTTGCCCACATGCCCACAATGTCGTCAGTACGTCCTCTAATCATAATAACTTGGTAATTTTAATTCTCTTAAAAATTAAAACAATAAATAATATATATATATATATATATATTAAGAGAATAAGAAAGCACTAATAATAATATATATATATATATATATATATATATATATATATATATATAAAGAGAATAAGAAAGCACTAATAACTTGGTAATTTTAATTCTCTTTAAAAAAAATTTAAACAATTTAAATATATATATATATTTAAATTGTTTCAAAATGTTTTATTTTTTAAGATATATATATAATATATATATATATATATATATATATATATATATATATAAGAGAATAAGAAAGCACTCTTTATATAAAGATGGTAATGAAATTACGGGCCTGTTGCAGTTTCATTCCACACTTTATGTTAGCCTACATATTTATATTACACGTTGCTCTTGACTTTATATTACATGTAGGCCTTTATATAATACAGATGTCATGAAATTGCTTTACAATAAAAGTAAAAGCAAAATGGTATTAAAAAGCATAATTGTCAACTGAATGGGTCATAGAACTACACAATGAGTTTAAATTCATTATATAAAATTAATGATATTTTAAATTGTTAAATGTTATAATTCTACATGTTTATTTAAATGCTGCGTGCCTTTTGACGTGTTCTATGGTTTCAATATGGGCGTACGTGCGCGAGTCGCATTCAAATCTGATTCAAAGACAGGAGCGCGCGCGAGCAGATGGAAACCATGGAAACGAGGAAACCCATCAACTGACAAACAGCAAACTAGCGTCTCTCACTGTTGTTTTCTCTGCTTTCAGGTAAGTCTAGTTACCAAAATCACACAAATAATACATACAAACCTTCCTGATATATGTCTTACGTGTAATTGATACACTTCTGTTGAATATTTACTTTATAGAAATAGTTGTGTGTCTTCGATAAAGTCCGTTAGCATCTGACTGAACCGTTTTCAGAAGAGCTAACGTTAAGTTGTTTACGTTACAATTGAGCTCTTGTTTTACATAAGTGTGGGTTTTTAACCACATTTTTGTGTTGATAACAGTTTTTGATAGTTTTGTTTTGCTGGTAATTTGTCAATGGGTGATTGGAAGTTAGCTAAGTTAATTTATTTAACCTTGAAAGAATTCATTGTAACGTACTTAATGACGTCATTTACAAATATTGGTAATAAGTGATTTCAGAAGGAACAGGAAAAAAACACAACAAAGGGGAATTATTGTTTAATCATGATAATTATTTCCTATGCATTATTGCACAATATATTACCTTAAGATTTTTTATGTATATTCTTTAGCTATGCTCTAGCTTGCTTCCTTGTATTAAACCCTTTGTTCTATTGTAAATTCAATGTAATATTGTTGGCTCTGTGACACATTGCATGTTATTTTCTTGAAGATCATCATAGATGTCCTGCTGCACCCCCTGGGGTCCAAGACAATCTCCACGGCTATGACCTCGACCATAGTAAGCAAAACTTCATACATACTGTTTAATTGTTGTGGGTCTGTAGGATTTATTATTTTGAATGAAGTCTCTCACTTTAAATTCATTAATTACAGTTTTTTTCAGTGACATTGTACTTGAGAAGCTAAATAATAGGTGGCAAATATAATGTTATAATAGTCATAGTTATAATAATTCAGGATAATAGTCATGGGTATATATATATATATATATATATTATTTTTTTATTTTATTTTTTCTCTGGGTGTGTTTTTAATTATGTTGGCCAATGAGACACCATACTGTCCAACTCAAAGCTATTTTTTTATGTATGTTTGACTGATAAATACTGAAATTCTTTTTACTTTCAAATGCTGATTTCAGGGGGTTATGGCTGTGCTCTTGTTACCAGATGAGATATCATTTGATCCTGTGATTCTTCAGGACAAGATCTTGATGCCATCCACACCCAGTACATGACGAAGGTGAGTTTCACAATAGCTATATCACCATCACAAACCAAGAGGCCAAACACAACAGGCCTTCATCCATATGAACTCACCCATATGTAGGAATAGGTTCCGAAACCCGGTATTAAACATTAAACGGGCCCTGGGGCCAAATTAAGGAAGACTGCAGTATCGATAAGCTCAGATGTTATCAGTTCTGCTGACGGTACTGAAGAAATTACACACACACTGTTTATTATAGACATTATCTTGTGTCATTGTCATGTGTTTTTCAGGCTGGTTGTTTGTCATTTTGTAAGAGTAGAGAGAGGCTGTACCTCAGTGAAGACTTATTTTACATTAGATAATTCAATTTCCGTACCTGATAAGTTAGATTTTCCGAAAAAAACTTCATGCACTGCTTATTTCAATTGTATTTTTCTTCTATTGAATTTATCAATACTTGTAATTTGTTATAATTTTCAATGCAGATTCACTCAATAATCTCTTGAAATTTGTTTTTATATCGCAATATATATAGCAGCAGATAAACAAAATATTTTATTTAAGGTTTTTAGTATTGTGCAGCTCTAATATTGAGCATTTAACCTGATTGAACCTGGAATTGTTATAATAACCTGGAATAATTTGTGATACCAGATGTATGATTATGTATGATAGATTTTGAACTGTATTTTTTTTTTTTTTTTTTTTTGCAGGTTTTCTGGGATCCACAGTGGAAGGCATCAAGGCGTGAGATGTTGGCTGGACAGATGTACCTGTACACCACACCGACCTCTGCTTTTACATGGATGGCGGATTACTATCATGTTCTGTAAAGGTTTCATTATAGCAAAACAGAGCACCTGTGACAGTGGAATCTGTAGGTGTAACGTAGTCAGTTAAAAGTAGTCAGGTGTAAAGTAGTCACAGAGAGAACGTTTTTTTTTTTTAAGTTTCAAACTTTTTTCTCTTTCACAAAAAACACTGCAGTTACAGCTTTTCAAATTCTTCATTGGAGGTGTACAAATAATTTTCTTTTTTTCAAATCACAAAAAGGGCTGTGCAAAAATTAATTGCAATTAATCGCATCCAAAATAAAAGTCTGTGTTTACATAATATATTTGTGTGTGCTGTATATAATTATTTTGTATATATAAATACCTATGCATGCATGTATATATTTAAGAATTATTTGCACTTAAATTCTGTGTATATATATATATATATATATATAAATACATACTCTATATTATATAAATATAAATATTTTATATATGAATAACACATTTTCTTAAATATATACATGCATGTGTGTGTATATTTATATATACAATATAGGGCTGTGTAACGATTAATTGCATCAAAAATAAAAGTTTGTGTTTACATGATATATGTCTGTATAATTATTTTGTATACATAAATACACACATATGCATGTATATATTTAAGAAAAATGTGTTATTGATATATCAAAGATTTATATTTATGTATAATATTAATTTTGTATAAACATATATACAGTACAAGCATGCAAATATTTCTTAAATATATACATGCATGTGTGTGTATTTATATATACAAAACAAGTATACACACTACACAAACGTATATAATTTATGTGAACACAAACTTTTATTTTGGATGCGATTAATCGCCATTAATCGTTTCACAGCCCTAATACAAAATAATTATATACAGCGCACACAAATATATTATGTAAACACAGACTTTTATTTTGAATGCGATTAATCGCAATTAACTTTTGCACAGCCCTGTAAGAAATGTATGCTGACATTTAAGGCACGGCCACACGGGGGGTTTGAGCATATGTGACTGTGAATGAAAAGTGAAGTGTGACCACATGAGAATAGCCAAACAGTATAGATGATTCACAAAATTATACACCAAGAAATGTGCATAATTGGCCAAAATGTTACTGTTTATCAACAAAAATATGACCCTATGAGTTTGGTAATTTTTAGAATAGGATTTGTGCACCTGCAATGAAGATTTTAACTGATGTTTTGTGTAACTGATGTGTTGTGTTTGTGAGAGAGAGAGAGAAAGCAAAGAAAAAGAGGTTTGCAACTCATAAAACATTTTCTCGAAGACTAAAAATCTACAAATTGCACTGTTATAGGGACTCTGTTTAGCTTCAATATTACTAGATATAATACAGTGTCAATCTTATTAACTACTATTTATTTTGTATAAAATCATATACAGTATACAGGTAAAAAATTTGGAAACATTTTGGAAGAAGTCTATTCTGCTTATCAAGCTTGCATTTATTTGCATTTATTTAAAAAAAAAAACAGTAATATTGTGAAATTTTATCATAATGTAAAACAGCTGTTTTCTATGTTTCTGTTTTTTATGTGAATATATAATAGTGTAATTATATTACATATAATAACCTGAATTTAATGTTTTATGTTTTGTAATTAATAAATACATTGATTTGAAATCCCTTTGACTTCTGTACATTTGTGAAAATACAGAAATTAGTTATGTGGTGACTGCATTCAGATGTATAGAATAATTGTTTTTCCCAAAGACTTATAGTTATATTAGCCAAAAAGTATTTATAGTGAAACAGATTAATTGTGAACTAGATCTATTGTTGTAGATGCCCTGCGGGCCCTGTGTGGGCTTAGTGAGGGATTCCTTGGGGCTAAGTGAGGGCTGCCCATGCAGGGCCAACGTTTTGTGGGCCCAGTGTGCGGGCCCTGTGTGGGTTTAGTGAGGGCTAAGTGAGGGCTGCCCATGCAGGCCCAACGTTTTGCCAATGAGCAAATTCTCATGGGCCCTGCGCTAGCAGCCTGCAGGGGGCCCTTAGGCTAGCCCTAAGTGGGCCCGGACAGGGCCAGTGCAGGCTTGTTTGCAGGGATACTAATAGCCATAGGATTACTATAGTTCTTTTTCGTAAGGGACGTAACGTCAGACAAATCTGGCCCACTGCCTAATACGAGTTAAACATCTACTACTATATCACACAGGGACCTCTACTCACACAGTAATCTAATAAGATATGATTAATTTTGCCATTTTGTCCTCCTATCCGGTTCTGCATGTATGTAAGAAAGGCTGTAGAACTTCAATTTGTAATTTGTTAGTTTATTGGTGGTACAGAAAACGACACCGCAACCCTTCGGCATGATTGTCCCATGTATTTCAATGAGCGCCAAGGCAATGATTTCCCCCACGGGCTAAATTCACACCACGTGACGGGGCGTTCCCGGGGGCGTTCCCAGACCAACCGACTGTATCTATAAGAAAACTATCGCAGCAACGTTCCAAAGCGGCCAATAAGGCGTATGTAAATGTCTGCTTTTGCGCTCTTTTTACGCGTTTTTCGCGTGCTGCGGAATTCGGCAAAAGTTTAATTTATCAGCTGGCTCCGATGGTCACTAAGAAGATGGGACGCAATGAAAACCCTGTGGTCGTTGTGGTTTCCCCTTTGGTTGCATTCATGGAGGACCAAGTAAAAGAAGCAACACTCGTTATTTTACTATGGCTCTTTCAGACTGCACGATTTTCAAAGTAGTCAGGTCGCTGCTCTTTTCACACTGCATGACTATCTTGGCCAGCATTCAGTCGCTGCTGTGTTCACACTGGACGATGGATCGGCGACAGAAGGTTTCACACTGCATGACTTTAGAAAAATCGCCGACAGACACTGTCTAGCACGCTGCACGCAAACTACATTTCACAACAAACACGCGTGAGATATGAAAAGGAAACAACGCGCGACACCACACGTGCAAGACCGGAGTTCTCACGTGAGACTTTTTTTTTTCGACCCGGTTGTGGTACAGCTGGTGAAACAGACACGAGTGCTCCTGCCAAATTTCTACTAATTTTTCTTCCATTTATTGTGTCCAAATAGACCGAGAAGAAGCTTTTTTTGTTGAAACAATGCCATATTATGTTGATATGTGATCTATAACTCCTCCCCGAACTCCCTGCTGCTCTGTATCTTGCTCTCTCACTGGCTGCCGGTGATCGCCGATGTAGTTTTCAGTCAAAACACTTTTCACACAGCAGGATTTTGAATCGCCGACAGGTCCAGATATTTAGCATGCCAAATATCTCACGGGCGTCGGCGACTCGTCGGTGATTCTCTCAGTTCGCGTCTTTGTTCATTCACACTGCGTGATTGTCACTCGCGTGAACGAGCGCCGATTTGCCTGTGATTTCGGGCATTTGTCGGCGATTTCTCAAAACCTGTCGGCGAGCCAAAATCGTGGCTAAAATCATGCAGTCTGAACTCGGCATTAGTTAGTAAAAATTAAGTTCTGTTGCCAACTAGCGTGCTTAAATACATCACTTACTGCGTTGCTCTGATTGATTGTAGGTCTATCCAATTGAGTGCAGTTATAAAAGTGAAAACGTTAAAAGTAGCCTGCATAGTAAAAACGTGTAATATTGAGTTTATACATGTAAAAACACAAACCAACACATTCTCAAAAGATTGTCCCATTTCTTCAGGAATTTAAATCTCAATGGTTTCACAACCAGAAGTTGCGCAATGTTGTAGCATGATTCTTACTGAGTGATGACTGACCATTGACCACTGCAAGAAGTATGTCTGAACGATAATGTGAACCGACGTATACATATCTGCTGCAAATACAACATAACCAAATAGAGAAATGTCCTGCATATAGCCCAATGCGCTGCAACTGAAGAAAACATGCAAGTAGAAAAAACACTAGCAAATTAAGAAAACATTTTCAGTTTGACAACACAAGTAGCACAGACCACAATAGAAATGTTTCAAGGAGAACCCAACAAGTTCTGAACCTGGCTGGGACATGCTTCCTTGATAGTACAAGTACAGAGACGTCTATTTGATGTCTGCATTTACATCTGCAAGATGTTTTTTTTAAAATGTTTGCTAATTTGCAATATGTCTCTTAGACATTGTATATCAGATGTTAAATAGACATTTAGAAAATGTCTTTAAGATATGTATGGAAAACTGCTTGTTGATGTTTGTACACAGCAGATATTTTCCTGATGGGCTCTATGCACGGCGTTATTTCCGGTGAAGGATTAAGGATGCTCGATAACTTCCGCCGATCATAGAGTCCAATGCAATACCGAGAATTTATATTGAATTTTATACTCCATGGTTATACTAATGAAACGTTAGTCACAAAAACAGATAAAACAGACACCCCTCGTTGTGTTTATGCTTCTTTTTAAAATTATATTAAATAAACATAACTATATATAAAATTAAACGTATGTACGTTTCGTTTCAAAGACGGGAGGACAGTAAATATTGAAGACTCTGTCATAATCCCGTTTTCTCCGGTTTTCCTCCGCTTTAATCTACACAACCGGAAATGGACGAGCATCCTTGCGTCAAATGCGGAACTTATGCGTGCATATAGCCCATTAAACGCTCTTTAGCAGACATCTTTAAGCCAAAGTGGTAAAAGGGGTTGGTGTAGCCAAAGGCGGAGCCTGAGGCGGGACCTAATTCCAAATGTGTTTTTTTTTTCTTCTTCAAATTCAAACCACTATCAATTACAAATACAATCAGAATGAACTGATATAGAACACTGACATTTTATTATAATAAAAGTAACTGCTGAGGAGTTCATGGGAAAAACCCCCCCACACATATATGTATGAATTGTAAGTGAGCATTCATTAGTGTTTTAAAATGATTTAATATAATGCAAAATTAATACATTTAAGTAATCAATAAAAAAAATATTGTGCAAAAGTAACTAAAAAAGTGTTATCACAGTTTTGTAATATTCCTCATGTTCATAGTTGCAACACTGGTATTGTCACTTTTTTTCTGAGGCTTATTGGCACAGCATTAGCAGAGCCGTCGCTGGTCAAAGAGGTTCCTCAGTTTGTTTAAAGGACAGTTAGTGGCTCTGTCTGCTGGACTTCAGGCATGACAAATTCTTTAGAGAATGAGAAGACAAGTCTGGAAACTGTCACGTATTTAGGACTTGTTCTTCCAAACGGACTGTCTCAGCATTTATCCTGCCACCAACAACTGAAAACACAGTGAAGGAAAGCATTATGTTTCAGCTTGTACAAGCACAAAAAAATGTTGAGTATTGCTTTCTCATGGCCATAGAAGGATATTATGTCACTGAAGTTTCTCCTATATACAGTACATGAGCTGTGTTGTATGTCTGATTTACTCTTACCTTTTATGCTGGCTTTTCCAGTTAAATCATTTCCTGTCTCCTTTTAACAAAAACAAATAAACATACATTTTGTTATATAAAACATATAAGATATATTTGCTGTATTTTTTCTATTTAATGTTAAAAAAAATAAAACTTTCATTATACCTGTATTCCTGTACGAACTGAATGAAGACAAATTTGTAATTTAATCACTATTGTATTTCTCATTGCATTACTGGTGCAATCTTTTTATTGTAGCAAATATACAGTATAGTGTATATGAATGATTGTCAAAATTATTATAAAATTTACAGTATCGGTTATACTGTAGGCCTATATTACGTATTTAATTTGGTTGATTTTGCATAGAAAAGTCATTAATAAAACAACTATATAGATCCCATACTACATGCGTATTCTGAAAAAAATTGAATAAAGCTTACCTGAATGTTTCTTCTTTCGAAAACAAATAATTGTAAAAACACCTCCTGTAATTATTAATAAAGGAACTATAACACCAACAGCAATGGCTGTTAAGTCAGTCAGGGGATTTCCACATTCACTGTCAGATGATTTAGTTCCTGGATTTGTTTCAGTAAGTCCAATGGCATGACATCTGTGAATGATATCGATGACCAAATGTGTTTGAAAATTATGAGATTATGAACAAATTATGAAATGTAATACATATGAAATGCACACACCAACAGCATACGTGAGCACTCACTTAGTGTGTGGTAAACAGGACGAGAAAGATCCGTTTGAATATGTGTCATCTGAGCAGTCAGCACACACAGTATCTGTGGAGCCAGTACCTAAAAAGACAATGGATATATAGTTGGCTCCATAAAAGGTTACTATTGTTTAAAAAGAAAGCTCCGTTTCCTTAACTGCAACTTATGCACCACAGATAACAATAAACAGCATTTCATGCGCTGCTCATGTATATTTATATACTTTTATTATTGACCTGCTTGTTTGATATATTGTCCAGGTTTGCATTCAGAGTGTTGCACAGCGGATCTACAACTGTCTTTATTTCGATCAATGCAGTAGAATCTTTCCAGTGGCCCACAAACAGTATCTGACGACCGAGTACATGCTTTATTCACTCGTACCCCTCTGTCTAGGATAGAAACGAGGCAGCAGAAACCATATTACATAAGTTACTGTTAGGAACAGTTACAGCTGAGTAACTAGCTAGCATCGCTAGCATGAATAAAATCTATAACAACTTTTTCATTTTCTGATGAACAAATATAGAGGAAACACTTACTTGCATCACACACAGCACAAGTAAAGCATTTTGTTAAGCCATTGGGTTCATCTGTGTAAGTGAATTCAGGGCATGGGACGCATGTTGTGCTGGTGTCATCTGTGCAGTGCCAAACAACACAGTTTCCTAAAAAGCAGAAAATAAAATGTGTCAACTTTGCCAATGTGATGCAAAATGCATTGTCATAGAATGGATTTTGTCATTTTTAATTTTATTGCTTTTATGTAGGAAAATCGCCACTACTGAAGTTATATTTATTTAACACACTTATAGTAAAAAAAGCATAAAAATAAAAACAAAGTGTGTAATATGTAAACTATATATGTGTGTGTGTGTGTGTGTGTGTGTGTAAAATATGTAAACTATATGGTATAACTTTTTATTAGCAGTCTTACCAGGAGCACACATCGGGCAGCATTGCCCATCTATTTCATACTCGGCATGAGCACATCGACAAAAGCAAAGATCATAGTTGAGTCGAACTATAACTGTAATGAGAAGAGTAATCCTTAAAGTGAACATGTCACATCAATCTCAGTGGAGTCCAATCAGTTAATGTGAGCATTAAGGAAACATTTCCTCAGCCTTCACATTAGCTGTGCCATTATGGACTGATTTTGTTGAAAACAGGGAGACAAGATGACAGTAGTTCAAAAATCAGATCTTGTGCAGGTTGTAGCCTATTTCCACAAGCATCTTGCAGACATCCATTATTAGGCAAACAAACTGGAAAAAGAAAGAAGAAAAGAACAGACAGAAAAGAATCAGCTCACTGTGAACTTTCTTGCCTATAGGCCTACATTTGGGCGTTTCGACAAATAAAGACACTTTTGTCTTGAAAATAGAAATAAATATCTGAAAACCCCCACATTTCACACACTCATTCATTTACTTAATTGTCTGCTGTGAAGCTGCATCAAATTCCAACATTCATAATATTTTCCCCAAACATCAAACATTTGTCATATCCACTAAATAAATAGAAAATATAGCCTATTATATTTAATAGAATTTTGTGATGGAAATGATGATGATGAATGATTTAAATATTTTGAGAGTAGAAATTGATGACTATTTGATTTGCTCCTAAATGAAAGGGAAACACATGTTTTTTTGTGTGCACATAAAAAAAACATTTAAAAATGAACCTATGAAAACAAGTGGGAGGAGCTATGAAAACAAGTGGGAGGAGGAAACTAGCCTGCTTTCACTTTAATCAACATTTGAACAAAATTTAGAAACAACAGGTAGGGTCAAAGCGACTATAAAGGAAGGCATTTAGGCTATAAATTGGTCATTTGTCGACTGTTTTAAAATACTGACAACGAAGGCCTTTTGTTTAGATGCCATGGTTTTTAGTAGGCTAGGGTGGAGTTTAAAATTGCAGATCAACTGCATATTTTCTTTTTAAATAAACATTAAAAACAACAAAAAACCTGCTAAGGGACTATATAGAGTAGCCTAATTTCACGACACGTCTGGTTCTATTACAAAACACTTATCAGATTCAGACTCACAGACAATGGTTGGTTGTTTTTCTGAAGCGCTCTTTCAGTTTTGCGTTCCTCAATCCTCTTACAAACTTGTCAAACGTTAGTTGAGTAAAGTTGGCGATAAATCTACAGATTCGAGCTTCCCGGAATCGGATTAATAACTCGCAAGCTAAGCGTTATTACTGCTAATCACCTCTTCTTACCTTTCACCTCACCTCGCCAAGTACTACGTAGACAAGCAGTCATATGATTTATATTTTATGCTTCATCGTCTCCTTTCATTGCTTCCGCCTTCCTTCCCTCGCGTCTCGGCTCCACCCCAAGGACGCGAGGGATAAGAAAAGGAGGATTGAGGAATCGAATAAAAGCTTTTTAAATAGGCTACATTGGAATACTTCATCACTTCACGTATCACTGCTGTCCTGATGGGGCCGGAGACACACTGGCTGCGTGGCGTGTCCGTTTTTATAACTTCGGCAGGTTAGAGCTTGCATATGGAACGCTAAAAGGCTCACAAAACAAAAAGCGTGTACTTTTTTAAAAAAAATGTATCTGTCCATTATGGACAGTATGTTTGAAAGCCTGTTACTGAAGTCACATTTTCAGTAATGCTGATTGAAATTTCTTTTATAAAAAAAAATATATATCACAGCACCGATACATTTTTGAAACATTTTCATGTGCAGAATATACAGTTCTGAAGTGCTTGAACATATAGCTGATGAAAATATCTCAGATGTTGAATTTATGTGGAGTAATGAGGAAGATGGAGATGTAAGAAAAATATCCGTATTTAAAACTTTATAAAGTAAAATACCTTCCGGCCAAACGAATATGCGGATTTGACTTAAATCTAAATCAACTTAAATATGAATATTTTAAATATTTTATATTAATATATATATTTTTATGGATAGATGCACTTTTATGATGGATAGATGCACTTGTATCATGAATCGATGCACTTTGGACTTTCAAAACAGAAACAACCATTTACAGCCAATATAAAGCTTGGAAGGGCCAGTACACTCTAAAAAATGCTGGGTTGTTTTAACCCAATTTTGGGTCAAATATGGACAAACCCGAAATGTTGGGTTAAAAATGTAATGTAAAAATTTAACCCAACGGCTGGGTTAGTCCATATTTGACCCAAAGTTGGGTTAAAACAACCCAGCATTTTTTAGAGTGTACATTGTTTAATATGACTCTAATTGTTTTTGTCTGAGAGAAGAATGCCATATACACCTAGGATGGCTAGAGGCCAGGGTGATTAAATCATGGAATAATTTACATTTTTGCATATTCATAAATCAAACTTCAGAGGTGAAAAAAAAAAACGTGAACTGGATTGTTTTAACATCTGCTTGCAAACTTGCGCCAGTTTCAGAGATATGTCATGTGAATGTTGTTTTAAAGCCTGTTAATTCCCAAGGGCTTGCTGGAAGTTTTGAGATGAGCTATAAAAAAAAAACACTAATGAAAAATTAACAAACTGGTCTAAACAAAATTCAGTGATGCATGTTTTTTATTTTTTATTTTTTTTTAGCTTTGTTTAATATAAATATTTTTTAGGCCAAGAAGTTGTTTCAAACTGTCAGTATGGGCAAAGATCTGTGGGCACATCAGTATGTAAATAATGACGACTGAAGATTATCATTAGTCGCTGTAACATTAGCAGTAAGAATATATGGAATATACAGTATATATTTGCCTAGCAATACAAGTCTAAAGAACTTGATGGAAGACATTTCATGGAAAAAAAAATATATAAGTGATATAAGTAATGGGATTTATGCACAGCTGCACTACTTCCTGAACTTCAGCCAGCTCCTTGTTTCCTGTCTGCCATTATTGGGCAAAATTGATTAATTCAGGTGTGTCTAATTATTGTTGCCGTGACTACTGAGGTCAAGCACACCTGAATTAATCAATGTGTTCAATTATGGCAGACAGGAAAAAAGAGGTGCGTTCCAGTCGACCGTAAGTGGACTGCGAAGTAGACTTCACAGGGTATTTCGCCATCTTAAGTGAGATTCCAATTCGAAGGGAACGAACATGTTCAGTTCGAAGGGCACTGCAAACGGCATAGGGAATAAGGGAACATCGATACATCACTTCACAGTAAGTCAGTGAAGTCCACTTCAACTGATATACCGTGTTCAGGGAGTAGGGAGCAGTGAACACTGCGTAGGGAGGGACCCTGTCGAATGGAACGCACCTAAGGAGCTGGCTGAAACTTCAGGAAGTAGTGAAGCTGTGCATATGGTCAATTACTGTTCAAAGACATTCAATTGGCTTTATGCCCAGCTGCACTACTTCCTGAACTTAAGCCAGCTCCTTGTTTCCTGTCTGCCATTATTGGCCAAATTGATTAATTCAAGTGTGTCTGATTATTGTTGCCGTGACTACTGAGGTCAAGCACACCTGAATTAATCAATTTGACCAATAATGGCAGACAGGAAACAAGGAGCTGGCTGAAGTTCAGGAAGTAGTGCAGCTGGGCATAAAGCCCATTATTGTGGCAGACAAGTAACCACTAAATAGACTAAATAAAAGTGGCTTCAGAAGTAATACATTTTATTGCCATGTCACTTTGTCAAATGATTGCCTTTTTACACTGCGTTGGGATCAGTTTAAAGATGCAGGTTCAAATCTTGGGGAGAAGTTGCACTATATTGATTTTTTGTTTTCTTTACAATAATAACGACAACAATTATGACAAATAACACCACACAGACACACACTATAACCACCGACAACACAATCAGTAAAGGTGTTCCGTTTCTGCACTCAGCATCAGACGTTTGTGTTCCTGACTTGAATGTTATTTTGCCAAGCGATTCACACCTGTTGGAGTGAGGAGCTCAAGTTAAACTATATATTTTCAAAAAGAGCTTGATTTAAAATCAATGTTGTAAAATGATACTTACTTTGTATGTAAATTGCAGAGTGTACCATCTGAATATGAACCAGTAGGACAGTCATAACAAACTGTATCACTAAATTCAGTTCCTATAAACACGCAGAGATATAAAGTATTTAAGTTTCAACTCCATAGCAATAAAGTAAGGGACAGGTCTCACGTTAGCTAGTGCGATCATAATTCAGTACAGTGTCTGGCACACACAAAATTTATCATCACATGACCAACTAATAATCTACTTCATCATAATTCAATAGATTTTTTCAGTTTGTTTTGTCAGGTGCTGCTATTGTCAAAAGCAAACAATATGTCGGTCATGAGGATCTGTAGTAAATCTACATTCATAGTAAACAGTTTCTCTGTTCCATGTGCGATGAAAAGTTGTAAAGCTAATTTGGAATAACATGCAAATGTCCATTTTTACAATTATTTGACATAAATGCAAGCAGAGTTATTGTTCTCAGATGTAATCTCGGCCTGTCAGTTTTTGTGGATGTACTGTATAATAAAGCACCTATTTGAATGAATACTGACCAGTTTGGTTGACGTATTTTCCAGGTGAGCAGGTTGAATGTTTCATAGCCTTTGGACAGCTTAAGTGCATTTCTATACAGTAATAACCTGGTATGGGTTCACACACTGTATTTGATATTAATGTACATGCCTGCTTTACTCTCAGACCATTACCTTTGACAAGAAAGGAAACAAATGAGTCAGAGTTGTAGTAAACCTGCAATGGCAAGTCATCTGGAAGAAAAGATGATTTGAAAGAATGACTCCCTAAATGAGAAAGTAATTTTACTCACTTGGATCACAGATTGAACATGGCAGACATTTGGTCAATCCATTAGGACTGTTAGTATAGGTCATCACATGACATGAATCACATGTTGTGCTTGTGTACCGATCGCAATGCGTATGAACTCGCTTTCCTAGAAAAAAAATCCAACACATTCATTAATGATACAAGTCTTAAATGCAAATAATTATATTTTAAAAACATTTTTGAATATACAGTCAGGTCCATAAATATTGGGACATTGACACAATTCTAATCTTTTTGGCTCTATACACCACCACAATGGATTTGAAAAGAAACGAACAAGATGTGCTTTAACTGCAGACTTTCAGCTTTAATTTGAGGGTATTTACATCCAAATCAGGTGAACGGTGTAGGAATTACAACACTTTGTAAATGTGCCTGCCACTTTTTAAGTGACCAAAAGTAATGGGACAGATTAACAATCATAAATTAAACTTTCACTTTTTAATACTTGGTTGCGAATCCTTTTCAGTCAATTACAGCCTGATGTCTGGAACGCATAGACATCACCAGATGCTGGGTTTCATCCCTGGAGATGCTCTGCCAGGCCTCTATTGCAACTGTCTTCAGTTCCTGCTTGTTCTTGGGGCATTTTCCTTCAGTTTTGTCTTCAGCAAGTGAAATGCATGCTCAGTCGGATTCAGGCCAGGTGATTGACTTGGCCATTGCATAACATTCCACTTCTTTCGCTTAAAAAACTCTTTCGCAGTATGCTTCGGGTCATTGTCCATCTGCACTGTGAAGCGCCGTCCAATGAGTTCTGAAGCATTGGGCTGAATATGAGCAGATAATATTGCCCGAAACACTTCAGAATTCATCCTGCTGCTTTTGTCAGCAGTCACATCATCAATAAATACAAGAGAACCAGTTCCATTGGCAGCCGTACATGCCCAAGCCATGACACTACGACCATGCTTCACTGATGAGGTGGTATGCTTTGGATCATGAGCAGTTCCTTTCCTCTTCTCTTCCCATCACTCTGGTGCAAGTTGATCTTTGTCTCATCTGTCCATAGGATGTTGTTCCAGAACTGTGGCGGCTTTTTTAGATGTTGTTTGGCAAACTGTAATCTGGCCTTCCTGTTTTTGAGGCTCACCAATGGTTTACATCTTGTGGTGAACCCTCTGTATTTACTCTGGTGAAGTCTTCTCTTGATTGTTGACTTTGACACACAAACACCTACCTCCTGGAGAGTGTTCTTGATCTGGTTAACTGTTGTGAAGGGTGTTTTTTTCACCAGGGAGAGAATTCTTCGGTCATCCAGCACAGTTGTTTTCCGTGGTCTTCCGGGTCTTTTGGTGTTGCTGAGCTCACCGGTGCGTTCTTTCTTTTAAGAATGTTCCAAACAGTTGATTTGGCCACACCTAATATTTTTGCCATCTCTCTGATGGATTTGTTTTGTTTTTTTAGCCTGATGATGGCTTGCTTCACTGATAGTGACAGCTCTTTCGATCTCATATTGAGAGTTGACAGCAACAGATTCCAAATGCAAATAGCACACTTGAAATGAACTCTGGACCTTGTATCTGCTCCTTGTATATGGGATAATGAGGGAATAGCACACATCTGGCCATGGAACAGCTGAGAAGCCAATTGTCCCATTACTTTTGGTCCCTTAAAAAGTGGCAGGCGCATTTACAAAGTGTTGTAATTCCTACACCGTTCACCTGATTTGGATGTAAATACCCTCAAATTAAAGCTGAAAGTCTGCAGTTAAAGCACATCTTGTTCGTTTCTTTTCAAATCCATTGTGGTGGTGTATAGAGCCAAAAAGATTAGAATTGTGTCAATGTCCCAATATTTATGGACCTGACTGTACAAATACGAAATGTATACATTTAAACAAGAAACTAAACTGCCAGTAGGTGGCATGAGTCAGTTAATGAGTGAGTAATTGAGTCTTTCACTATTCAGTAGTAACAAAACTCCACTGCTTCGAGATAAATCGCAATAGTTCTGCTCTGATCTTTGTTCGGAACTATTTTCCTTGGTAAAACAGAATAAACAGTCAATATTGTATCTAAAATATCAGTAGGCTAGGCTAATTTAAAGGCACTCTATGCAAGATCTGTACCTTAATATATCAGCTTCAAAGTCGTTTCGGTGGTAAACAAAGTCATAGTAGGGCGAATCATCCTGGTAGTAGAGCTTGGGGGGGACGCCGCCGGAAAAACCAGCCATGCAAGTTTGAGAGTGGCGCCCCTGACACAGCTCGGGAGAATCACGACATGCTTTACGGCAACGACGTACTTCCTAACAAACAGTCGTTTCTTAGTCTTGTTGTTTTTTTTTCGTTATGTTTTATTGCCGAGCTTGCCACAAGAGCTAGTCAGCTGAACTCAGGTGTTGTGATGTGTATTTATCACGTAACTTTAGTCCTGTGTCTGGTTCAGATTTCTTATGGCGTGCGTAAGTTACTGTTATATAAATTTTACCTGACTAACAGTGCACTTCCCGACTGTAACTTTACTTCAAATTGTTTTGATTATGAATCAATTAAATCTTGACGCTGTTGATGTTGATTCTTGCGATTATCATGAGGACATAGTCAATATCTCACATAATTATTAGGACATATATAAGCCTAGAGGTTGTAAATAATTGTACACAATTTGCTATTATGATAAATTGTAATAATCATGTCTAATGAAATCATAACGGCCAATGTTATGAAATAATGCGACGTACATTTAACTTTATTGATGTCATCTGACATTTTGTAATGTTTACATTACAATCAAAAAACATAAATAAAATTATACAGTAGTCCAAACACTAGAGGCTATTTACTTCTGATTTTGCAGAAATCATGTAAAAACGTTATAAGCCAGCTAACGCGATAGGCAACTTTATTATTAAAAAGCAGTCTAACACTTGACAGTAGTTCAGTAGATATGCAGTAACGGGAATACCGGTTATTTACGACAGTGCAAGTACACCACAGAGGCTCTAGAGGTCACTGTTCTACAAAAAAATCTGAGATTGCATGGTGTGACTTTAATATCAACCATACTAGCCTACTTGTTTAATGAGCTAAAATCAATGAAACATTTGCAATTGTGAGAATATTAGGGAAATAGCTATATGTTATAATAATATTAATAAAAACAAACTCAGCATTTAGAAGTTATATGTCAGTATAGCCTACTTTTCTTCTGTGAGTTTCTTCCAATATTATGTGTGCTGCTACACTCATTTGTTTTGATTTTTCCGCTTCAGTCTCTCACAGCCTCAACAGAGTTACCAAAAATTAATTATCGCTGTTTATGTAATAAATTCACAATCATTATTGATGTTTCACTGGTTATTTGACTGTTTAATAATCAACCATACTTGACAGATTTTTTTTTTTCTTCTTCTTCTTCTTATACCTATTTTCTTGGACTGCATGAAAGTGTATTTATTTAAGCTCTGCTTGTCCTGTAGATGTCACTGTGTTCTGCTGGTCACCTTACTAGACTTGTGAATTCTTAAATCAGAGCTGAACAGAATGGAAGTGATAAATCTGTATCAAAATCCAGCCCTACTGGAGTCATGTTGTGTGTACATGCATTGCTACATAATGCAATGGTGCAGGCTAACACACCTAAAATACATTAAAAATGTCAAAATAGATCAGGTCTATTGTGATATTTGGATTGTACTCTTAAAATTTAACCCAGCCATGGTCATGGAGGCCCGTGAACAGTACACATTTTGGAAGTTTCTCTTGTCTGAAACAGGTCTATAGACCATTACACAAGATGTAAACAACACTGGTCCAGAAGCACTTCCTGTTTCAGTTTTTTAACACTACATAAAAGCTGGGATAAAATACAACCAACAGAACATTTAAAACTGAATCAAAAAGTTAAACAAACATCTTTAAGATGTTTTCTTTACCTGTGAAATAAAGAAAACAGTTACAGACTGAAACAGCAAGTGTTTCTGGACCAGTGTTGTTTATCTTGTGAAATGGTCTATACTTATTCTAAGCTGATGAAGCTTAGAATCAGGTGTTTTTGATTAGGGAGACAAAATGTGTACTTTAGGGGAGCTTCCTGGAAAATGTTTGGAAATCAATGACGTATAGATTTTGAAGTCTAGGTCAACCTAACTATAAAGGGGTCATATTATGAAAATTTGAATTTATGGTGACATAGTGAAATAAATGGATATAAATAGAATTCACAACAACTTTATTATGACCATGCCAGATGAATGGAAAGTACCCCACATGTGCAGTTTCTGCCAATGCGACTGCACCTGCTTGCTTTATATAGCACACCGAAATACCAGTGTCTGGCTATAATCAGATCAGTCAAATGTTAAAGATTGTTCATGAGCATAATTGAGATGGTGGGTTCATTAGTACTGTTGAGACAGTTTAAATCCTGATAAATCATATGACCCCTTTAAGTATGTGACTTCATCTTCATCTGTTGTGGTGATAAGATTAAGACTTACCTGGATCACACATTGGACAACACTCTCCATTAATTTCATATTCTGCATTATTGCAAGTTGCCATGGAAAGCATGATTTTCATGATGAATGATAGTAATGTTGAGAGATTATAGTATATGCACATTTCGGGGGACTAATAAAATCATCATCACTGGAACAGAGGTCATCATTTTGTCTCATGGAGCTGAAAAAGAGTTTTGTGTTAGATGCCTTTTTAAGAAAAAATGTGAAATTGTGCCAGACCCTAACATCTCCCCAGTGTTCAATTATTAAACATGTCTGCAATATGCCAATAGTGCCTTTGTCTCAATACACCCACTTGTCATCTCTTTTAAATCCAATATATATTCTAAATATATTTAAAATATATTTATATATTTTAAATATATTATAAATGTATTTTAAAAATATTTTTTTGAGCATATTTATACCTAGCTGTATAGTGTATAGAAGTATCGCTGCCAAATATTATCCTACTTTCGTAACAAACCATACATCAATGGAAAGATTATTTCATTAACTTTTCGATGATGTAAACATCTCAATTTTAAAACAAAAAAAATTACCCTTGTGACTGGTTTTGTGGTCCAGGGTCACATATAACATGTCAACTCCGAAGGACAGAGGGAATGACAATTGAATTTACAAAATGCCCATCTCTCAAATTTTTTTTTTTTGGTTCAGTCCCTGTGACCTAATTTTCCCCACTCTGTCTAATTAGCAATGCCATTCACTTATGCCCAGTTTATCACTTACCTGTGGTGTCCTGTTCGTTACTGCCATTGTGTTCATTTACCCTAGCTTGTCTCCTTGTCTTGCATGTGAGTGAGTTATTGATGACAAATTCTTTAGTGGGAAGAATAGAAATGAATCTGTCAAATGCCAGATGAATCAAAGAAATCTCACAGGTAAAACTCTGACATTTAGACCAAACAGAAAAAAAGTGTAAAAAAAAAAAAAAGTGTTAAAGGGGGCAAAAGGCTTAACCCACCTCTAACCTTTTCACTTGTGAAACAAATAATGCAAGGGGGTAAACACATGGATACATGTGACAATGACTCATTCATTTAAAACTATGCAAACAAGAGGGAATGCACAGACAGCTCAGCTCATCACATGATTTGAGCAGCATGTTCTTTTGATGCAATTCAATTGAAAGTAACTTGGGACAAATGCACGTGCTAAATGATATAATTGAAGATATCATTATAATTGTAGTTATAATTGAAAATTATGGAAAATTATGGATTATGCAGTATCACATGGAAAACAGCGGCTGCTTTCATGCATGTCACTCACTGTTGTATCATGTGACATCATCTGCAGACAATCACCATGATTGTTTATAGCTACATTTAAAGTGCTTATCCTGAAAATAGTAGTCTTTTTGTCTCCATTACAAATAATAATATCAGGATAACCAGAAATGCAAGAAATGAAAAGTAAAAATTTACATGAATGTTCCAACAATAAAGGTGAGTAAATTAAGTGTCACATAAAACAAATAAAATAAATAAAAAGCTACTGAAAATAGCTTTTTAATTATTTATTTTAATAGCAAAACAGTTATTTTCATTTAAACAGAAATTGCCTGATCTTAGAAACCACAAATTTAACTTCCCTCACAGAACTGGAACCACAACTTCCTCCTATACTTTTTAAAAAAAAACACAGTTCTACTAAATGAACAGGAAGTTATTTAAATACTGTTCTTTATCTGGATTGAAGATGTGTGTGTACCAATACATTTATATTCCGTAGCTAAAAATCAGCAATGTCTCAAAATAATTAATTGGGATTCGGCATGTCACCTGATTTTTGTTTTTATGACCTAATGTCATTTTTATTTATAAAAAGTTTGCTCTTCTGCAAAATAGTTGTGGATGCTGAGGTAAAATTGATTTAAAATGAACAGCGTTCACCAGGTTGAACAAATGATTAGAACAGTTATAATCACCTAAACTTAAAACAAATATGGCCTTTATATTGAGCCTGAAAGAGCCATAGGTTAATTTACAACTTTAGGGCTTGACTTGTGACGTTGTTTGTGGCTTCTGGTAGTAGCTACTATGGACATAAAACACTTTTTACAAAGTAAAATAAGGAGTCATGAACGATACGAGGCTGATGAGAGGCAAGAAGAGTTATCTAACTTACTGGCGCCGTCCCCTCATCAAAGCTCAGGTCGGTGAAGACTCTTCAGCAAACCCTGGTCGTCTAACTTAACTGTACCTAAAGTTAGCCCTGCACTCACTGTGGTTTTAATGCAGATCATGTAGAGTACATGGGACCTTACTATTTCACCTAAAGCTAGTTCATTTTGTGAGCCATAATCCGTTTCTCGTGAAGAATGTAGATGAAGTAGCCTAATTTATTCGTCTGATTTGGCGATTGAAACAGGATGTGTAAATTAACGTTATTCCCCTTGCTGCAGACCCGCCCACAGCACCACCACCGGTTTCAGAAAACTATTTCAGAACCCCAGCGCCGCCGCCGCCGCCAGAACCAAAAGTGAGGGAGGGGCGTAATTATTATTATTTATTAGGGGTTCAAGCACGAAGTGCTGAAACCCTATTGTTTTTGTACTGATTTTTATTATTATTATTATTATTATTATTATTATTCTCCCCTAAAACGCATCGTGCAGCCCAAACCGTAAGTGCTGGAGCTCTGAAACTTTGTCAGATGGTAGTACAAAAATCGAGGAGAGGTTATCAAATTATGAGCCCGATTGGCCCATAGGTGGCGCTATAGCGACCAATTGCGCGAAACCACTCATATCTCCTAGACCGTAAGTCGTACACTCAAGTGTCTTATATCGTTGGAAAGCTGGTCACCTGACGAAAAAAACGTATATCTCCGATTTCATTTCCGTCATGATAGATTTTCCGCCATTTTGAATTTAGTCGAAAAACTACTTTTGCAAACTAGTCCCTGGATTTTTGCCCGATCGGAACCAAACCAGTGCAGAAATGTTCTCTGGAGTCTGAAGATCAATAATTATCAAAAAAATGTTGAAATTTCTCGTTCCGGTCGCTAGGGGAAGCAAAATAAACGTTGTGGGAGGAGCCTATTTTACTAAAATGGCTATAGCTCGAGAAGTAAATGAGATATCTTCACCAAACTCGGTACACATGTGTAAGAGTTCAATTTGAGGTGACAGTAAAAAAATCGCGACGATTGAACACTAGATGGCGCTATAAAATGAAAAAAACAGATAAACACCTGACCGTCAGTCCGATTGACTTGAAAATTGGTATGCAGTGTCTTGGTCCAAGGCCTCATGTAAGTCTATAAGGACATTGGTGTATCTCAAAAAACATGGCCGCCATCGGCCAATGAAGTTTGAGCATCTATGAAACAAGGTTAACGAAGGCCGATCGGAACGAAACTCGTTGGGAATGTTCGACTCATGGCCCTAGAGGTCTGTAAAAATTTTGAAAGAAATCGGCCACTAGTTGGCGCTAACGAGTTTTATGGCTCTGTAATCACGTGGTGTTGCGCATATCCCCACAAAATGCATATCATTTGATAGATCTCCTCATGATGAACAACTTTGCCTCAAGAACTATTGCTGTCAATCAAATCGTTCGTTAAATATTCACAAATATGTCAAAAACCTACTTTTGCAAACTAGTCCCTGTTTTTTTGCTCGATCAGAACCAGACCAGTCTAGGATAATTCTCTGGACTCTCTAGATCAATAATTATCAAAAAAAAGTTGAACTTTGTCTTTTGTTTTGCTATAACAGGGTCATTTACAAAAAGGGACATGACAAAATGCACCCAAAAGCCTATAAATCCTAAAGGAAAAGTCAGAACTTCACAAAAATTGATGAGCACATGTGTCATAGCTTATTCAACAAGCATGCAAAGTTTCATGGAGATCGGGCTATAGGTGGCACTATAATTGTTAAAAATGTTAAAAACAATATATACCCTATGGTAAATTGCCATTATTGAAACTTAAAACTTAATGTCTTTTGATGCTTTTGTGCTTAAAGGCCTTCAAGGCCTAAACTGCTTGAACCCCGCTAAATGCTGCTTGCAGCTTTAATTAATTATTATAATCATCATACAAATACATATCTTCAATATTCAAAACAATTTAAGATTTTTGTAAACGCAATAAATAAATAAAGTAAGCTCAATTCATAAGTATAAATATATATTTAGAACATTTATAAGTATATTTGTATGGTCCTCGAGTGTGTTGGAATATTTCACCAGTATCAGCCTTTTCACCGTCTGTATCACTCCGCTTGTCTGTGTTTGCCTAGTCTCAGCCTCAGACGTCACGCCCACGGAACGTTGGCCGTCAGTCTGAAGGTCTGGCTACGCGAGACTAGTGTTTGCCCAACTTGCATCATTAAGCCAGTTGGTGGCGACAAGTGTCTTTATGAGTAAACAATTGAACTTTAACTGATTAGTGCCAAAAATATTGATTAGCTAACCTTAGAAAGAAAAAACTTGCTGAAACCAATCTTTAATGCTAATATATACATTGCTCATTTTCCTCTGGACTCAAAAAGATTGCACTGGTGTTTGGTTGAAATAACATCTATGCAAAATAATCCTTGAAAGATTTCTCATTAAGGCCATTCGTACTACGGAAGCCCTGAACTGCAAAAAAAAAAAAAAAAAAAAAAAAGGTCAGTAAAAAAAAAAAAATCTTAAAAAAAAAATCTGTAAAAAAAAACAATCTAGCATTTCGAGATCAAAGTCTATTCCGGCGCAGTATATTTTATAACGTCCTATAATGGTAGCCTAATGCTGGTAGATTGGCACCTGTTGAATTTCCTTTGATAAAACAAAACACACACACACACACACACACACACACACACACACACACACACAGTGTGAAACTCGCTATTGGCCATTATGAATGCCTGGGTGTGCGGCAATGTGAGACAATGGCAAGCACACACGCGCAGCTTCTACGGAAGACTGTATTCTCGTACTCTCGTCTCTCGAAATGTTTCGACTTTAATCTCGAAATGCTAATTTTTTTTTTTACAGATTTCTTTTTTTCAGATTTTTTTTTTTTTTTTTTTTTTAGGTTGCGGTTCAGGGCTTCCGTACATTCCTGTTTGGAATATGTGATTGTGTATTGTCAACAATAAGCAGAAACATTCTGCATTTGCATCCAAGCGTGGATCATTCATTTAAACATTTATTCTCATATTTAACAATCTGTAATCTTTTATGCTACTGCCCACTGACATGCTTTTAAAGCTATTGTTATACCATTTTGTGACCTTAAAACACCTTAATATGCACACATTTAGGTCTGAGAAATCCAAATTTGAATGTGCATGACCGTGTGGTAATGTGGGCTGGTATGGTTACAGTGCCAGGGATGTTTTTTCTTAACCAGTCTGCCCCGCATATAGGCCTGCAATATACATTATTCTCTGTATCGAATCATGTTATTTTATTACCCACCCCAACCCCTGATGTTTCGGGTTCAGCCTCGGATGTTTTTAAAACCCAGAAACGCCCCTGCGGCTTCCTACACAATTTCCATTTTAAAATTCTACACTTTTCCACTTGTGTTTTTTTTTTTTTTTTTTTTTAAATACCATATTTATCATAACTGGGTCATAGTGTATTATTTTCAGCATTATATTTGTTATATAGGACAGTCATCTGAAAATATTTTCTCAGGTTTTCTTCATTGGTTTCCTCGAAGTGATAACATGGCCATTGCGCTTCCTCCGACACATTAGTTTTATACTATAATCATGGTTTGATGTTGAATGATCCCCAAACAGCAAAGTTCAGTTTGATTAAGGTGATCGTTTGTTCCTTTATCTGTTGCTAGCTTTAATGGCACAAGCACATTCGATTAGTGAAGTTCACAAGAGACCTGCTTATGGTAAAAGACAGAGAGCTTTGCGAAATGTGCCAAAACTTTTTGTCATAAAACTCTCTGCTTGTATGATGAATTTATTTAAATCAAAATCTAATAAAAACAAACATCTTATTTGTATACATTTATTCCCCTCACTTAACAAAATAAAGATGGTGCGCTGTGCAGTTTCAAAACTATTTTCAAGTCTCATACTTCTCTGTAGGTTTAAAAACTGGAGAGTAGCCACAAATGTCAGCAACAATTTCAACACAATGACAAATCGAGAGCAGAAAGTGATAAAAATGAAACAGGCAAAAGATAAAGATATACTAATAAACATTATTTCTACTTACTTAAAAAGAAGTAAAGCCGAGCGCAACACATTTCCTTTTTCTGAGAAATACAAATACTTAAAACCACTTCCTGTAGAAACAGAAACTAACAGAATCCTAGTTTGCAGTGCATCAAGTTTTCTGTGCCTTTTCTTCTACATATAGTTGCATCTGTTTACAGGAAAGAAGAAAACACGATTTAAATAATGTTCCAAGACTGTTACTAGTATATACTTTTGTTACTTTCTTTTTTTTTTTTTAAAGAACATGGTGTTCTGTGTCAATGGAGTAGCTTTGTGGAGTAGCTTTCATTCATTGACCCAGAAAATAAAATATGGTCAGAAATACTTTTTTTTAGATATGTGTATTTAATTTAATTCTATCAGCACAACAATGATCCAAGAGTATTTTGTGCCAGCAATGAAATCGGACAGTTGGGAAAGTCTCACCTTGAGAATATCAGAAGTCATTGTTTTTAGAGGAATGAGTTTAGCCTCTTCCATGTGAACTTCCTGCTCATCTGCTACAATCCATGGAAAATCCTATAAAGCCGATAAGACAAGAATGTGCAGAGAAGATAGTTTTAGCAGACAAACTAGCAGCATCCTACATCAATTTAAAAAAAATCTCTATTTAAAAATTTGACCGCAGTTGGAGCAAAAGAGTTTTTATAAAGATAAGACTTGCACATCATGACCCTGAATGTAAAATGTGCGTATCATCAGAGACAATTCTTATAGCTATCTCAATACTATCATTGGACCAAACAGAACCTGTCTGGGACAAGGCCTAAGAATTCACATTAGGTTAGCATGAAAGCTTTTTACCACGATGGAATATAAGAAAAATAAAAAAGGTAATTTTTTTTATCTTTTATCTAAAAGGTGACTTTTTATCTCACAATTCTAACTTTGATTAACTCCATGGTGCAAACAAGCTCGCATACATTTTGCATGTCAATTTTTGGTTTTTGGCTTTCTGGCAAGATTCACTTAGATATCGAGTCTACAGAGTGAGCAAAAGAAAAGAAAAGGGAAAAAGGGGGTTAACACACCTTGATGACCTGAACTTTTTCCATGTTTCTTGTGGCAGCTTCCCTGGTGTGTACCAGCACTGTGAATGTACATCCTGCGTGGAGAGAAAATAAGCACAGTAATGTAGATCTATTAAAACTTGATTCAATAAATGTAAGGTCATTATCCGGGTAGCTTGGTTTGTGGTGAAGGCTGAGCACTTACCTGGAGGATTGGTGTCTAGAACAGCGTCACACACACTGATTTTTAGAATTACAGCTCTCAGAAGCTGCTCCACATGGGACAGCAGAGTCTCTGAGCTGACATGGAGAAATCATACGTGTATGAAAGACATGCATTGCACAATGTTTGCTTCAAAACCACAGAACCAACTGTCACTCACCTGATGGACAGCAGTGGAGGCTGTGAGATCTCAAACACAAATCTCTCCACTGGATGATGCTCTTTATCCATAATCACCACCACAACCTTCTCAGCCTCATTCTGCACAAACAACACCAAACATGTCTTATCCACTCACTTGTGTTTTGTAAAGATGGAGCAGTTTTATATTAAACCGCTTAACCTGTCCGTATTTCAAATTTATACATTAATCAAAAATGAAATGAAAACTCACCTTCTCTATCAATGGCTTGACACAATGGAGCGTGTCTTGGATGTACTGATTTAAATCAGGATGGCATGACATCTGTCAAATTAAATATAAGTGGTAAAACCATTTCTTCCTTTTAGCACTACTTGTGCTATGTTATAAGATGTCCAAAAAGAGTACATTACAGAGCTATCATCAATCTTAAAAAACCTTACCTGCACAGGAACGTTATATTTCTTCCTTTTCTGAAAGATGCCAGACGGATACACTTCTCTGACATAGAGGATGAGGTGAATGGCCACTTCCAAAAACTCACACAGAATGTCAGCAACAACTGCAAATGACCAATATTATCAGAATACTCACAATGGTGTTATTTTAAAGCTGTACCGTGCAGTAAATTTACAAATTAACTGCAATTTACCTTGTCCAAAATTAAGGTCCTGCCTTGTCAGAGTGGCCATAGTAAAATCTCCAAAATAGATGCAACAACCTTTAACTAACTGATGATAGTCTCACATGTCAACGATCATGCATGGGTCAGAATAGGTGCATTCAGTAATAAATGCGAGTCCTCTGCGAAAGATCCTACTAAAATATTCAGTGCTATAATTTGAAAAATGTCAGTTATCCGTAAATTAACATGAAATAAACAAAGATTTAATAAAACAAGGCAAGATCTCCTAAATGTTATGATTCTTGAAGGATCAAGATGTTTACAATTTTCTTCTGTAATCTGCAGTGATAGAACAGTTGCGCTATATGGTTTATGTGATTCTGCTGCCACCTACTGGAGTGGATGAACGTGACATAGCACTTGAACAGCGGAGTGATTTTGAGAATCTTTTTTATTATTCTCACTTTTTTTTGTGAATGAAAGGAATGTATTGCATTCACTTGAAGAAAAACAAATCTGCTCTGTTTTCACTTACTGCATATGAGATTAATATTTAATAATCACAGTAGTATTTATACGGAAGTGTATTTCATTCAATTGAAGAAAAAAAAAACTCTTAATGAGTTAATTATCTCAGAATTACGAGATCATTTTTCTTGGGAAAAAGTTTTTTGCTCTTGTTTTTTCTGAATTAATGACTTGATTATCTCAAAAACTCATTAATTCAGAAAAGCAGAGCAAAAACTTTTTTTCACAGAAAAATTAACTCATTAATTCAGAAAAACAGTTTTTTTTCCTTCAAGTGAATGAAATATGCTTCCGTAGAATATACTAGTGTGATTATTAAATAATATATCTCATATGCAGTAAGTTATGATTATTATTATTACTCAATCTGTTTTTGTTGGATTACATGAATGATTTGTGTTGCATTAACTGAAACTGGGGTGTGCTTGTTAGTTCCCAGCATGCTTTGCATATGGCTGAATTTAGAGTGAATAAATGTCTAAATTAAGGGTTATTTTATGTGTTTTTGAGAAAATGAGAAAAGGGGAAGACTTTATAGTGCGTAATTGTGTTTAATGTTCAATTACATTGCAATTATTAGTAGCATTTAAATTACAGTGGGTTACCATTGTGGAAAAGAGTGGAGCATTTGGTTAGGCTGAAAACTTAGCAGTATGTTCAGCAAATGCTTTGATTGATAAAGCATGGAAATCATATAATTTCAGATGCTAACATGTGCTATTGGTAGTTAATATAGAAATGTATTAATGTGGCATTAAAATACATTTTATTGCATTGGATGAATGAGCATTGAGAATTTGATTACCTGAATCATGTCAGGAAGCCGTTTTAAATTCACTGACAATATTAAATTAAGCTGTGCCCAACCATAGTAAATAAGTTGAATCAACCTTAGTACATTAAGTTGACCCAACGTAAGTACATTAAATTGGAATAACAAAATTGCATAATGCTGAAATAAAAACATAATTACATGGAAAACCTTTCCATATTTTTCCATACGTTCATTCAAAGAGTTATTTTTTTGAGTGTTGACCGTGATGGTAGTTATTTACATAGTTGGATACATCACAGGATGTTCACAAATGCTGATGAGGACACTCCACGTATAGTGAGGAAAAAAAAAAACTGGCTCTTATTGGAAACATGAATTATGTCCATAAAGGAAACATTGTATAAGAGTTTCCCAACATATATCAATATTTTTTGGAATGTGTCATTCTGCATCACAGACAAATGCATTACATTTATTTTTTACCTCAATATATTAACCAATTAAATACAACAAATAAACAAAACAAAAAACAAATAAAATAAAATTCTTCAGTAAAAAAAAAAAGAAGTGATCTCACCATCTCATATTCATAAGAACTTAAAGGAGTCGCAAAATATTTTCAGCTTTTATGGCAATATTAAACATTCTTAAATTATTTTGTAAAATTAGTTTACAATGAGGTTCAATTTGTTAACATTATTTAATGCACAGTGTTTATTAATCTACAGTAATATTAATTCCTATTCAAAAATTAAAAGCCAGCAAGACATATTTTAAGAAATTAATAGTTTTAGCAAGTATGCATTGAATTGATTGCTGTTCTGTTGAACTTTTATTCATAAAAGAATCATGACATTTTTTTTCCACAAAAAAAATCTAGCAGCACACCTGTTTTCAACATTGATAATAACAATAAGAAATGTTTAATGAGCACAAAATCATCATTAGAATGATTTCTGAAGGATCATCTGAAAATTCAGCTTTGCCATCACTAAATTAATTTTGAAATATATATATAAAAAAAGAAACCAGTTCTTTTAAATTGTAAAAATATTTCAAAATATGACAGTTTGATTGTATTTTGCATCAAATAAATGCATACTTGTGAAAAGTGACTTATGTCCGACCCCAAACTTTTTTTTAAGCAATAGTACTTTTCATTTTGAAGTTACAGTTTTAATAATGATCATGACACCTACTGTTGTTGACTAACTAAACATTATTTTGCAATGTTAACAATTAACATTACACAGACATCAGTCATGGTCATACATGATTTTAATAGTATCCACATCCTGCTCCTCTAGTTTTTGATCAATAATCTCATCTTGTAATGGAGAAAACAAGCTTGCGTTTACTTTGACGATCCACGCTGTGATCCTTTGGTTGGTATAATACTCGTCCTCCTGATTGTCTATCATTTCATTCACGTCCTTCTCATTTTCCATCTCAATAGCCGAATCTGAGAGCGTCTGCACAGGTCTGCCCTTAGATACACTCGCAGAGTCCTTCATCCCTTCTGTCATCGCTTCTCTCTCATTGGCGTTGACATTACTGGGCTCTACACCCAGAAATCCGTCCTGTAGCTGCCTTGCTGATGGATCAGAAATCTTCAAGCTGTTCTGTTTCAGTTCTTGGTTTTGAACCAGCACGCTCTCATTAAAGACAGCCAGCCCGTTGCAGATCAGCTGACATCCCTGCTTTTGTCTGCTGAACAATGCCTTGTCCATCTTTATGCTAGTGGACAAGATATTGGCTTTCTTCTCCTGACATTCTACCTCCCAGCTTGGCACACAGTTTTTTGTGCAATACATGGAGATGGTAGACATTCTTGGGCTGTATATTGGAGGCAGGGAGCTACTCTTTGCCATCGTTCTCCTGCCATCCTCCTTCGGCATTAAAATCTTTAGAGTTTTGCAGGTTTGATCTTTACCATTGCCAGCCAATTTCCCCCCTAATGATAAATGGTAGGATCCCTTCGTTCCAACCAACTCCAGACAAATAGGCACAGATGGGCTGGAGGTCTTTAATGTCTCAATCTTATGGAAATTCTCATGGATGCCATTATTAGTTTTGTTAGATCCACTCTTCCATCTTGTCCTGTGGTCCCGATTGTCATTCCTCTGGTGACTCTGGATCATTTTCATTACTTTTTAAGAAGGTCGTAGCTAAATAGTCTGCTGTCAATGTCATGTGGCATGACGGACTGTCCCGTGAGACAGAGTCCTGCTTGCAACTCTTATAGACAGCTCAGACTTACTCTCCTCCTCTTTACATTTCCTGAGTCCGCCAGTCATCTGATCTGTAACCAAACCCGAAGCATTCATGCGCTCCATGGGCAAACAAACAAACACAGGATGAAAGTGTTTACTAAAAATGTTTGAATACATGCATTTTTAAAAATGGTTTATTCTAACCTTACTAATTAGTTTAATGCAGATTCAAAGTCAATCTGCATAATCATGATGTATAAATCCAGGAAGATTTATTTCAGTGTATAATTCTACTTTCCCAAAGGAGAAATTCAGTGTAACAAAAAAAAAAATGGATGTTTATTTTATTGACAAGGGCAAAGTAATTAATATTAAATCATATTAGAAGTATAAATCGGTGTTCCATCAAAAGACAAAAAATAAAAATAAATAATTGTTGCTTGATGTTTTATATTGCTATGGGTATACGAATGTATGTATGTATATTTGATTTCATATAAAGTTCAATGAAAACTTAAATGTATGGAAGCCTGTTTCCACCTCATAGGAGAAAATGAAGAGTTCCCAGATGCAAAAGCCTCTAAGTGCCATTTGAAATTTTCTTCTAGAATGATCATTTTTATCAAGCTTGTATATTTAAGTTCAGTGATTTCACTTAAATGGCAATGATAATTACCTATTAATTGTTATTTAAGTGAAATTACTGAACTTAAATATACAAGTTTGATAAAAATCATCATTAAAGAAGAAAATTTCAAATGGCATTTAGAGGCTTTTGCATCTGAACTCTTCAAATGTAAACGAAGGATAAAGTGTAAAAAAGGAAATTAAGTCACATTGTGAGATATAAAGTCAGAATCGCTTTTATTTTTTCAGTGCTGAGGTGGAAACAAAAATACAAAAAGTTATCTTAGGGAGTGTAAATAAAAACCACCACATACAATATTTAAATTAATGTTTTAATTTAATTAGAGATAATTATTCAATGTTATGGGTTCAAGCATTACAAAATTATAAAGAAAAAACATCAACAGCTGAATTTAGTTATCGGATAACTGATAAATTGCTGAGGTCCGACATCAGGTCAGTTTTTGATGGGTAGACCACTTTAAGGTTTCCCTCGACATCAAAGACCTTCACTTGTAAAACAGTCAGCTCAGGAGTGGCCGGGTTCTCCGCGGGACGATCTGAAATCACATTCGTCTCTTCATCCGAACCCACATCGTCCTTTATGTCAAAGCTTAATTTATTAAGCTCTGCCATTTTCTGAAAAAGAAACAAGAGTAGTTAGAGGAAATTCATGACTATTACTGCTGTTCCCCATTGTAAACTTTCATAGCTTGCAAGTATGCTACAATGGATGCTTAAGGAAAATGCTTTTTTAGTTTTCAAGTGCCTTACAGTAGAAAACTATGTGAAAACAGATGCATTTAAACTGCAGAGTATATAGTAATAGCATGATTGTTGATGAAAGTCAATTGAATGCAATGACAACTCAATAACTGATTTAATGTCACTGAAAGTGTTGATTCAAAGAGTCTTATATTAAAATATTCAGTAGTTATTTGAGCTGTCGTAAAAAAGAATGTACGAAAGTGGGACAGGTCATTTGTATCATGGAGGAAATCTCACACAGCTGCAATCTAAACCAAATCCTTGGTTTTATCTTCCATGTCATGTTTCATGGATTTCCATTAAGTCAGGCACATTTTCTTTAATTACAAAAAATGGAAAATTTTAAAAACAAAACAAAACTATAATTTAGGAATATTATTTAAACTAATGGGACAACTTGAATAATAAAATCAGCAGCATTCAGGGGCTCTGGAATTGC